GTAAGTCGGCAGTTAGACTTCAGTACTATTCTGGGAGACCTTCAACATTTGTTGAAATAGAACTCATATCCTGACTGGAAGTGGATTAGCAACAGCAGAAAACCAGCGTTTAACTCCAATACAAACCTTGAGAATTCGACCTCCGAGATGCTGAAAAAAAATGGAAAGCTTGTAAAGGAGATAAGCTAGTTCGCCGGCTGTTCGGAAGGTGTTAACTAATGCATGACAAACTAAAAAGAGGGTGGGGAGTATGTGATTGTAGTGAACTAGAATGGCATAATATACCGACTACAATGGGCAGATTTTCGACTAGGCTGTGGGGACAGACATCGTAGGGAATCCTTACAGTTGCAGCTTCATTTTGGGCTTCCACGGCCTTGGAAGGCGAAAACTCTGGTGCAGCGGAAGACAATGCCGTCTTAGAGGCTGGAGCCTCACCAGTTCCATTGACAATTGGTGCCGATCCGTTAACTGCGCTATCGACATGATTCTGCGCCGCTGTAGTCTCATCCGACTTGCTAGGTCCGTCGTGCTGAGCGGTGGGTTCGCGCTGGTCAATAGGAAGGATCCACTGATCCCATTTCTCTCTCGGGCGCAACCTATCAATGCCATCTTCATTCTGCACATAATCAACATTTCTCAGTTGGCGGGAGACGTGACGAAGAAGCTCGAAGTCCTCGGTTAGAGTCTTGATGCGCTTGAAACCAGCAATGAAGGCCAATGGAACGTAGCCCTGAGAGTCCATATGTCTCCGAAGGAACAAATCCTTGCACAAGTTATCCACGGAAAAGTAGTACTCAAGCTGCATCGAGATCATGCTCATAAGGGAGAAGGGCTCCATGTATTGCTGGTAAGGGACAGCAGTCATGGGGCCAGGGTGTACTGGCTGGTAGCCATACATGGTGTTGATGTCTGTAGGGAAAGGATAGACACCATACATGGAACCGGAATTTGGCAAGGAAGGTGACCTCAAAGACATCCTGTGGCCTCCAGAGCTATGCTGTTGCGACCGGCGCTCACCGAAGCCAAAGGACTTGGGGTGCATGAAACCATTTTGAGACATATGGTTGTTAGGATAGTGAGAATTATGAGAGCCGCTGAAACCGCCACGGCCACGGTGAGAGCCACGACCTCTGTCGGCACGCGACTCGCGGGGAATGTCCTTATCTTTGCGATCATGGAAGCCACCAAATTCTGCCGACTTGGGGCCGTTTTCGAAGCGACGTTCGTGGGAGGAGCCTGAGCGAGGGTTAGCCTGTGAATCCACAGGCAAGTGGGGGTTCTTGGAGTTGTGATCGCCGCCCTTGTGCGTAGCGTCGTGATTCCTGGAGAATCCCTTGCCTTCACGATGATGACGGAAGTTATCACCTCCGTGGCCATGCTTACCGGCTGGCGGGATGTTGGCATTGTCACTGCCCTTGGGTCCACGGTTGCGGTCCGTTGCTTGATTCTTGCGGGAGTCTCCCATTCCAGCATCGGCGCTGTTGGCTCGCCTGGACGGGGCTGGAAGGGAGTTTGCACGAGCCGAGTTGGGCTCGTTTCTTCCCCTCTCACCGGGCGCAGCCTGCTTGGTGGCAGAGCCTTGAGCTACCTGACCAGCAGTAGCCTTATCCGCAGCTGCGGCAGAACCATGAGTTCCGTTGCGGGCGCCGTCCCTTCCAGCACGGGGAGCTCTTCCACCGCGGCGGGCAGCAGAAGGAAGAGGAGTAGTAAAAACCGCAGTAGGCACGTAAGGGACCGGGGTCCACTTCTCCTTGCCAGAGGGGCGGATAACAGGGCTCTTGTCAGACTTCTTTTTCTCCTCACCCTGGGCACTTTGAGGGGTGGGCCACAAAGCGGCATCTCCCACAGGAGGGAGAGATGCAGCGTCATCGCGTCCTTTGGATCTTCTGTCCTTGGCACCTTCCACATCTCCTCCCTTCTTCTTTGAGCCAGCCTTTGGCTGGTCCTGTTGAGCATCCCCGGAGACCGAAGAAGCCGCAGAACCAGTCTTAGAAGTGCCAGTCTTGCCAGCAGGGCCAGCGGGCTTCGAGGTAATGGCCTTAGCCTTGGCTTCCTGAGCCTCTTTCCTCTGTTGCCAGATATTCACTGCAGGAAGAGGAGCAGCCTTGAGCTCTTTGGGTGGTTCGCTCTTCTCCTTCTCGGCGGACTTTTCTTTGGCATTCTCAGTTCCATTGCTTTGCTTGTCATTTGCCGAGGCCTGGGACTGCTTATCCCATGTGGATTCGGACGTGCCGTTCGGTGTATTTGAGCCCTCGTCATCTTTCGGTAACGTCGAGGTTGAAGAAGTGCCCACACTGGGGGAGGATGTTCCTGAGACATTGGCCTTGGAGCTTTCGACAGCTGTGGATTCCAATTCCTTCTCGGAGTTGGCAGGAGCCTTCTCCGCTTCCTGAGACTCCTCCGTCTTCACAGGCTCAGTGTTTCCAGCTTCAGAAGTAGTGCTCGCAGCCTGCTCCTCTGGTTTCGAGGCCTGGTTCGGCTCTGCTGTCTTCGCTGACGGTTGTGCGGGGGCAACGCCCTTAGCAGCTTGGGCATAAGAAAACGTAGCAGCCATTGTTTTTTTTTTTGGAATTGAAAAGGTCTAAAATATCCGTTGAAGAAATTAAATGAGGGGACTCAAAGTTCTGCCAGAGAACGGGGGCCTTGTATGGCAACTCCGATCAAAAAAACCTGGTCAGGCGGACTAAGGCGAAACAGATCTGACACCGATAGTTATTAGAAGAATCAACTTCCGCCTTCTTACTACCCCACCAAACTGCAACTTCCCGTCACTGGAGATCACTCCTACTGGGTATGCAATTCGTGGAACTGTCCGTTTGATCGGTTTGGAAAGAACGACGATGTTCTTATCGCAGAGAGTAAAGCGTAGAGATGAATGCGTTTCACTTGGGTATACAAAGCCACCTACAAGACGAATCGCATCGGTATGGCTGTGATGAACTTTTTCTTTTCAGGCCGGTTCGGTTCGTTTTCAAGGTCGACTTGAATGACGTCCGAGACGAGTAAACCGTCGAACGAAGGGTATAAACCTCGACAGGAGAACGGTGTCTATAGTTGCAGAATTTGAATGATAAGCACGATGTCTTCGTGCGTAGGTTCGTCAAATGCTGCAAACCAACATAAAACTCACTCAGTTTGTGCGGCTCGAAATTCGGTCCGTCGGCAAATTCAAAAGCTTTGCAGATGCGAATTACACCAGCTGAACAGTTGGAACGTAGTGATATGGAGACGATTCACGTCGGAAGGTGAAAGGACCTCGTTGGCGTTGCCCTTTGTGAAGGGTAGAAATGCGCGATTTTGCACGTGGGCGACGACGCGAACGGAATAATTTTGGGGAGCTCGACTTCGAGAGTGAGATAATCCCTGCGAGGGAAGAGTTGTAAGAACAAAGCAAGAGAAGAAAGGTTGAGAACTGCAAACGAGAACCTTCGAGGTAGAACTCGTGCGGAGGAAGGTTAAAAAAATTCAAGGGAGTAACTGGTCAATGTACCCTAGCTAGTAAAACCTCCCGCGAAATGCAGGACGTGGGAATAAGAAGATCGGATAACGGAAGATGAGCACTAGAAGTGTGAGCACAACCTCACTACAGACAGTACTACACCACCACCAACGGTATGACGGTCGATGACGAAGATGGAGGGAGAATGAAGGGTAGACAACACCCAGAAGTGTGTTTAAGAGGGGAGAAGAGGGGAGGGGAGGAGGAGGGGGGGAGGAACGAAAATGGGCAAAAGAGAGAAGTAAAGGGAAAAGAAAGAAAGAGGAGAGGAAATAGAACAATGTGTGAGAAAGTAGGAAATTAACAAAAAAAAAAAATAACAATAATAATTTAAGAGGGCCGTGGAAGAAAAGCCGAAGGAAAATACAAGTTTGAAAGTAATATTGTGGACAAAAAAAAAAAAAAAGGTTTCCCAAAGTATTTTCCCGCGTCTAAAGATGGGGTTCGTCACTTGTTAGTGGTTACTACTCTGGACAGTCGCAAAGAGAGGGACAATTAAAAAAAAAAAAAAAAGGGAAAAAAAAGGAAACTTGTAATTGTAATCGGTGTCTCCCGTACGTCCGTTTGTTCCTCTTACCTCAGGCACTGTCTTTTAGTGGACTTCAGGGCTTCTGTGGGGGGGGCATGAACCACCGTTGTCGCTGCCTAGAAATGTGAAAAAAAAAGGAGAACAAAAAGACAGATAAAAAAGGACTTTATTCATGAATCTCTGGTCCAATATTCTCTGGACCTCGCCTTTCCCTTTTATATACCTCGACTTACAGGAAAGTATATAATGCGCAGTACTATACCTAGTTCAAGGTAAAGTATGTAGGTATCAACGATTACACTGTATTTCCATGAGCAACAATGTTATCGGCTGGACTTTTACCGTTTGTAGTAAGAACAACGAACGTACTGCGCCAGGTCCTTTTTTTTTGCTCGACAGATACCCTGGACGAAAAAGAAATTCATTCTTCCCTGTTCAACGATTGTGAACCAAGCACTAGGCGAGCACATTGCCGAGATGTCTATAGATCCGCGCTTCCCCCTCCATAGTTGAGTTGCGAGACGGTCACAATCTCGGTACGTGCATCTTCTTCCACCAAATAAGCCTAACGTCAAGTATAGAGATCATAATATGTCCCTTACTGCGCCGATTCTAGCTGCCAGACCAGTCATCTTTGAATATGCAAGATAAGCGTTACAGCCTGACAGGACCGCAGGTGATCAACCAAAAGCAAAGAATGCAGAACCAACCGTAGCCGACGAATAATTAACGACACGGTCTACTCAAAGTACAATTGAAGCGATTTGCGTGACACAGGCGTATCGCGCAATATAATGGAGGGGCTCATGGAGGGGTAGCCTGTGATCAATGCGTGGGTTATTATACCCAGAGAAGAACCCCTCTATTGCCCAGGGTGCTCGCTAGCCATGTAACTATACACTTTGGGGGAAAAAAAGCCCTGTATCATTGGAGAGGCGTTGGTCGTACAGCAGAACAATTAAATTCTAACAACGACTTTCAGTGATGTCATGTGCCTAGATTCTAGAGATCGTTAATATATGGGACGCTACATCTTGTTCTAGGGTATTTCTCGAATTCAATGATCCCGATATCTACAATACATATACCGGATGTGCGGAGTATATAGAATGCTGATCATTCAAAAAGAAACTCTGACATTTTTACTTCTTGTTCCTGTTTCCCCTTTCCTTTTTTTTTATTAAACTTTATTTCCATTCTTTGTTCTTAATGCTAGGTATGCGACAGGAGGATCAGGAGTCATACCAGTACATGGATACGTACTCCGACCTGAGGCATGCAAATAAAGGCACAGTCGGTTCTTGAATGTAATGAGTTTACATACCAGTGGGGCACCTGTCAAAGCCAGTCTAACAATATTACAAGCCCGGACAACCACAGGCACAGCAAACCATAGCAACCAACAATTCATACAAATGGATGAATCTAGTTGAATTTCTCTCGAATGCACTGGGCTAAATTCACCCCTCCGCGCTCCTCCATGGCTTGTCAATTACGTACTACAAATTAGCAAATACGGGGACATTGTAATATAGTACTCACGTGCGGTGACTCCATGACAATGACCGGTTTCTGTAAAACCACCCATGTTTCAATCGGGCCGGGTAACTGAATCGCTGTTCCCCTCGAAACATGGTTTCAACATTAAAATTTCTTCATCCCATTACCATAGGTGGTGTATGTATCCGTCACAAATCTTATGCTCGATTCCTAACTTAATCAAAATATTTGGTCTGGTCTGTGTTAGCGTTGATACTTGCAGAAAGTGATAGGCTATGTGCTTCTTAATATACCAGTAATTCAGAAACCAATCTAAATGATACAGCAGCTCCGTACTGGATTAATTATATACAGATCGGTATATTCGGAAGGCCCAGGAAGCCCACACGTGATACATGAACGCATTTGTCTGCGCTTCCGGCGTATGCCGTGGGGATGAAGGTTTCTGTTCCTCACATCCCACTGCATAACCCATGCACCAATGGCAGCAGCCGTAGATGCCCGAGGCGGAAGAACGAGGTTCCTTGCTCTCGCTACTTTACCCATGCGGTTAGCCAGTTCAAAGGAGGGAAAAATGGGATTTCTGAACGGTCGCTTAGCGCAAGGTTATTAGGGCTGAGGCTCGAGGGTCGAAGGGGATATGGTTCGGAATTCTTCGGATCCGTTGTTTTCAATGGGCTTGCGGCCGAAAGGTCCGGGATATCACATGATCGATCATTGGAGATTGGATTAGTCAAATCTTCATGTCTGGATTCTATTTCCGGAATGCCGATAGGTCAGATGGTTGGAGAGGGATATCAATTAGTAGGCATTGCGATTATTATGGATATACATGGTTCTGTATGTATCGTATCGTGCAGTCATTACATAAGTCACGTCGTCAATCACTACCAATGTCTCACACCGATCAACACCTGCTCATTGGGGTCCAATTCGATGGATGTCAGCGAGCCAGTGACCAGTCCCAGACGCGTGAGGACCTGCCACACCAGTTTGCGCTTTAGGTTCTCACGCACCGGAACCTTCTCGAGAGCATCCATTCCATTGAAGTACTTAATGTAGACCGGCCACAAGTCCTTCATTGCGGTTCGAAGCCCTGCATGTTCCGGGTCGTTCTCGTCGATGTTAGCTCGTCCTTTCAGAGAGAACCTGGGGTGTTTAGGGAATCGCGAAACGATCTCATCGAGCCACCGAGACTCTAGTGGTGGGGCACGGTGGGGGAACAGAATCAACGATGCCGTTTTCAGGGAGGTGTCCTGGTTTAGGAGTGAATGCGAGAGGTGTAGTCTGCTGTCAGGTTTATACCGGCCAGGCATCGGCGTTTCCTCCCCGCTGTCCTGGCTTGCGAGAGAGGACGATGAAGACGAGCTAGCATCGTCGTCATCGTCATTCTCTGACGTGTCGCCACCGTGCTTGCTCTTGCCTGAGAGTATGGACGACCCTTGTTTGCTCAGGTATTTGTCCACCTCCTCACGTCGAAGAGCCCTCTCCACTGCCATTTTAATCTCTGGAGACACCTTGACTCGCGCAAACGTTCGGAGTTGAGTCACCCATCCTCCCCGTAATAACCATGCTAGGATCGCAAAATAGGCCTCTTTATGGTCTTTACTCGGAATAAAGCTTCCGTAGGGTCTAGGCGTGCCACTCAAGGCCGACAACATCTTCGGTAGACTGGGAAGGGTTGGAAACGCTAATTGGTATGCGGCGGTAGCTACTTCTAGTTTGCTGAGGTCACAGTTCGGGGAGACAAAATACACATCCCTCTGGTGGAGTGGTGGGATGGCGCGCGCTCGCCTCCAGTACACCAGATGGCTCGCCAACATCTGTATGGTGGAAAGCGGTATTCCTGACAACGCAGATATCTGGGCAAATGATTTCGTCGGCCTGGAACATCGGATATAGTGAGCAAGGGCGGGAGCTAGAGCACCCCCTGACGCTTCTACATCCTTGAGGATTGTCGCTTCGTCACTAAGCAATAGTAACGCAAAGTGTTTGGCTAGCACTTGATGCGGAGCAGTGTTATCATCAGCGGTGGGGTCGTCAGCGGGGGTAACGCTATCTGCTGTTGTAAGCCAGAGACCTGGGTACGCTTTGTCGCTTGGCCCAGGGAGATAAGGCGTTGAGGTAAGAGGTGGAATCTGAAGCGAAATAGATACGTCCGGGCTCAGCGAAACGGAGGCGATCTTGGATGCTGAAATATTACTGTAAACTGTGTAAATTGCCCTTGCCAGGGAGGAATGGTGTATGAGTTCCGAGTAGAGCGTATTGACAGACGTCCCTGTAATCATTAGCGCCAGAGTTCTAACTGAAGCTAAACAAAAACCCAGTCACCTACTTGTCTCTTTCGCTTTTTCCTTGATATGCGAGATATGCTGAGCCTCCCGCCAGACGTAGTCCGTTCGCGCCTGCTCCCACTTCAGTGCTTTAGCAAACTTCTTGATGATATTATCGTAGATCTCTCGGATGCGCATGGAGTACTCCAACAACGGAGGGTCCAAGACAAACACCACATTGAACATGGTCATCGAATCCTTATCGTCACCATCCAACATTTCACTTAGTGTCCTTGAACTCCTAATGCTTCCCATCGATGCCCGTTGAGATTCTGATGCCGTCATCGTATGCGGGCTCAATGTCTCTGTTGAAGCAGCGATAGCCTCATCGGCATCCTCGCGCGCATCATCCGGCGTTTCATTATGACCCAGTTCGCCTCCTTCCCACTCCGGTTTGGTCTTCTTCTTCTTCCTTCGCTGTTTCCTCCAAGTCCCATCCTCTCGAACAAAGACCGGCCACCCAACAAATGCCAGATCATTAATTCCGACCTCAAACCGCCGCTTATGCCACGACCGAGACGGACTCAGCAACTTCTCCCAAACATCAGCCTGCAATCCAAGCAGCGACTCCCACGGTGGCCGGAGCCCCCCTCCTGAGGCCCCCGCCCCATCCTCTTGTCTATCCGACCCAGCCCCGGGGTCATCCTCGACGTCCGAATTGCCCCCACGCTTCCGCAACCCGCGACCCGAGCCTATGGACCCAGCGCGCTGCGAGTCTCCTCCAGGCGAAGCAGCCATGGAACCGTGGTCATCGAGGCCAAAATTGCTCCACCGGCGCGAAGCCGACAAGGCGCTCCCGGCGAGATGTGTGGTGCTCGCATTCTGACTCTGAGCATGCGACTCCTCCTCGTCTTCATCGGACGTCGTTCCAGACTCTTCGCTGGAACTGGAATCGTTGCTTTTAGCGGATTTGGCGCGTGAGGGGCGGCGGCCTTTGGGTGCTGCGCGGAGTCCGTTCTCACTGAGGGGGTTGGGGGGATAATGGAACACGAAGCGAGGGCCGGCGCGGGAACGCACGATTAAGATAATCGCGACCAGACATGGGTCTGGCGGCCGTGCGATTGACGACATTCGTGGAGGGTACGAGTTTAGGTGTGAGGGTTTGGGGATGCGGCGTTAGTTTTGTACTTTAAAGCTAATGGTGATGGATGCGCTCATTGGGTTGCCCGTCCGCTGGACCCCAATTTGGCTTTCCCCGCATGGGTTCGCGTCAACTGGTTGATCTACATTGCGGAACTTATCACCTCCAATACATGTCTGTTTTGAAACCTTATGACTTTTATTTTATTCGAGTGGACGTATTGTACAAAAGAAATTAGATATATATACAACCCGGCAACGCCCAAAAGAAGAAGAAATATCTAAACATCATACATGGTATCATACAACTGCACCAAGCTTGGACAACATCACGACTTCTCATTGGCATTCTTGTTTTCCTTGTCGAAAATAAGTCCCAAATTCTTGAAGTCGTCTGGTGCCATCAAGTTCCTAAACCAGACGTCTGTTAGCAACCATCCATAAACAGGCCCAGACGAGATTGCACGTACTTATCCATCCGACAAGCTAGATATCCCTTAGCCAATTTTCGGCACTCCTCATCGTTGACGCCGCGCTGGGACTTGATACACTTGAGGTAACCAGCGATGAGGTGTTTGCATTCGCCTTTGTTCAATTGGATATTAGCACGGTCATGCTTTCTCGGGTTCGATATGATCGACGGCAACTTCACCGAGACTCCGGCGGCTCGGAAGATCGGAATCGAGGTAGATGGACGTGTGATCGATGGACGAATTAGGGAACTATACCTTCATGGTCAAGCGGGAAACTACCGCGCTCGGGACTGCATAGCAAGTTAGCCTTCATCTTTTGAATCCATAGCTTCATGGATGATATTGCATGGCTTAAATACGCTAGGAAGAATGAGGGAGCGTAGGTAACTCACGGGGTGGGCTTGGTGGGAGTAACACCGGTGCCTGGACTTCCGAAACCCATCGTGGATTTTCTTGTATTCGAACGGGGAAACCACGAGGAAAGAAGCGAAGTAATTGAGAAACGATCGAACTGACAAATTGAAGGTGTGGAAATAATACGGCCACGGGAATTGATGGTCTGGATTGAGAAAACGGCGCCGTCGGTCTCCGACCACGATCGAAACAAACGGTGCAAACTTCACCGTAAATCTCATGGATGGAATGGATACGATTTCAGACACGCAGTAAGTTGTAATTCTGAATACACACCCTGCAAGACTGTCGTAATGAACCTGTTTGTATTTTATTTGGTACGTAGGTTGGGCTAGATGAGAGTACCTTGCATGTTAGGTATGCTACAAACCTGTTACTTTTGTACCGAAATCTACGACAGTTGAACCCATATCTGCCGCACATGGTATGGCCGTCCCCTGTCTTCTGTAGAATGCATGTACGCTAGCCAGGGTGACCTTGCAAAAGACATATTCCGGGGAATGCGGGAATTTTGCTCCAATCCAGGTACTGTGAATAGTTTATTCAGGTTAAGGATCTTCCTTACTAGGTGACCTCAACAAATATACTCCGTACGGAGTATATTGAGTTATATCTGCTACACTAATTCCTGCTTTGTGACGCTCAGAGACTCTACGGATATTGAACTCTACCATGACTACAATATCCGATACTGCACAAATGGCATGCTACAAAGAAAGATAAGGTTCACAATGTAAGAACTGTATTGGGGTATCATAATAGCTAAGCCAAATCCATTTTCATAACCTGCGTTTAGCTGTTAGCCAAGCACAAAACACATTTGCATGTGGTTAAAGCAGATAGTGTGGTGATATCAGTTCTCCAAGGTGAAAATTGTTTTTCTTCAATGATGTTCAGTAAGAACACAGCGAAATATTTGTTGTTCATCATTGAAAAGCCGGGGCAAGAAGATCGAAATGTACTCACACTTTGGATTTAGTTTGGTTACTCGGCTACAGTAGCAAAAGTTCCTACATCACGAAACGAGTCAGCACATATCAAGAAAGTGTTATGTGTGATTCAGCAGTGTGATGTGTCAACAATAGTCAGGCTAATAAATGTTAGCGTAATGATACTTGTACACAGTAGCATATCCGAACTCACCTCATTAAATCAGAATTTTTGTACAATGTTCATACCATGCAGAGCATGGATCACACAGTGTGAATAATAAGATTCATCATATAAAGTTGACTGGTTTGGGGTGTGCACAACAGAACCAACAGCAAAGTGGGACAATACCTGAAGACTTGTTAGTATACTGCAAGTCCCATGAATGGTAACCAAAGAAGGATAAGCCGAAATCTCAGGTGACGAGTTCTCAACAAGTAGTACACCGTCCTACACCCGCAAAGTTTGTACGCTTCGCTTTTGATGGATGCAGATAGATGTATACGTTATGTCCGCCCGTTCGTTCATGGTTTCTTCATTGGAATCGAACAAGAAAATGGAAGAGATTTATTTACCTATTGACAATTCTGTTAGTCAATGATCATGCAAGTTAAAACTTGGTTGATAGCAGCAAAAGATGTAAAGGATGTCAGACAAGGCTGAAACTTTAGTTAAACACGAATTCCACATGGTGATTAAGTTTGAGGAATGCCATAGCGTGTCATAGCGTCATCATTCGAGAGGAAAAAAGAATAAATGAAAGAGGGAGAAAAGTCTGTCGCATACCTTTAAAATGACTATGGAGAACATTCGAAGACAAAATGAAGTCAGGTCATACACAAACTTCAATATCCTAACACAGAGCGTTAGCAGGTATTCATACACACAACACCATGGACGCAAGTCATGGTTGCTGCAATGATCAGAGTAATTCTAGAGACTTGGAATAGGTCCTTCATGCTTTTTTCGGCCTTGGATACTCCTGTTAAGGAATTCATCCTGCGAAAAGTGCTGCATAAAGTGGGAGTAAGAAAGAAATATGTCAACTCACTTCTTGATATATAGATGGATTGTACACTACACAAGACAATCTCAAGCACCCAAGACCATGACTTGTGACTTGAGACGTCAGGGTAATGTTCAATCCATCTTGTTGTTGTCGCTGAGATGTAAAGCTGGGAAAGTTCAAAGAAAAAAATGTTGTGGGTGGGACGAAGTTTTATAGGTGGAGAGCTTGGACCAACGGTAAGCGGGTTTGACCGAGAGCGTTGTTTGCTGAAAAGACAAACACAGCAATTTCCTACCCTAACACATCCATCGAGATCATACTATCTTTCACTAGTGTTCATGGAAAAAAGCAAGTACGGACGGGTCAATGTTTTACTAAGTAGTATAATGAGAGAATTGGGCCACTGCGGCCGCCTATGTTAATAGGTCTGAAGCCTAACCCTGACGACATCATTGACAAAGCTTGTCATCACAGTCAGTTGTCGCCTAAGGGCTTTCCTAGCAAGATTGATTAGGAATAGGTGATTGCGTAGAAATGAGGTTCTAGGACTAGCTAGAAACAATGGAAGAAACACTCTGTATTGCATGATAGCTTTCTTCCCAGTTCTAGCCTGCTGCCTTATCAGTGTGCTAATTGCGGAGCTGCTTTCTTGGTTCACCGCGACGTCATACTATCCACTGACGGTAATAACATTGGGTGCGTCAACTTGACGTCGATTGGTAGGTTAATCCTCCTATTAAAACGAACCTTCTTTATTAGGCCTGCTCCAGTATGAAATATATATAGAGGGCATCGTCTCTTTGTCGGCTGTAGAACAACAGGAAATCAAACTCATCAAATCATTCAAGACATAACTACGTCTTTTCAGAACAAAATGACTACGTTCAAGCTCAACACTGGTGCAGAAATCCCTGCCATTGGTTTTGGCACCTGGCAGGATGCCGAGGCACAAGAAGATGCCGTGGCTGAAGCCATTAAAGCCGGATATCGTCACATTGACACTGCCCGAGTGTGAGTTCATGCTCGGCAGCTTTGCGAATGGTATCCAGTGCTGACAATCGATAGTTACGGAACCGAAAAGGCTGTAGGAAAGGCCATCAAGAAGAGTGGTGTGCCCCGTAAGGAGCTTTTCGTCACGACCAAGCTCTGGAATAACAAGCACCACCCCGATGACGTCGCTCAAGCCCTTCAGGATTCGCTCAACGACCTGGATCTAGAATATGTCGATCTTTTCTTGATGCATTGGCCTGTAGCATGGAAGCGAGGAGATGAGCTCTTCCCTAAGGAGAATGGAAAGCCGGCTGTCATAGATGTTGACTTCGTTGATGTAAGCCTCCACACCAGCAACGTTCTAAATTGCAAAGCTGTATGACTGACTGCATACAACAGACTTACAAAGCAATGGAAAAGTTGCTGTCCACTGGAAAGGTCAAAGCAATTGGCGTTTCGAACTTCTCCAAGGCTGACATGGAGCATCTGCTCAAGAACACCTCAGTCGTGCCCGCGGCGCATCAGCTAGAAGGCCACCCATGGCTGCAGCAGCGTTCCTTTGTCGACTGGCACAAAGAAAAAGCCATCCATGTCACCCACTACTCTCCCTTCGGAAACCAGAATGAGCTCTACAGCCGTGAAGGTACTATTGGCAAGTTGATTGACGACCCGGTACTGGTAGAGATTGGCAAAAAGTACAACAAGAGTTCAGCTCAGGTTGCCCTTGGTAAGTGCTGCGTTCTGGGACCTCGATAATACTTGTGGGATATGCTAACTATTTCTTGTAGCTTGGGGTGTTACGCAGGGTCACTCGGTGCTTCCTAAGTCCAAGACCCCCTCAAGAATCAGGGATAACTTGGCAGGAGATTTCAAGCTGAGTGAGGAAGATATGCAGAAGATTCATGGAATTGACAGGAAACTTCGTTTCAACGACAGCAGCGCTGACTTCGGTCGGGACTTTTTCTCCGACTTGGATGGAAAGAAATGAGCTGTTAGGGTACCAAACATTAAGCTTTTTAGAGAACGATTGAATGACTACCTTTATGAAACTGCCAATATAATTGATTAATGCAAATCTTGGTTGCCATATAAAACCCCTTACTAATGTCATCTTGTTCTGATCATTCTTCTATCAAGCTTGCCTAAGCCCAAGCTTCGAACTGTACAAGCACTGTAAATTGGCTTTGATGCGGCCTGCTATATTAGAATGATTTCCATAGATGGTACCATAAAGTCTAAGACTTCTTTCCAAAGGTTTTCCGCACTCTGAACTTCCATGACTGCACCTATACTCAATTTGTGCTCGGCTTCTTCCATGAATGCCAAAGCTAGCTCGTCCACCACGCGCATGGTGTCTGGGTGGCGGCCCCACCATTCAGTATAAATAGCAATAATATCCTCCAGCAGACTGCGTGCTACGCTAATTTCACCATGTTGGATATTGGCCTTTCCAAGATTTGGTTTGGTCGACAATATGATTAGGTGAGAGTCGCTCAACACTCCTCTTTAACTGTCAAGAATGTGGAAGAGGATATCATTTGCTGCAGCTACCACACCTTTTTGGAGAAGAGCCCATATCATTCAATATATGAATATAAAGTTGCTTCCGTTCATCCTTCGTCAGACTGTTTTGGTCTGGCTTGTGTCGAGCGAAGTGAGCTGCTGCATTGCGTAAGTTTTCTTCAGCTTCCTCTAGCCTTCCAATCATCATCGATGCCATAGACTTGTTGTGAAAGATGGACATTGATATGTCAGGAGATAGTCTGCCAAACTGGCTCCTCAAAATTGATGACCTTTCGAATATGTGCAGTGCGTGGTCAAATTTATGCTGGTTGATATAGACCAAGCCAAGATTAATGAAGACGTCTGCTAATAACTCGGCCTCAGGCACGGTGAGTATCTTCTGATCGAGCGCTTTCTCAATCATCCGATAATCTACTGATACTTGGTCAGACTGACCAGCATGACGGAATAGTCGACCGAGAGCTTCAAGCTCGGTGAGATTGGCATATGTTCCCGCCTCCCCTGTTTTATATAACTCCAACACCGAGTAGCGTGCGGCTCCAGTCGTCGTATCGTCTTCCAAAAACCATCCTCATACGATCGTGGAAACTGTGCGGCTACCAGCAATATTGCACATTGTATGTACTCCTACTCATTAGTGTTCGTTCTTTGTCGGGCTACGGCTTGAATTGCTGGATAGATCTCCCAAAGTTGGTTTCCGTGGGCAGAAGCTTCTAAATACTTTCTGCTCTTTTGAAAGATTGCGGAGCCAAGCTGGATATGTTTCTTCTACTGCGCTAAAGCAAAGCTCGTACCATAGTTCCTGATAGTTGAGGTAGCTGAACAGAAATAATACCTTTGCAGCTACAGGATCTGTGTGCTCAAGCTCCCAAGGGCCTTGCTCTATGGGAAGAGAAAGAGATTTGCTGATTCCAGTGGGTGTTTCATCAATTCCATGATCCTTCTATTTATCCAAATATTCAACCGCCGTATAACGATGGCGAGAAAGAACAGAAGCTGCCAGCCGAAGTGTCAGAGGATGCCCTTCTAGAAAGCGTACCAGTTCTTCAATACCTGGCATCCATGATTAAATGAGCAAAGATGCAGTGCAAAATAGAAGGGGGCATATACAAAACGATGCCCAGCAACTTATTGTCAATTGTTCAACCCCAGATAAGATGGAAGAGGACATACAAGCTAGTATAGGAGGGTAAATTGCAGATCCTGAGGTTGATACCTGTAGGGGATGAGTTATATTGGGCCCTTTGTCTGTGGATGGGGCTTTTATATAGCACACGCAACGGGACCTTGAGTGAACAATAGCGTTGGCCGAACAGGAAAGGGTAAAGATCCCTACGACAAAGAGAATGAAAGTAAGTCTGAAGTCGAGCCGTTGGAGGATGCTCGAAGTCTATACCGCACCAACCCGGTGCCATATAGAATAGAATTCGATCCCGATCCCCGAGGGAAAAAAAGATTTAAAGCCAAGGTGATGTAGGATATAATCTGGAAAGACCAGCTGACCGTATGCACCCTCCAATGTGACTGTCTTTTATACGATGCTAGAATGATAACTTGATATTCCTCGACACACGACTTGCTGATGCTTTCACTTGACGGAGCGTAACCCTGAATGTCCCAAAATTAAGTGCTCTTACTTAGTCATTTAGTCATTTACTACTGTTTCATAATTGGTCTTTCTTTTTTCTTTTTTCTTCTATTCTTACTGTGGAATATAAGTCTTCAATCTTAGTGGCAAATGTTAAAGCGAAACCGACGAGTATATGGAATAGGCTAGGTACCATACGTTGGGCTAACACTGCACAGAGCCAGTTAAGATTCCCTACGGAACGGGCCGAAATTTAATTTTCATTAGTGAATGGGGGGCACTTTCACTGAACTTCACATAAATGTATCAGGACCCATAATAACATATATTAGTGTCCAACTTTAGTAAGTGAAATTGGGGTGCTTCCCAGGCACAGAGTAGTGATACTTGGTCTGAGTCTTTCTGTCTTCTGTTAGTGATTTACATGAACTTTTGATACTCTTTACTACTTCTGATTGAGTGGTCTACCACTGTATCAAAATGCTTGATGAATTGGAGTAATACGTGGAATGTCATCCATATACTTAATGAGAAAATATTTTTACTAGTTATATAGCTGGAATGAAGATCGGCTATAGGAGTCGAGTAGGTAGAATAGCCAGCGGCATTCGATGAGATTAGTACCTGCGAATAGTTGACCTCTACAGAGATTCTCCTTGGAAGCCGGCCCGTTGTATATTGATAGTGTTACATGTTTTAATGTTATTTGTAGGACTTTTGCCTATCTATAGATACGTAATTTTCAGGAACTTGTTAAGTAATACGTTAAAGGAGGAGATTTCTATGTCGTGGTTTGTGATAGCGTCGACAATGAGGATTTTTGTGAGAGTTTCGATTAGATGCCCGGGGTCTCTCGTTCTATAGAATTGTTGGAACAGAGATTGGGATAGTTGTACTTATATAGTGTCTCCGAAACCTTGTTATATAGTAGTGTAGTCAATTATGATATTGGATGCTACGGTTCTTGTGCAGTTGTAGACTGGACGAGGTATTTATTTTGAGATAGTAGAGGTGCTATTAAAATGTATTGATTGACGAGAACATCTCACAATGAAGAACAGAGTAATGAAGCAGAAAAGGCGAATCCAGAGGCAAGATAAGAACAAAGAGAAACATTAGAAAGTGCAAAAAGAGCTCAGCTTCCGATACAGAACCCGGGAAACGACCTTTGCATCCTCTCCACCAAAGCTGAAGGCTTTTTCACAGAGAGTTAAAGGATCCAAGGGTTAGACCACAGTTCAGCCGGTCAGACGTGTCTTTCGCCACTTTAATAACTTCTGGCATCAGGCTAGTGCTACCGGGCGCATAAGATCGCACACGAAGCTACACACTTGCGGGCCGTATTCGCAAGCGATGAAGGAGGTCGTAAAGACCATCGATCACATTTCTAATACCCATTTCCCTTGACGCCCGCAACGTACCTTTGAAGTCGTATGTTAGGTTTGCAAAAGTAGCATTGTTGGTGGACATACCTATGACCTTAGCAGGAGTTGGTAGCTTGTTTGACGAGATCTCTTCCCTGTGCCCTACTTGGATGTACTTTGTTATGAATTTGAAGACGTGTCCCTTTCGAAAACCCCACGTAATACATAGCCACTCCATGGGACTTTCCTTAGCTAATGTTAACTGCATCTTTTCATAGCCTTGAGTCCACAGATCAGAAAGCATGGCGACAGCTTCGTAACATTCGTAGTAGTCAACAAGGATAGCCATCTCTGTCAGCCAGTCAAAGGACAGAATTTGCAATACTAACTGATTCTGACCGTGAAAGAGAGCCATCAGTAACAGACACGGCACAGGTTTCCAGTCACAAATTAGCATCTCCATATGGCCCGTAGATCGGAGATCGTTGCCCTCCTGGAACCCATTCCGGATTGTGCACTTGAATTGTGAACTAGCTAGTATTAGATGCTTTGAGCAAGCCCGGATGTGCAGAGACGATGGAATAATACTTTCGGTGGGAGATGATTGACTGTTCGGCGAAGGTTCGTTAGTTGGTTTGGAAACAAAAGTCTCTGGTTGGCGTTTTCATATCTGGCATAGGATTTGGAGAGGAGAGTAGCGTTGGGATTGCTCAAGCTATGTGGCAGGGTTTTTGGAGCATTTTCAATGATAAATGTCACGTCTCCATCAGAGCCAAATTCATAGAGTATGTCAGACATCTTGAGATCTTTTGGATATCTTATGGCACTCTCTTGGTTTGCGAAGCTTGCGTAGTTGTGGGAATAGCTGATGGGGGAGTATGTGAGAGTTCAGTTCAGAAGTTATGATAGATATTATTTAATTTTCTCTATATTAGAAAGTACTTTAACTGTAATATCCTTGTAAGTAATTTTGTATGGAGGAACACACGGTTAGTTGAAACTTCCCTATAACCAGGTATTAAGCAATTTTATATGGAAAATGATTTCAGCCCCCTAAAAGTTGCTTTTAACGTGTGTATTGCTTGTATTGAGGTTGCTTATAGACAGGTTTTACTGTACTAACAACGAAAGGCTACAGGTGCTTTGCAGGAGACCCCAACTCCCAGAATCGATTCTCATCCTACAGGCTATACCTCTGTAAAGGACCAAATCATCGTCCAAGAAACATACCACATTCTATCACAAGATACTGTTATCCAAGATGTCTTGGCAAGGTACAGGCCACACATTCCCCCTCCCCCATGCAGTTAGCTCTACAGTTACGAACAAGATTCGACTATGTTGAGTATCAACTAGCTGGTCAGGGCCTTGCCCACGCCGCCTTCATAGGAGAGCATCTTGCTGTTTGAGCATCTGGCAAGGATTTTAATGTAAGTTTCCAACTGATAGAAGCTAGCTGGGTTTTAACAAACCATAGATGCCTCAATGAAGTCTCGATTTCGATGCCTATTTGATGCTAATCTATGGTCAATATATTGCTAGCAGTAGGAAACTTCCCGGCGAACATTATCCTGGTGGGAGGATAGTATGGCTGTCAGATTTTAAATAAGCCGAAACACAGAGCCGAGTCTCGTTCTACATGGTTGAAACATGTCTTCCTCAGAGAAAACGTCTGAGGGTAGCTAACAAATATGTACAATACATATACATCCAACCAGCTTGTTTGATATGTCAGGAACAAAAAGGGTTCACTATCCTAGCTTACCTACTCCATACTGTGTACTAAGTACATAGTATACCTATTCCACAAAGATTTCACTGGATAGCCAAACTCGACCAAACTGAGAATATGGAAGTCTACCGGAAAATGAGATTGAGAATGCAGATTGTCATGTATCTAATAATACCTCAACGCTGTGGTGGAGAAAAAGAGAACGGTAAACTTGACTGCTGCCTAGAGTCTATACTCAGACCTCCGTCAGTCTGATATTAGGGCTTAACTTGTTCTACAGAATAATTTCTCCGGTTACATCAATTTAAAGACTTAACTCTAGCTTAATATACCCTGTATAATTACAGGCAATACACCAAGTGATTTACTCCCAAAGAACATGCACTAGAACCTGCAGGGGCTTCCCTGCAATAATGCTTACCATGCATACAGTATGCAATTCATATATAGCAGCACCACCGCCAAGCTAAACGATTTACACTTTTAGTGTCTATCCTCCATGCAGAATAAATCTACAGATAAAACCACATGAAGCTTTCCACTATCCAATATCTCAAAAAGACTCTGCACAGCATGTCATAACAGTCCAGATAGACAACGGAACCACCATCTTGGCAAAAAGGCAGTGCACTTGATTTATTTAATCAGCCAAGAACTCCCAAGAAGCAAACATTTAGTGATCAACTTCCCGAAGCCTCTCCTATTTAATAATAAACACAAAGTTCTAACCGGGACACAGCTTCCTTGGAACTGATTGGTTCCGAAGCTAATCTCCGCGGCTAACAGTTAATCTTCGTCTGTTCATCCCGGGCTGTCAGTTGACTATAAATCGTCACGACTGGTCATTCATTTATGTTCCCTCTCTCTGAACATAACATCTACCATCAACACTGGCACCCACATCATAAAATAAATTCCACATCTAAATGCCCCATATCGAGAAACCCACCCACAGGATGGGCCTACAGAATGTGAACATCCCCACCGCAAAACGATACCTCCCACTCCTAATATCCTACATAATGGACTGGGTATTCATCATGTACATACAGACATATCCCCTCCAGCTACAATCTCCTTACAATACAAGACTAATACAAGAGAACCAGAGGAATAGCCCTAATAGGCTACGGCTTCCACAAAGTCACTCCCAACCACCGACCCTTCACACTCACAGACCCCAGCATCTCATTCCCCTACACGACCCATGAAACGGTGAGTACAGCCGTTCTAGTCGTTGTAGGTCTCATCATACCGGCTGTGATTATCGTTCTCGTGACCCTGGTGATTATGCCCGGGGTATGGAACTGGCGGGTGAAGATTTGGGAGTGGAATGCTGGGTGGTTGGGGTTGGCGCTGGCCGTTGCGGGGGCGTTTATGGCAACGGAGGGATTGAAGGATTTGTATGGGCGGCCAAGACCGGATCTGTTGGCCAGGTGTGACCCGGATCTGGGCAATATTGGGGCTTATGTGGTTGGGGGACTTGGGGGTAAAGTGGAGGGTGCGCCGAGAGTGGTGAGTTGGGAGATTTGTAGGAATACGGGGAAGGAGTTGGTTGTGGATGGGTTTGTGAGTTTTCCTAGTGGGCATTCTTCTTGTGAGTTTTTCTTTTCTTTTCTTCTCTTCTTTCTTCTATTTTTGTTTCTTTTTTTCTGGGGTTGCCTAGGGTTGATATTGATTGATATCTATCTAGTTGCCTTTGCCGGTTTGACCTATCTGAGTCTGTGGTTATGTGCAAAGTTGTCCATTGGATTCCCTTATCTGGCGCATTCGCCCTTTGGCCAGGATCTGCGCGGCCAGAAGCGTGAGACCATTCGCAACCTGGGAGCTGCACCTCCCGTCCTCTTGGTGATCCTTGCCTTTGTGCCGATGGCAGTTGCCTTCTTTATCTCCGCTTCGCGCTGGTTTGACTTCCGACATCATGGATTTGATATCATCTTCGGCTCCGTCATGGGCATGGTTTTCGCATGGGGGGCATTCCGCTTGTATCACCTCCCCATCATGCGCGGTGGCGGCTGGGCCTGGGGCGTCAGAAGTCGGCGACATGCCTTCTTTAAGGGCGTCGGACTCCCAAGTCACATCGGCGGCGACAACTGGTCCAGCGTGAAAGACATTCCACAGTCAGACGAGCGCGCAGCAGGTCAAGACATCGATCTGGAAAGCGGACCACGCAACCTGGCCGAATGAGCAGAATCCCAGGATGAAGGTGTTGTGGATGTTAGTTTGAATCTTTCTTTTGCCCCCCTCCCACACGATAAGTTAGTCATAGCTGTATACCCCGTTCGCTCGCACTATAGTCTCGAGAATTTCCGTGCGACATATTGCTTCTTAAAGTATAATGTTACGTTATAAGATCAAGTTCAGACCCCTCCCTTTTTTTTTTTTCAATGGAAATCACCAAACAAAAAAAAAAAAGAAGAGTCCCAACCTGTATCGTAGCATATCACCTCCACCCACCCACTCTCCCCTCATCCCACCGCGCCTTCGCCTCGCGTCTCGCCTCCAACTTAGCCCCTTCCGCTCGCACCCGGCGAATCCAATCCGCAACCTCCTTCTCCGTTGCCCGTCCGTGATGATGATGCTCTTCCTCCAAGAAGCTCTCCTCCACGGCATGACAAACCGCCTCCTGCTCCGAAATCGACGCCGCAAGCCGCTGGTACAACGCCTTGGGCGACCACGGCGCCAGCGCGGCGTCCATATCTGTCTGTTTCTTCCGCCACGATACCTCCAGCGATTGGTGCGTTAATAGAAGCGTCTCCGTCGACCCGCGCAGTTCCGTAACCCGCCCCTGAAGCTCGAGTAAATGGCTCGCCAGGTCCTTGTTATACTTTAGTAGTGACTGGAGGTACTCTTGATGGGCGGCGTGGGATGGGTGTCGACTCGCTAGCGCTGAGATTAGATTCGGGTCTTTGAGGATCGTTTGGAGGTCTACGGTTCTGTAAATATGGACAATTAGATCCGGTTGTTCTCCTCCCGGTGCGGACGAAAGGGGGAGGGAAAGAGGGGGACGGACGATTTCTCCTTCACGTTCTCGGGTAACCAACCCTCTTCAACGGTCGGGGGTCGCGGGAGAGACGTTCCAGTGGGATTTAGGGTTGCGGCCGGTGGGTAGCGATGCATGGTCATGTCTGCTCGGTAGGGCCGTTCGTGGAGGGACTGCGGCGTTCCTGGGAGCGAAGGGTTGAGCTGCGGTGTCCCCCGGCGACTCGCCTCGTGGCTGGTGGGCTTTGGCGGTGGGGGTGGAGGCGTATCGGAATTCAGGACTGGGTTCATTCTGGCGGATGAGAAAAGAACTTGTTGCTGGGATTCAATGCGGAGGGGATGGTCGGGATTGGATCTTGTTTTGTTGGCTTTCATGCGGGGAAACCATGTGGGTGGTCACGTGGCTACGTCATATCATTTTAGATAATTGAATGCCTCCAAAAAGTCTAGATCCATATAGTCCCATGGTGGGAAATGATGTGGACATGATTATCGTGATAATTTGTGATTACTCTAGACTACTGATCTGATTGGTATACCGTCCAAGGGCATAGAGTGGGAGTGTGATGACTGCCGGAGGCCGACACCAACATGATCATCCATTGAAACAGAACGCTAGCCCTATATACTACCGGGATACTCCTTTAATGGTCCTGAAATATCAAAAGTGTTCGAGCCATCACGCATTAGATCATTCCTATGCGACTCCCGCCAGGCGACTGGCCTGGTATCCGCCTCTGGTAGCACATGGGTTGGTACTGCATAACGTCATGACTTCTACAGCCACAGCAAGTCAGCAATAGGAGGAAGATTCTCACTGCCTGCATATCGCACTTCTCCGGTGTGGATATCCCCCGGATCTCCGTGGCTGTATCCGAGTCTCAGAACCAGGACATAGTAGTCCAGCCACTCAAATTGCTTCAACCGGTTTCTCACCGCGTATCCATGTAGTCGACACCCGGCCGAACAACGAGGACGCCCCGAGGCAGTGAGCAGCCTTGCCATTGATACGAACTTCCCTCAGTCTGGCTTAGTCCATTCTGCGCCGGACCTCCCGATCCTGAGTATCAACATTGGAACCCCGAATGGCCTCCATCACCAGCTCCCGGAGCTGAGCTTGTGTCGCTTCACTCTGGAAGTCCTCCCGGGCCGCCAATTCATCAATCCTCCGTTTGAACTCCGGATCCACCTGGTCGGTGCCAGCATTTGCCTCCTGCTCCGACACCGTACCCAGGTTCACCTTGATATTGGATGGCAATGGCGGAGCGGGGTTCAAGGAGTCCGCGACCTGGTCCTGCACCGGAGCAGGCGGCAGACCCATCACTTGGCGGAGATAGGCAGCAACATCAGGGAACGACCCGTCGGCCTCGATGGACTCCTGAGCGGTGATACCCTCATCGTTCGTGTGGTGGTAGTCGACGCCCAACTCCTCGACGAGGCATTTGGCGATCTCCACGGTCTCGGTCACGAACAGACAGGTTTCGGCATCTTCGTCGAGCAGGTTCACGTTGACGTGGAATTCCTTGACCAGGGCGCGGAGAAGGTCAATGTGGTTGTAGGATGCAGCGGCGTGGAGGAGGGAGTATCCATGCTCATCTTGGTTCGAGGCGATGGACGGGTCGGAACGTAAGAGAGTCAACACCGCGGATGGATTGTCGCAGGCCAGAATGTAAGGATTGGGTTGAGACATGATGATCACTAGACGATGAGTCAGAGATGAGCCATAAAATGTGGATTGAACGGGATCCTCACACAATAAGCGCTATGAATAAAATTAAGGCCAAAATATCAGGATAAGGATCGAAAGGGAAAAGGATTTGAAAGATTGGATGAGGAAGTGAATTAAATGAGGGGCAAGCTTTAAAAGATTAAATTTAATGCCCGGCGGAGAAAGAAAAAAAAAAGAAAAAAAAAACAAAAATGAATTTAATAAATTTAAATTAATAAAAATAAATCGAGTTTAAACTGCCCCGCAGATCCGATGTCGATAAGAAATTCAAAGCAACACAAAGAGACTCAAAATCAGCACCTGCTCTGTGTCATCAACTCCCCACAACTGACTCATCCCCTCGGACTCCCTCACTGGACACTTGACTCAACCGGTCAGAGATTAGGGGCGAGACCTTCTGGTTACATTGGAGGAATTTAACCCCTGTTAAAGCAGCTCCTTCCTTCCGAACCGTCTTCGTGCTCTGCTCAGCTCACCTCCTGCGCATATCCCCCCACTTGAGTCGAAAACCACCGCCCCCCCCCCCCGGTGAACTCTTTGGCTGGCGCAATTCCTCAAGAGATTCTCGCGTCTATTACAGACCGTAACATTCAAAATGGTCCAGCAGGACGTCGGAGAAGTCTCCCAGCTGGTCCAGGCCCTCGAGGCCGCCAGCAAGAGGGGCAAGGGCAAGGGCAAGCAATCTTTCACCTGTAAAAAGTCTACGTTTCCCGTGGCCGGCTCGGATAACATTTCCGTCGATTCGTGGAAGTTCATGGATTGGGATTACAAACGCGGCGATCTCCCCACCTACGCGCGAGGCCTCTTCACTACCCGGAGAAAGGACGGCGCACCCGAGATCGCAGTGCGTGGATACGACAAATTCTTCAATGTGGACGAGGTGAACGATACCAAGTGGAGGAATATCGAGAATAATACCCGGGGACCGTACGAACTCAGTGTGAAAGAAAACGGATGTATTATTTTCCTATCGGGACTGGAGGACGACACTCTGCTGGTCTGCAGCAAACACTCGACAGGGTCCCGGAATGATGCCGAACTGAGCCATGCACAAGCAGGTGAACAGTGGATTGAGCGACATGTCTCAACCGTGGGGAAGTCGGTGAAGGACTTAGCTCGAGAGCTACGCCAAATGAATGCGACCGCGGTTGGTGAACTCTGTGACGATACCTTCGAGGAACATGTCCTGGCGTACGATGAATCGGCTGCCGGTTTCTACTTGCATGGGATCAATTACAACGTGCCAGAGTTCAGGACGTGTCCTGGTACCGAGGTCCATGCGTTCGCCGATAAGTGGGGGTTCAAGAAAGCCAAGTTCGTGGAATACGACGATATCGAGTCGGTAAAGAGATTCCTCGATGGATGTGCAGAATCTGGAACCTGGGATGGTCGAGAGACGGAAGGATTTGTGGTTCGGTGTCAGAAGAACGAAGGTGGTCGAGGTCCGTACGAGGATTGGTTCTTTAAATACAAATTCGAGGAGCCCTACTTGATGTATAGACAGTGGCGCGAATGCACCAAGGCTGTTATAGCGGGGAAGGTCCCTAACATCAAGAAACACAAGAAGATCACCGAGGAGTACTTGAAGTATGCGCGGAGACAGCTCATCCAAAACCCTCATCTGGCGAAGGAATACCAGCACAATCACGGGATCATTGCCATGCGAGAGGGCTTCCTCCAGGAACGAGGCCTGAAAGGATCCGATATTATCGCGCTGGAGGCGGAAGGGCAGGAAGAAGTGAAGAACGATGTAATCCTGGTTCCAATCGCGTCGCTAGGCTGTGGAAAGACGACAGTGGCACTTGCTTTGACCAAGCTGTTTGGATGGGGGCATGTGCAAAACGATAACATCCCCAAGCAAAAGAATAAGCCGAAGAAGTTTGCGCTCGACATCACGAATCTTCTGGCGGCACACCCCGTGGTGATTGCGGACCGGAACAATCATATGCGGCGCGAAAGACAGCAGCTCATGGACGACATCTTTCCGGTTATCCCCAGGGCCAAGTTTGTAGCTCTGCAGTACGTTCACGAGCCCAAGGGGCAGATGCTGCCCGGCATTCGAGAGGTAACCCGACGGCGAGTGCTCGACCGTGGGGATAACCACCAGACCATCCGCGCTGGAAGCAAGAATTCAGAAGAGATTATCGGCATCATGGAAGGGTTCCTCAGTCGATTTGAGGGTGTCGATACCGACCGTGAACCGGACAAAAGCTTCGACGAGGTCATTGACCTAGACGTGTCTGCTGATTCGCGGGGCAATTTGGAGACAGTAGTGACAACATTGCATAAACTCTACCCACAAATCGTGAAACAGGTCCCTACACCAGAGGAGCTCGATGCTGCCCTGGACTGGGCGATGTCCGACTACCAGGTCCAGATAGACCTCAGCCACCAGTACGGGGCGAAGAACCAGAAGGACAAGAACAAGAAAGGCTCCCAGTCAACCCCAACACTTAGCGTAACCCCGGAGAGCTTAGCCAAGGGTATTGAGTACTTCTGTATCTCCCTGCCGGCAGCCGAGGTGTCGGAAGTTCTCCAATCTTTGTTCCCTCCCTCCACCGACCCCGAGAAAGCTCGTGTATACCGCCAGCTAGCGAATAGCCGACGCATCCAACCAACGTTCCATGTGACCTTGATTCACCGAGCTTCGAAGAAAGACCGCCCGGAAGTTTGGGACGGATACACCCAGCAATACATCCAGACGATGAAGGAGAAGCCTGAGTCAGATCCTACCGTCACCCCAGCCCTAGCTCCGGCCCGCGTCCGGCTAGAACGCCTTATCTGGGATGATCGTCTGATGGCTTTCGTTGCACGGATCATGCCCCCAGAAGACGAGGAACAGGCGGGATGGGCTTGCGCAAATGACATCCCACACGTTACAGTGGGCACAGTCTCGCCCCAGGTCAAGCCCAAGGAGAGTAACGATCTGTTGCAGCGCTGGCATCAGGAGGGATCTGGCGGCGATACGGGTATCTGGGAAGCTGAGATTCCGGGTGTGAAGGTAGTGAATGGTACGGTTGGACTGGTGATGAGTAGGAGGTAGACTTACGACCGATTATGTCTAGAGAAAGGACACAAAAGGCCTATTCAAAGAAAGGTCAGATAAAAGAAGAAGGAAAAAAAAAACAAAGTTTAAACATTAATGAATGAGTATACATTCAACACTTGATACATGAACACAACCTGATATCCATAGATGATGTATTTATATTAGGCTTTATCATTAGAACCTACCAGCGCATAGGACCAATAATCCACCACAATAACCTCCTTTCCCATCGTTCTCTCTCCCCTGTCTCCATATTACAGGCCCTTCTTTTTCGATAACATATTCTAGGCACCATTTTCGCAACAAGAATATATATCTTATCATAATAAATAAGACCACAACCGCCATCGTATCCATAATAATAACCCAACATCAACCACATACATGCATTAAAAAGACAAGAATACGGATTCCCAGACCATACTTGATTTATGGTATTTCTTTCCATACTAAAAATCAGGGGATAAGTAGGTTATGAATATGTGACTAGAGTCGAATATATCAAAGAGAGAGATTGGATATATTTTAAGAGTAGTTTAGTAGACATGGAGATGTTAAACCTTACTTGGGTGACAGTATCAGGAGCGGTGTATCTATGTGTGTATGTCTTTTAATGAGATTGGATGATCTGGTCTGATCTTGTCTGGCCAGGCGTTAGACCACTACGTCACTTCAATGTTGCTCAAAAATGGCGAGTCGCTGAACATTATTGGTCAAATGTTGCAATTATGAGGTATTTACTGTGTTGAAAGGGCCACGGTTGAATGTCAGTTGGCTCTCGAGCGATTTAATCTGGTTTAATACATTGTAGATATATTTAGAGGAGTCTTTTCGCAATTCGTTATCCGTTCATCGAGGTGTACAAGGGATGTAGAATTGTAGAATACATAAGCTGGGTCTATCATGCGACGATCTGTTAGCCCGCAAGATACATCTGGCGAGGGGCAGTCAGCTGGTCATCCAAGTCGTAACGCGCTGCGCTCCAAACCGTCCCATGAATTGCAACCCAGTGCTACCCATGGGAAAATAGCTGACCAGGTACCAGATCAGAGCAGCCAGTTGAAAGATCGACGAAATGAGGGTGAGGAAGGTGTTATGTCGCTGCGAAAAGAGAGAGAGTCAGCGACGCTGGTCATCTTGGGGTACGAATCTTGAAAATAGCTAGACAGGGGTGTGTGGCGAAGATGCGGCATCTGCGGTATATTTGTTGCCCCGAGCTCACATGTACCACGCACAGTGATGTCATGCAGATCTAGTTCCAGACCAAATGCACGCCAGATCGAGGTGCAACTATAACGCCTACTAGCGTGGGCGGCAGAGGTGCAAACAGAGACTAGGAGACGACACCATCCCCACCAAGGCATAGCACGGAACTGGGGACTGAAACATGAACTTACCCCGACAGCGAAGTATAGAGTCATGGCAATCGCCCCAAAATAGGCGGCAGTAAACGGCAGTCGTGGTCCCGAGACCAAGTGCTTAGCGTAAATCAAGGGTCCCATGAGAACTGCCCATGACAGCAGAAACAGTAAGGAACCCACAGACCATCTAATGAGAAACCGGTTCAGTCAGCCTCAAAGCATTCAAACTCTCCGCAGTGAGTGGTCGCCGGCAATATGCAGGATAGATGCTAGACCCGATCGGAGTGCGTGGCTCTCAGCCACACGCCTTACACCGCCGCGTGCACGGGACTCTAGGAATGTTGTGGTGTGAAGGAGCTCTGCGTGGATCCAGAGGGATGGCTCGGTATTTGGGGACTTACAGGATGGCGAATTTGCGGGGTTTGAGCGAGAGCACCGGAAATAAGAAAAAGCAAATAAAGAAACAGACAGCGGCGCCGGCATTGCATGCAATGAATACGAGCATACGATCCCACCGACTCACTAGTACGATATCAGCCTTGTGAAAACAAATGGAAGAGAGAGAAGACAAATGAGGTGCAAGAACGGAAAAAAGAACGGAAGCCTATGGCTTCCGTGGCACCCGTCTTGATGCAGGAACTGGATCTTCGTCACCTGGACTAGGCAGTGCAGAGAACCAAGGAATAGGAATCCTTCGGGAAATCGGTCATATGTTCGGAGACTTACAGGCGAAGAAACTATCTTCCTCCTCCCGTCGACTTGCAGCCGGGAGGGGAGCTCCTGGAGCTTCATGAGTGGGTAGTTGCACATATCCCTCGCCTTGACCGAGTGGATTCCATGACTGTAACCGAGATAGGAAAGACGTGGACGAGGCGTTAGTGCGTACGGGGACGTCTGGGTCTCTCCGAGACCAGCCCAATGAGTTGACTGAGTCGCGAAACGAATTAGTAGCCATGACCACGATTCGCTTTCCAAGAAAACCTGTTTTCCTTTCGTGATAGAGACTGAGACCTAGAAGGTCAGTAACTGTTACTCCCGCGTTAGTGTAAACGGCGGGTAGACCAGTGGGAATGCACCCTGGGATGGCAAGCTGAGGAAACCTCTGCAGGGACTATGCACGACGGAAACCAATATGCGCGTGCAGATGATCTGCAGATATGAACGATGGAGGGTGGGAGAGAATAGCACCCGGGACGGTGATAGGACAAGACAATGCGGGCCAGATGACTTTGCACAACCGGGCTAGACTCCGAGCTTGGGGCACGGGGGCAAAACTAATGGAGTGTCGCGGACACAGAGTCGCGTCGCGTCAATAAGCTTGTGATCGCCTTTTAGAACAGTTTAAAATGGCATCCAAGAGATGACGACGAAGCTCTGTCCCCTCGGTTTAAACTCTCGAGAGGGTTGCTTGAACTCTCGACGTTGATAGGATGAAGAAGGATATAGATCGAGCGGTGTAACGCTGCGTCCCACTAAGAATGACGGTATCTTCCACCCAAGGTATGCAAGCCGAGACGGTAATCCCGTACTGACTCACTGCGGAGATCGGAATGGGAGGGGGGTGAGGGAGGCTGCAAGATGATGGTCTGTTGAACGGACGTAACGGTGCGATAACACTAGTTCGAAAGCGATCGTCTCTACACAGACTGCCCTACCAGCCATTGTCAGATGACCCTCGAAAGGAGGAGAACTAAAAATGGGACGAAGGAGGGGGGGAACGATGGGGGGAAGAAGAGGGGGGGAAGAGAAGGTGTGAGTGAGGGTGGTGGTCGGACGCGAGGCAGAAACAATGATGGTGCATACCGTGGATATTTTCGGTCAACGCTAAAATGAGAAGAATCTTGATTTTCAGAGTTGTGTAGACTTTAGAGACAACTGGCTACCTTTTTTTTTTTTTTCCCCAGTTGGTCTCCCAATCATCCAGGAGAGTTGACAGATACCAAGGGAAAGTTAACATCGCCAGAACGGAAGAATGGACGTTCGCTCACCTTCTCAGCTTGAGAGCTCCTCCGGCACGGGGACTACTGGCCAATCAGGACTCTTACATCCACGGTTAGTGCGGGCGGTGACTTCAGGCGGCGCGGTGTCGACACTAAACCCAAAGTGAGCTGGTGATCCAGTTGAAGAGCGATCCGCCAATCATGAATTGTGAAGGAGCTTGGGGAGGGAGCAGCAATACATTGGATTGGTGGACGAGGGCGATCATAGTCTTTCATGTCTGTGATCATTGGCTAGGAGAGTCTCCGCCACCACCCACTCGGGTTAATTTGTTTAGCGCCGTTTCCGCAGAACCACCCAGAGTGACGTATGGAGTACTCGTGCGAAATGTATCTGCTTAGGGCAATTCGGGATATGTCTGAATGAATGTAGGTATGAATGTCTGCATGTATGTAATGATGTATGTACATGAGTCTGAATGGCAAGGTGCAGCCTTCCTCCCTCCACCAATATGGTTAGCCACCCGTTGTTCTTGTACCCACTCTATACCAAACAAATGAATCAGAAGCTCTTGTGATACTCCCCATACAACTGCGCTTGTTTAGACCCGTGGCGATCCAGCGTACCCCCTGTTGGGTCATCGACTTAGCCCAGTCGATCTTTTCTAGAGCAGCCGTTGATTGCAGAAGTCTACTTGAACTTCAAATTACTTCCTACCGGAGTATATTCGGGGCAGTGCAGTGAAGGACTAGTTTCAAAAGTAATACCCGAGTTGCATCTACAAGGCTAGTCTTCACCTTAATTACGTAGATGGCATTGCATACTACCTGCAATACCCCCGATATGCTCCTGGTCCACGCACCCCTCCAGCAGTTGCCAATGCCATGACCCCGCCAGTTATCTCATCTGAACTTCCACTTTCTTTCTTCCCGTGTGGGGATCGGATAAGAGACCCATCTAATATCCGAGGGCGATTTATCGCATCCCCCCGGCCCCATGTCTGAGGTTACATAATGGCTGCGGATATTTTCTCCCCGTGGGTTGCGTTGGATGTTGCGAGCGCAAGTCCGATGGATCTCCTCCATTAATCAAATTTATTTTTTTTTTTTTTTAAAAAATAAATTGAATAATAACCCCACAGTAGCATTCGCACCGGCGCCCTAAAAACAAGAAATACTTCCCTAACGCCCTTAGTGCTAACTAGTATGAGCGGGGAGACGCTGCAAATTAATGGTCCTCCTTGCAGTAACCGTGGATTATCGGCCATGCACTCCGAACCTTGACGGGACGGCACGGGTACGGGAGCCAAACTGCACACTGCGCTGGGCTCCATTCCCCCGGACATGGGGTCATTGATTGCAGATTTCGAGGAAGATGGTTGATACTATGGATGAGAAGATATACCCATTGGCATGAATAACAAGAAGCATTCACAACACACCGCTCTTTCGTATTTTCACTTTGAGTAGCTATTCGAGCCATGGTTCATGCCTTACTTGAGTTGGTACGCCAGTATACCAGTCTAGGATATCACTGTCAAGAGAAAAACATGTCGACATGCCATCCCTGATTGCCGCTCTTCGACATTATCAGGTTTTAGGGCTAGGAAAGACCGACGACTGATGCAATTCCTTGGAATGATTGGTTCGCCCCGGGTTTCTAGCATTCCAGAGACATGAGGATATACCCCCCATGTCCCAGATTGATTAAAGGCTCCCCCACATTCTTGGGGGTATTCCAAATCAAGGATCTTCCCAGAGTGGTTGGTTGGAATGGAGCAGAAAACAGAACGATGAGCTAAAACCAAAAAAAGAAAAGAAAAAGAAAGAAGAATAATGAAAGAAAATAAATAAATTATTACTACTTCGGACCAACAGAGTTTGGGGAAAGATACAGAACCAGGGAACTGCAAAACATAATCGTAACAATTTGAGATCGAACATCGACAAGAAACCACATGAAAATATCGCAGTTAGACTCGTACTAAATCCGCCCTCCACCTATCAGAGAAGGGTATGGCTCGGGAGGCGACAGAAAACCCCAACTGCAGAGTGTCACGGACCGCCTGCTGGATGTCAGCCTCGATAACGCTCGGACTTCCGATCCTGAACTGATAATGATCCTCCTACTAGTCTCCCTCTCCGGTGGGCATTGATAATTACTTCGTAGTGACTAGTCCAGTAACCCCGTTCCTAGTCGAAGGACATTGTTCGCTTGGTGTTTAGCCACTTCGGCATATGCTTCCAGCCTGTAGATCCCTTCAGTTGCCATTGCGAATGCTTAAATTCAAAGAGGTGGATGGTACTCCTTGTTGGGCTCTCTTCGCACTGAGAGTTCGCACACCGACAGATAGACTTCAGTCGAGAAGGAGATCTTTTCCATCCACTCATCCCTTCCACATGGTGTCCCACGATCAGCCAGTCGGTACTCCGTACATTCCCATACCATTGAGCTGATCCATACTAACCTTGATAGGGAAGGTCAAGTCTCTGACCTCTTAACCCTGTCAGCTATGATGTCATTCTCGGTGTTTGAGAGGTATAGTATCGTATCTGATGATTATTTGCATAACAAATGTGAAAGCAAAGCAATACAATAAACATAGCTATTAATAAAAGAAAACGGAGGCGGAGAAAGGGGGAGAGAAAATAAAATAAAATAGAAATTAAATAAATAGAAAAGAACAAACAAGGATTTGGTGCATTAATCCATTAATTAATGGGTGACTATACCTTTCTGCCTATTAACTAGCCTTCTTCCCCCATGTCCATTGATCATTCTGCCTGCTGGATGATCTTGGCATGTTTGGAGTTTGCCCTAAAAGGGCATCTGATACATTCAGGCAAGCTTCGGTGTGTAGGTCCAAAAAATAACAGCAGGACTTATTTTCACTCTTAGTAGACATAATAGCCCGACCATCGTGAGTCATGACGTCGTGTAGAAAGGGGGAACAGGTGACAAATATAGTAGTACCTGGGTGCTCATGGGATTGCGGTGGATGCTATTCTCCTCTATCCGGAGTGTGCTACCCTCCTTGTTGGAAGAATATCTGACCTTGCCCTACACCAGATCCAGTCATATAGCCACACCGAGTCCCATTCTTTCGTTATTTAGGTTATCTATTTTATCTATTTATTTTTAATAAAATAATGATTATTATTTAAACTTTAATAATAATAATAATACTATTCTCTCCTTTTTTTCTTTTCTTTTTTCTCTTTGTCCTGCCTTTTACCTCCTGGCCCTATGTCTTGTCACATACCGAGCATCCATTTACCTTCAGCGCCACTGGTCCATTTATTTTTATTTTTATTTCAATTTTTTTTTTATTCCTCGTCTTATTTTATTTTCCTTCCCTGGTGTGGCAGCCAAACCTACATATTAAGAATTCAAAAATTAAACTGGATTTTCTCGAGAGGAACCCGCAATGCACGTAATTCTTGTAGTCAGTCTTGTTAAGCCTCGTTGATTTTAAGATCGACAGCCTGCATGACCCTCACCGTGATATATCAAATGAGAAGCTCCGACCAACGCCTCCGAAGTCCTTTAAAGCCTTCGTTCCCTCGTTGTTCAACCCTCTTGTATCTCCTTTGCTTTCCCTTCACCTGTTCGTCTTGATCCTCTCCAACACCGTCCGACGAGATCGGGACATCCATGCCATATATTATTCGCTTTCCAAAGCGTCCTGCAACCGATTTCGCCCTCACCGACTTTCCCTTCATGAAAGGGAGCTCGAAGTATAACAATTTGCCTTGTGCACCAGTGCTCAAAGCTCTTTTTTCTGCGGCATCTTGGGTGCCCATCACCGTATATTCGAGTAAGTATTCATTCTCCTTTCGCCCCCATCCCGGGGCTCCGGCGTATCCGCCATACTAGTTCATGACCATGCACTATGAGGGGACGAGGCTCTTCATAGTTGCCTTTCCAATTCTTTGCTTCTTTCGCCTCAGCCGGGCCCAGTGATTGGGCATATGAGGCGCAAGTGGTCACAGCCACGTGCAAGGCACCGACGCCTCATGTATTGTACCTGTTCTGGGTGCTTCGTCTGCCTCTACTTATACTTGTCTTTTCCCCAACTGGTATCGGTGGGGAACACCGTCAGAGCCCGTGAGGTGCCTTTGCTAACCCGTTTGTTTCATAGACAGTGGACCTCTCTGATCGCTAGCTGCAGAATCCATACCTGGTGAGTATGCATGGTTTCTATGTTTTCGCTGTTTCTTAAACATAACCTCCATATCCTCTTATCCTTTCTTTTTATTTCACTTGATCTTATTGTATTTCTTTTCCTTTCATTTTCTTTTATTTATTTATTGTCTTTTTCTTGATACGTTTCCATTGCTTTTCCATATCATCATCAAGGGAGACTGGGTGGGTATGGCGTCATAGGCAAAGAGCACGATCTGAGCATCATGTCTCAGAAATGAGAGACGGGGGAACAAAGACCCCTCTTTTTGGTCGCCCCTTTAAGGATGTTGGATGAGAAACTTCCCGTGTTGATGGGCCTTCGCTTGGAACCGGTGCTTCACCGATGGTTGCGCGGTGTCGCTGAAACCCGAACCTTGTATGCTTTTCCTTAGCGGGGACCATAACCACCGATCGCATCTTCAGTCCGTGGGGCGCTTATTCGACGATCCCATTGCCCAGACATCAAGGCCGCGGGGCACTATTCTAAGGCACACATCATCTCACAGGTCCTGAGGGGAAAAAGCAACCTTCCCGGCTCACCCAAGCGGAGAACAGCGATCCGAGGGTCAGAAAAGAAGAGACTGAGCCAGAGAGAAACGGATTTAAACGGCTATGAATAGTCAAACCAAACGGAACCGAAGTTTATTTCCCAATTCAAAGGAAACCAAATTCTGGGGAAATCTGCCAACTCCTTTTTTTTTTTTTCTTTCCTTTGGCTCCACTCAGGCACCGAACATTCCATTTCGGTCAGAGAACAAACACAACAAAATAAGTTTAATGCCGAGAGCGACCGCCTTTGCGGGAGTGATTGCCATTGCTGCCATTGCTTACCGCCTCTCTCATCTGTTCTCCTTGATTGCTGCGCCGCCCCCACTCGGTGCCTTTTGCAGTCCCTCCAGCTACTTCTTAGTACTCTATCAGTATCGCAATCCCTCTCGCTCTCTATCTCTTCTACTCTCCCCACTTTACTTAATCGCTCTCGTCTTCTTTCCCTGTCGCATACAGACACATCATCTGTAAACGACTTCGTGTGAGCTTGGTTTACAGGCAAAACTCTACCCACTCGTGTTCTGTCACATCCAAGTTCTATCCTGTCTCTGACCCACGTTTTTTACCCTTTTTCCCCCCCCATTGTCTTTAACCCCGTCGCCTCCGGACCCAGTATTCTATTTCTGGTCACCTTTTTTTTTCTCTCCTTTGCCCGCCTCGCTTATGGCCACGCATCCTTCTCGCCTCCTTTAGCCTGTTCCTATTCTGTACCGACCCTTGTTGGTCTATTTTCTATTGCTTACACCCTTAGTCTTTCAGCGTATCTCGTATTTCTCTTTGTGCGCTCGACAGTGCCACTTATTGGGTTGTGACTCCCGCCTCCTATCGTGGCTTCCGCCTTGTCCGCTTTCGACTCATACTTTTACCACGCCCTCGTTCTTCCGGGATTTGGCAGCAGCCATCCCTTGCGTCGCTGTTAATACCTTCCGCTCTTACTTTCAATCGTATCCTTACTCGGTTAAGGGGTATCTCTGCAGACCTCCATAGATCCTTGGTTGGTAAACCCACACGATCCCCTGATTGTCTCCTTGCGATCTCGGCGTTTAGCACCTTGGCGCACACGTTTACTGATGCGGTTTGTGCACGTCGCTTTAGATCTCCAACAGCTGACGTCGAGTTCTCAATTTGTGACTTGGCTCGATTGCTCGAAAACCGTTGAAGATTAGCCCGTCCAACTCTTATCATACTCGCCCTCAACGTTTTATTATCCTAAATCTGCGTACGAATCCGTCCGAGGATAGTCGTTTCTGAGTCCATCGCATCATTCGAGAAGTTGGGGTTGGTTTTGACCTGTCCTGCACCAAACTCCGGACAATTCAGATCTTGGATCGTAAGGGGTTCCCTCTGGAAGCGTGCTTGACTTTCCTGTTCGGAGCTGCCAACCAGCTGCACGATGGCGGAAGCGAGTATTTTCATAAAGCATGATCCTGACGACCACAGCAGTGACCACAAACATTTCATGATGTCGCACGCCGGCTATTCTATGCCCAATCAATACGGCAGCACCAATGACGGTGTTGACCCCTCCGAACTAACCATGCACAACAGTGGATTTATGCCATATAACTTTGGCTCCCAAAGCTTCAACTTCGGCGGCAACTCGGGAATTGACACAGACGAGTTGCTCGACTTGGAGATTAACGGACAGAATGGAATCCAGCGCGCTGATAGTATGAATTTCCTCCAGGACCAGCACTCGAGCGCTGGGATCTCGATGAGTCACCCAAACCAGATGTCCCAAATGTATTCGAACACACCTGATGGGGCTCCTATGCATAGTCCCTTCTTGCATAATAGTTTCAACTATGATCATTTCCGGGCCATGAATCAACAGCAGCCGGGTGCGCATATGCAAAATGCCGGCTCCCATTTTGAGCAGAACTACATGAATACCAAAGGACGGCCTTCTCTGCAGACCATGGACCGTTCCGCTGACGTCCGTAGCCCTATGACACCCAAGACTCCTGCCTTGGGCGGCTTAACCCTCGGAACACCGGAGTCAGGCAGCTTCCCAACTGCTCAACCCATCAGAACTGGATTGCACCCTCGACACCAAAAGACTCTTTCAAACCAATGGGACGGCACCCCTGGAAGTGCTCATTCATTCGGAGTGGAATCTCCCATCTCATCTCCTCCCAACCCCCACCATGTTGGAATCTCTGAAATCCTGAAATCGGGCAAGCATGCTTCCTTGCCGGCCAAGGTTGATACACACATGCCCGGAACTGCGCAGGATTTGGAGTCACAGGAAGCCAAGCGACGTCGTCGGAGGGCCTCGCATAATCTGGTCGAGCGTCGCCGGCGCGACAATATCAATGAGCGCATCCAAGACCTGTCCCATCTCGTCCCCCAGCATCGACTAGAGGATGACAAAGTCCGGAAGCAACTCGTTAATAACACCGCCATGTCTAGCACTGGAGCCAGCTCGAACGCAGCCACGTCTTTGTTGGCCGGTGGCAACGGTCGTCGCGCGGCCGGCAACATTACCATGGGCTTGCCGATCGAGGAAAAGGAGAAGGGCCCGAACAAAGGCGACATCTTGAACGGAGCCGTTGGCTGGATGCGAGACCTGATGTGGTCGCTACATGTGAAACTCCAACAGGAAGCCGAACTGGCGGAGCTGATCAGCAGCCTGGGAGGCACTTGGCCATTTGAACAAACCGAAGAAGAGAAACGCATGCGCACAGAGATCCTGGATGCATTGGAGAAGAATGATCCCAGTTCATTCAGCTACAGCCGGGCACCGGGCAGTGGGTTGCGAGTGCCAAAGCACACTAATATCGCTGGAGACCCTGTCGCGTCCAATGGCGGCTTAAGCCCACAGAACTTGAGCCCCTCATTCAACAGCGGGGCTAGTAGCAACAGTGGGACCGGCCAGGCCCAGTACTGGAGCAGCTCCGGCCACGCGGGAATGAGCTTCAAGGAGGAAGATGAGTACGCAATGGAAATGAACTAGACATCTTTGATGGTGTTGTGCCCATCCGGGATTCTATGAGTGCATGCCATGCATGACCTACTGCATACACGGCGTCATATGGAAGGAGCGATCCGGCGTACGCGGAAGTCTTGACATACCCAGACTAATTGTTTTTTGATTCAACTCGCATCTAGTTGATGCGAAGTTTGCTTCGTTGCTTTTTTCAGCTCTTGTGGATTTGCCGCGTTACGGGATTCTGTTGTGTATTGTTTTTATAACCTCACCTGTCTGTCTTTTATATCAATGCCCCACCCCTTGTTATTTTGCTGTCTATTTTGGCTATCATTTCCCTGATTTATACTTCTCTACAGCTCAGACTTGTCGCTTTTTCTATCTTTATAATGTTATGCATAATGACGGCCAAGACCGACTCGGTATCATCTGCTTTTTTGTCTATTCGTCCAGAACGCGGTGCGAACTAGTTTTCTACTGGCAATGCTGCCCGTCTGAGAGGGGCTTCTACATGCGTTTTTACATCGATACCCTTTCTCCTTTTTTCTTTCTTTCTTTTGTCTTTTTTTGTTTTTTTGCCTGCTCAAGATTTCCTTTGCCCCATGATGCGATTGGTTGTATCTCGGATGTTCTTTGCTATGTTATATAATGGTTAGTCATACATCACTATGGGTTTCTTTACTGGTATGGGAATCTAGACCCTACGATTTGCCGACGTAGTGCAGAAATGCTCCCATGGTACGCATAACACCCACCCAGCCTGAGCGACGTATGTTTCGAACATTATTTTCAATGAAAAGACCCGTTGACATAAAGAACATGTATAAACTCTTTTACACCCCCATCTAACCAAAAAAAAAAAAAGCTAGGTCTTTCTCTATTTGCAAGCAAAAGAAGAACAGACAAAGAAACAGAAGAAATGCACTCAATCAGGCATTCTCACCCCTCATCGTGCGGAAGAAATCCATCACTCCCGTAAAAACCACCAACAAAATACCACCACCAGGACCCAACCGCAGCACCTTAGGAATGAAACCCTTGTACAACGCCCCGAATCCCTCCTCCTTCATGACAGTCCCCACAGCCGGCCAAGCCCAGTTATACTTAGGCGTCTGTCCCGCCACCTTAGGGCTGTTCTGAATCCGTGACTTCACCACATCCATCGGCGTGTTCAGAATCGTACCCGCCGTACCACCAATCGTACCCGCGATAAGATCGTTCCGCGTCTGCTCCGTCTTGTTACCAGGCTCGACCTTAGGCAACTGCGCCCGCACCTGGAAAATACAGCCGAAGTATCCGGCGTTCCAGAGAATGTGTCGCCACAGTGTGGATTCGAGACCGTTGTACATGGCCAGGGGCCCCTCCGTTTGCACGATCTTCTTGACCACGTCCAGCATGCCGTTGTACTTGGACGCGCGGTCTTGCAGACGGATCTTGACCAGCTCGAAAGGTACCACCACGAAGGATTCAGTCGCACCGGCTGTGGCGCCGGTCAACACGGCCAGCGATTGCGTTTGCTTATCGACGCCGAACAGGCCCCGGTAGAAGGATCCCCAGCTGTCGTTGGCGGCGAATTTGGTCGCGCGCTTAGGCGCTTCCATTAGGATTGGGGCGGAGATTCCGCGGTACAGACGGGATGCGCTGGTTTTTTGAATGTTGGTTAGGGTTGTGTTTGAGTTGAGGATTGGGGTTGTTGTCGTGATACAATGGGGACTATATGCTTACCCCTCATTCTTGATGATCTTGCGCAGGCAGTCGAACATGCCGGTGTAGAACTCCTCGCCGGCGGCGCGGGTGCCGGATTGCAGCTGGCTGTTGTGGGGTTCGGGGTTAGATGGGTTTTCTTTGTATGGGGGAAGACTTGGAATGGGAGCTTACACTCGGGTCTTGACGACATCCAATGGGTACCTGAGGACATTCTTTCGGTTAGAAATTGATATGATTCGTGATCGTGTACTTGGAATTAAGCATACATGACCAGGATCTAAAAATTTGAGTCAGTTGATGTTGGTTTAGCATGACAGGTCACAGCTCCGATAACGCACCTCGGACACACCAGCCACCGCGCCAGCGGCGAACTGGTATTGGAAGGGGAGGGGCTTCTGAGTGTTGGCCGACATTGTCGCTGATAGGAAATCTGGAGGTGAAACTACGCAGCAATGGACAATGGAATTGCTGAGTAGGGGAGAGGGAAGAGGGAAAAGAAAAGAAAAGAAAGGGAAGGTGATCACGCCAGTGCAGCAAGCGAAGGGAGAGGAGGAGTTGGTTGGACGTCGGAGCGTATCGGACAAATTCCCGAACGGGAAAAATCCCAGCCCGGTGAGAATCCGGCGGCCCCACAACCCTTGCCGACTTCAACAGCCCCACGGGGTGAGATAACAAACAATCTTCAGGGATGTCCCATATTATTAATCTTCAATGGTAGCTCGTTCGTTCGTGGTTCTCGTTATGCGTTTTTTTAAGTACATGGCTTCATTTCCTCATCCAATCGTCCAGAGTAGTCCTAGTAGTAAACTTATTCCAATCATCTTCGTTCCTTCCGGGAGGTTTCTCTCGCCGGCGGAATTCGTGGGCTGTTCCTTCGCCACCGTCCCTGTTGCTGTCGCCGTTTCCTGGGCCGTGCAGCTGGAGCCGCATGCGAACCCTGTCGGACAGCATCCCCCACCTGCGGTGTCTGCGCATCTGAACCACCCGCTCGCGCATCGCCCGGTAGTCGCTGGCGGCGCTTCCGTCTCGGCAGGAACCACAATGGTTCGGTCGTTGGTCGTGATCGTCGTGGATGGGGTCTCGGGGCACGAGCTAGTATCACAGTCGCGGCCAGTCCGGCAACATCCTCCTTGATAGACAGCGGAACAGGCGTAGAATCCAATGGGACAGATCGACCCAGTCTGGGAGGCGGTCGCCGTCGAGAGACTTGTTGGTCGAGCAGGGGGAGTAAACTCTCCGGTGGATTCAGATGACGATTTTGTCGTGCTGCTACTTCTGCTGCTACTAGAAACCGTGCTAGTCGCAGGAACCGTGTCCGTGACAGTCGACACCATGATGGTCGAGCTCACCGTGATAGTCACCGTGTACACGTTGGCACCTTACAATTCATTAGCCCAAAGCTCATCATCTTGTAAATCGGCCCGAACTTACAGCCACCGCTGACACATTCGTATCCGGGAATGCAGCAACCACCGCCCAATGACGCAGGACAGCTAGTATACCCTTGCTGACATGAACCAATTGTACCAGAGCAATGCTGTCCGTCCGGACAGCACCCTACATCCCCAGACCCTGTATCGTCGACCAGCTCACAGGTGGACCCCGTACTGCAGCAGCTGTTCGGGCGATTAATTGAGGCGCATGAATTTGTGCCCGCGGGGCATTTGAATTCTCTCCGAAGAAGCGGTGAGAATTGGCCGATCCATCCGTGAGAGTTGTAAGTCTCACCCAAATCCAGAGGATGGGATGGTTGATAAGGATATATGCGGGGGTGAAGATTAGACTGTGTCTTTTCTGGAGTTTGAGAGCTCTGTAGGTCGGTCTGGTTGGTCTCTCCGAAGTACCAGTAGTCGAGAAAGAACTTCTCGCCTTCGTCATCGCTCATCTTCTTGATGCCCCGGGCGGACGTTTGGGATAGCTGGTTTTGAATAGCTGCATTGCGTTGCAGAATTTTGTAGGTGTCTAGATCTGCCTTTTGGTGGTAGATGGATGAGTTGCCGTCTTTTAGTGCTTGGACTGCCAGCGGTGCTGGTCCTAGAGCCCAGGCAAGAAGAGGGATGACCAGCATCTGTGCGTGAAATATTCTGCTCTTTACATGTTAGTACATCAAAAAAGATAATAAGATAAAAATGAAGATAGCTTTTGAATCACCTACAGCTACAATAGTGGTTGATGTCACCCAAGATATATAAACTCAATCTGATCAAAGATGGACGCGATAAAATCTTGTTAGATGAATAGTAACAGAGTTCGAAAAGAATGAAAGAAGGAATGACAGTAGATCAACAAATATGCAGATCCTGACCGACAACTGAATATATTACTAGTCCAGGTCTGAAGTTGGGCTGTCCATTTGAATTAAATCTTGTGGTGAACAAATCAGTGGCTGGGAATCCCGTGCTGAAACAGTTTACCCTTTTCGGTAAGGTGATGTGGATGCCTGTTTTCACAGGCAGAAATATTATATCTACATCCATGTTTCGTATTGATCACTTGAAACTTCCACCATCGATGGGACGAGGTATGATGGCTACAACATCAATCAACCAATCAAAATTCTATTAACCTGGTAGAGCTTAACTACTGAACATCTAGTTACGCAGGTTCCTCAAAGAGCCTAGAATCTAATCGTAAAACGCCATATTCCCACAAAACCTCCTACCACGTCCCTGACGGTCCCTTGGTAGGTGATAGTCGGTATGTATACTAATGAGGATTTGACTAGGTCCTCCCTAGTGTAGCCTCTTACGGATTGCCCTCTATATCTATCCCCCATTTATAATAACCAGTTTACTTGACCTCTTAGAATTGGCTAAGCAATTCTGTTTGGTGTATAAACTTTGTGACGTAGCAGATTGCCTGCGGATGGGATATAATCCTATAATAGTCTGTTTTCCCACGAACCCCTGGATTTAACCTGTTAAGTATGAGTCAGGTTAGGTTAGGTGAATGGGGTAAGTTATACCTAGCCACGGTTAAGCTGAAAATTAGATAATACTTAGAGGATGTTAATGTAGATAGCAATGGAGCAAGGCCTACTTACTGGCTTTCTTACTGACTTCAAGTTGCCCTAATAGCCCCTTATATCATATACTTCTCAACACAAATACTAGATCTTGGTACCACGTTTCGTGTGATTGGCCTTTAACCAGTCTTGGTGTATAGTAATCGGTTGACAATATCTACAGAGCGGAAACACCCATGTACATATCAATTATCTCTGAGATGGTTCTTAACCAAGGGGGCTTCCAGGAGATTTGCACGGAAATTTGCCATGGCAATGTTCCAGAAGCGTTACCTAATAAACGACTGAAAGTTTGTTCCAATTAGGAGCCGCCCACAATTGTACCTATTACAATCTGTCGATTATCGATCCTTGTGGGTTACTTTTACCATTATGTACGTATTTTATCTAATCTCTTATCAACTTGTCTCTATTTTAAATTCTTAATAGAAGCGATTATCAACGGAGAATTATTACCTAGCTCAATGTCTTATATTATATATTTTAGATGTAGCTGATTTCGATCTTTCTCTTTCCTGTTAAACTACTCACCATCTAATCTATGAGAGAGGGATCTGCCTTCTAGCTCGCCACTATATCTACAGTCTACCAAATCTATAGTGACTAGTCTACCAAAAAGGGAGATAATGGTCATTATATATAATATGATATCAGCTATTATCTAACTGCCGATTTATTATCCGTACCCAGCCAGTGAAAGTGGAAATATATCAGTGGCGCTGGAATATATGGCTGGAAAAAGTAAAAGACACATCATCCCAAGGTAGGATTGGTTGTTTCTGGCCAATTTATATCCACAAATACATAACTAAGATACACACTTATATAGAACAATGTGTTTCGGGTATGGCCGCGTGCTTAGGAACCACGACTCAAAGGTCAATAGCAGGTTGATTGCCGGCCTTGGCTTGTTTAGCTATATATGTATTACTACAATATCCTCGGTGCCCTTCGGGTTTTTGCGCATATACATCACCATTGAAAGTACTTTTCTTGCTTTATTCCCTTCCCTTCTGTTCTCTGTCTGCCCCTCTCGAGGAAACCAGGACGAGCGGCCCTGAGCTACAGTGCCAGAATTATTGTGGGATACCTTTTATTCGAATCCACCCTCCAACCACATGCTGATAATATCAACCACAGACTGTAGTAGACACCGCTTAGCATGCAGCTCCCACAGCCAGAAGAATGTGGAACCCCGTACAAGCCCATAAACACCAGGAAAACCCGATCGAACTTTGCTGATCTTTCCCCAGACCAATGCAGACATCCTTGCTCTCCGGCCCTGAGTGGAAGGAACGATTGTGGTCTCCGTTTCGGGGAGAAAGCTCGCTTCTACTAAGATCAATGCAATAGAAGCCGGGAGCATGACAATCATGCGAAGGATAAGTGTTGGTAACATGGTTGATACTTCAAAGTATGCAATATAATGTTCTGAGGGGTCATGTGTGCTGGTCTGCTTGAAGAATAGGTTGAATGAAGAGTCAGCGGCATCGGGAAGATAATCGATTACTGCGCGGGCTGCAGCGCAGACCAAGGATGGTGTGAGTAGCTTCCTCCATGCTTTGTGATTGTGGCGCAGTTTTAACAAAGACCCTGTGGATGAGGTTGCGGATATAGTGGCGTGTGTCCAGGCCATGTGGAGTTCCGCTAAAACCACGGTAGATATGACATGCGCGATGGGCCTGAGAAGATCATGTCGGAAGAGTACCATCTGTAATAGACTTGTGAGGGCAAAGTGGACAGCGCGGTACACGAGTCCCGTCTGGAGACCTTTTAAGAACATCCGCAGACCACCCATACGATACAGGAACGAAGAAGCTCGGGTCAAGCTGCGAGTAGTCGGTTGATTCTGGATGCTGTCATTGACGAAGTCAGCTGTACTCTGGTTGGTAGCATGTAGCCTCTCGCTTTCGAGAATCAGCATAATTGCGACCACGTGGCTGAGATAATAGTCAATCTAGGGTGTGGTTAGCGTGCAAGTTAAGCAGAGCGCGACTGGAGTTAGAGGAATACATACGAGGCTGTTTATGACTGTATCGATCATATATGTGTAGAACAGGGCATCTGGGATGCCTGCTTCTTGATCGGGGAGACCCCAGAAAAAGTCCTTGGCTATATTCAAAAGGTCATTGTCGCCCGCAGAGGAAATGAGGAGATTGAGCGAGCGCAGAATTTGGAAGCCAATGATGCGTGGGATCTGATTGATTGCCATGTTTCTTCCGGCGGAGGGGGATCGAGTAGTGGGTGTTGATGAGTACTTGTACGATCAGGAGAGGGAGGAGGATGAGGCATGTTGGATAAATTCAGTTGAGGAAAGTGGCCTTTTTTTATGTGGTACAGATGCTTAGAACGTTAAAAGGCCTTCGTCGTCCCTCACGCGTTCTATCCCGTGTCACATGTAGCCCTAATTGGCATCATACGTCATCCTCTTTCTTTCCTTCAGTAATGATAAAAAGATAGTCATTATATGATGACTAGATGAATATATTCTGTTTTTTAACCGGAATTCTTTCAGATTATACCACCTTTTCTTGATCGGGTGAAAAGTTTTGGTAACAGGAGATACAGACCTCAAGCGCAGCGACGATCACGTGCAAGGGTCCGGGGTGAGATTGATGTGACTTATACAATCTATACAATGAGGAAGATCTTTCTCGAACCAAGTCTATAAGAATGCTCATCTTATCCTCTAGAGAAAGTTGACTCACCCTATTATCTGGACATCAATGATAACTAAACTTTCACTGACATACAAACCAATGATCACTTTGCACAGCGTAACGACTCAATCAGTCCTAGCAATCAGACTCAGTTGGTTCACCTCTTGCTCAAGGATCCCATGTAACCTGATATCTTCACCAAACACGATCGCACCAAACCCAGTCTCTTACCCCACTCTTCAAATCCAACCTTTTGAGATTCACTTCTTCGTTACCCGTCTCGGTTCTTCCCCCCCTTTGTTTTTTCTACTCAATCTGATTCTCTGAGATCTTACCTCCACATCATTTCATCTGGAACTTCACAAACGTGACACAAAAGTCATACATAATATGTCATTTCGAGGTTTTAGAGATAACCCCCCAAAAGCAGGGCCGACCAGGCCTCAAGGAAGAGGTGACGCAAAAACTACTATCTACTTGTTTGTCCGCCCGAAGCCATCACTAGTGAAAAGAGAGTACTAACAAGTGGTGTCCTATAGACCACCAGATGGGAAAGTCCCTCCCCCCGATCCCTTCGTAAGGAAAATCGAAGACGAAATTCAGAAAGCACAAGCAGATCCCTTGACTCTTAGCAAGCTCCAACTGAATTCCGAATACCCTCCTCGACCAGGATATGGAACTAAGGGAAAGCCAGTCGTCCTATGGGCGAACTATTTTCATTCTATCCCGGATCCCAATCTAGTGCTCTACAGATACGCTATCGACGTGAGACCTACTGTTTCTGGCAGGAAGCTGGCCCAAATCGTTAGATTGGTCCTCGAGGCGCCAGAGGTCACCTCAATGGCAGCCAATCTAGTCACCGATTACAAGTCCACCATCATATCACGAGAAAGACTGCCGTTGGCCAATAATGCAATCGTTGTACCCGTGTTGTACCGGAGTGAACTGGAGGACGAACCCGCCGGGGACGCTGCCCAGTTTAGAGCCCGTATCCTGTACACCAATACTCTACGGGTATCGCAATTGATAGAGTATCTGACGTCAACCAACTATATCAGATATGATGAGAAACTCCCAATGATTCAAGCGCTGAATATACTTTTGAATCACTACCCAATGACATCTCCAGACCTTGTCTCACGTGGTGGAAATAGAGCTAACAGAACCTTTCCACTTAGCAACAAGGCCCTGCAGTCGGACAAGGCTCCTCTAATTGGCGGGCTAACAGCGATTCGTGGGTTCTTTTCGAGTGTCAGATTCGCCGCTGGTAGGGTCCTGGTTAACGTAAATGTTAGCCATGGGGCATTCTACAATAGCGGACGTCTGGTTGACTTGATTGATGCATTTCAAAAGGCAAATGGCAGGAGCCTGGATGCCTTGAACGAATTTCTGAATGGTATCCGGGGACGCACATTCCATCTACCCGAAAGAAGAAACCGAAGTGGCGAGCTTATCATCAGGCCTAAGACACTTTATTCCCTTGCTACGTGCGGTGATGGCACGGAATTGCCACCGAACAGACGACCCCAGATACACTCATTTGGAGCGGGCTCTAAAGGTGTAAAATTCTGGCTAGAACCTCGCCAAGCGCCAGCATCGGGTCGTTTAGGATCGAGGAAAAAGAAGTGCCAGTCATCAGGACCCGTAGCATCACCGCTTGGGCCCGCGAGGTTGATTAGCGTGTATGACTACTTTCTGGAGAGTGAGTTTGTATATGCCAATCGAGACGGCATAGGTACTCAACTAACACATGGTGTCTAGCGTACGACATCCGCGACCAAAGACCAGATTTGCCTGTTATCAATATTGGCACATGGGCCAGCCCTACATACCAATTGGCACAGGAGTTCGAGATACTTCCGGGCCAGATTCACTATGGAAAGTTGTCCCCCGCCCAGACACAAGGCATGATCAAATTTGCTGTACGACCGCCCTTGCAGAATGCCTTTTCTATTGTCAACCAAGGGGCAGACATTGTTGGATTGAACCCTGGAAGAAATACAATGCTGGTAAGTCCTTAATATGGAATCATAGCTGGTAATAATCGTAATGTTTAACTTACATGGTAGACACGATTCGGTATATCTACGGCAAGGCGGCTGATCACAGTCGAGGGGCGGGTCTTGGACCAACCAAATATTATGTACCGGGACAATTCCAGTGTAAAACAGCTCCCAGGCTCCTGGAATTTGATCGACATTAAATTCAACGTTTCTGGCCAACGGCTGCGCAAATGGTCGTATCTTCTGCTCTCAGACAAGAAAGTGCAGGATACATTCCCCGACTTGAAAAGCCTTCAGCCAGTTCTCAAGAAGCTCCAGGCTGCCCTTCTCGACACCGGTGTTCTGGTCGACGCGCCCATCCCCGGAAGAATAGTCAGAGTGAACAAGGATGACACTGCGGACCTGGAAAATAGGCTTAAAGGAGCAGCCGACAAATTAGACCTCCTCTACATCATTTTTCCCGAGAAAGACAGTCGCTGGTACCCAGTAATTAAGCGGTTGTGCGATGTGGAGTACGGATTGCAGACGATTTGCAGCGTTGGTCCTAGGTTGGTGGCAAAGAAAGGTCAATCGGTGGGTCAATATGACAAGGCGCTCGATCAGTATATGAGGAATGTGGCGATGAAGTTCAACCTGAAGCTGGGAGGCACGAATCACGTTGTGGACAATCTTCGTTTGAGTATCATCAATGAAAATAAGACCATGATTGTTGGACTGGATGTAACGCATCCAACGGGGTCTTCGAAAGGCTCTCCAGCCACTGCACCTAGCGTGGCAGCCATGGTTGCCAGCATCGACAAAAGACTTGGACAATGGCCTGCAACTATTCAGCTCCAGTCCCGTGGAGGAAAGGAGGAAATAGACAGCTTGGACGGTATGTTGAAGCGGCACCTCAGGCTATGGAAGCTCCTAGGAGGGCACGCGTCATTTCCCGAAAACATTATCGTCTTCCGTGACGGAATCTCGGAAGGTCAGTATATCAAGTGCTTGACTGAGGAGCTGCCCCTTATGCGAAAGGCCTGCCGAGAGGTTTACCCTAAGGAGATGCATGAGAAGAACCTTCCGAAGTTCACCGTTCTCATTGTCAGTAAGCGGCATCATACGCGCTTTTACCCTACTGAAGTGCAAACTGCTGACAGGAACGGAAATACGCCACCATGTACGATCGTTGATCGATGCATCACCGATCCCTATTGCTTCAGTTTCTATCTCCAACCTCATTCTGCTATCCATGGAACTGCCCGCAACGCCTTCTATTTTGTGATTTTGGACGAGGTTTTCAGCCAGCGATATGAGGGGAAACTTCCCCCAAAATACAAGAACGTCGCTGAGATCGTACAAGACCTGACTTTGAACCTGAGCTACCTAGTTGGGCGTGCCACAAAGGGTGTTAGAGTCTGTTGCCCTGCGCGATACGCCGACCTGGTCTGTGACCGAGCCCGATGCTATCTGAGTCGATTTTATGAACCATGGTCTGAGATCTCATCGGTGGCCAGTGATGCTAGCACAGTGCTGGCGACCAACAAGGATGTCCTTGTTCATGAGAAGATCAGAAACACAATGTTTTACATCTAGTGCTTGGGAAGTTAGCACCAATAGGGCTTTTACGAATTTTTGAACTATGGAATTAGATTATTCCATGGCACGCACTGGTCGGTGAAGTATGAGCTGGACAGTCAAGACAAAAAAAAAAAAAAAAAAAAAAAAAAAAAAAAAAAAAAAAAAAAAAAAAAAAAAAAAGAAGAAAAGAATGAAAAAGAAGTAAAAAAAAGCCCATGGTACCACCGAGATATTGGCTGAATGAGACTAAGCCTCAGCATTGATTCATGAAGGCGGTTAACCGCTTGAGCTGGAATTTCATAAATCATCGCAGATAACAAATTGCCTGTACGTATTGGACATAAACCTGCGAGCGAGAATAGTAACTTACAGTTTAAAAACACATACATACCCGCATTATCACCTTCCGTTCCGAAAAAAAGAAACATAAAAAAAACAATACAAAAAAGAGAAAGCTACAAAAGAGCCCCTCTAGCCAAAAACCAAGCCCTGGCCTCCTCAATCCCAAGATAACTAACCAAAAGCATCCTCCCAAAAACATCCACATCCGCAGCCCTTGCCTCAGTCAGCACCCTCCCAAAATTTAATTCCCCAACGATAAAATGATCCTTCTCCATCCAGGCCACCCCAAACTCCCCCGCATCCTGCGCCCCCCACAAATGCGCCGACAGGTACCAGCTATGCACCAAACCCAGTTTACCATCACAGACAAGATTCTTCTCCCCCTGGACCAGCCGAGAGAGCTGTATAAGATAGAAAGTGAAGAGAACGGTCCTGCGCGCAGATTCTTGGAAGATCCACGAGGTCCAGAAGTCTTGTTTTGCTTCTGGGTTGGACGGCAGGATACTGGCGGTGTTGGAGGGGTCGGGGAAGTAGATGCAGGACAGTAGGGTTAGGGCTGAGGATTCGAGGTCGGGGATTAAAGAGATATTGGAGTTTGGGTCGGGGGAGAAGAAGAGCATGATTTGGTATAGGAGGAGGGCGTGTGTGTGGGAAAGGGTTTCTAGGGGTGTTGTCGGGACTGGGGATGTGAGGAGGGTTTGGATGTTGGTTCTTATTAGGGAAGTTATTAGGGGCCTGTTGAGGGGGTTCAGGGTTATGTGGAGGGCGCAGCTTGAGTAGGCGTCTGTTATTCAGTCAGTTTATTTTCTCTCTTTTGTTTTTGTGTGGATGTAGGAAGAAGGGAAATTGTAGGTGAACTTGCCTTGCATATGTTTGGGCATGCCGTTTACATAGAGTTGTTTATGAGACCAAGGAGTTTGGTTCTCCTGGATCATCATCTTGGGAACATCTTTGAGGACGTCAATGGCGAATTGGAGTCGGGATGCGATGATTGCCGAGAGAGGCATCGGGGGTCTTGCTACCGGAGCGGTCATTGTGTAGCTTGATTGTGGGATGAGGACACCACTGTGTGGCTCTGATGAAAGACATGGGGCGTGGAAGTCAATATAATCCCATTGTGGATCGAAGACATCGAACGGATGAGCAACAGTAGGTGGGTCGGATAGTTCAGGTATACCGAAGTCGGTCATACACGGGACACCCGCATTAAACGAAAACGGTGGGTCAACCGTCTGAGCAATCGACTCGACCATCTCGTCGATCAGCTCCTGTGGGATTGCCGGCTGTCGTCCCGGGTAAATGCATGGCGTATTCCTGGTAGCGCATCGAGAGCACGCCGGAAATGCCAGATCGCAGCGTCGCTTGGCGGTCTTGCACGCTTCGCATGATTTGCGTCGCGGTGGGGGGTTTCCTCGCTCGGCCAATAAGGGGTTCATTGTTATTACTCTGGTATCTGTTTTGCGGACTTCCACTGTCTAGGTGGGAGGGACAAAAAAATAAAAAAAAACAGATCTTACATTTGTTGCGAGAGATATCGCTTGATGTGGGTCTGGGGGCGGAATTCCGCAAGCTAGTTGTGTGTTCGACCAATTGGAGACGGCGCCGATAATTAGGGTTGCGGACTGGGTGGAACTCCGCTCTAGACCATAGAATAGCCTCGTCTGCCTAAGGAGCCAGAGCCGTATATAAAGCCGTCAACATTCGATGGATAACTCAGAACAACACAGTCTTCTCATTCTCAATACTAAATCCACCTCAATCATCAATCTATTCAAATAGCCACAACATAACCACTACACTACATCAAACAATGTCCACCTCCACCTTTTTCGTCTGCGGTGCCACCGGTACCCAGGGCGGCGCTGTGATCAACCATCTCCTCAAAGCCGGCGCCAAAGTCCACGCGATAGCGCGCAACCTAGATACCCCGGCGGCCCAAAACCTCCAAACCCGCGGGGTACACCTCACCCAAGGCGACTTCACCGACCTAGAAACCTTCAAACAAAGTATGAAGGGCTGCACCGCGCTCTTTCTCAACCTAATGCCCGACCTACGCATCCCAAACAGCGAAGTCCACCAGGCCGAAAACATTCTATCTGCCGCCAAAGAAGCGGGAATAAAACACGTCATCTACTCTAGTGGGTTCTCCGTCAACGAGCCCCAACGCCTAAAAAATTGGGACCCGAACAGTTTCGTGGCGAAGATTCTACTCAACAAACAAACTGTCGAGAATCAAGTCAGAACAGCTGGATTCGAGTACTGGACTATCTTACGACCTGGTAACTTCATGGCGAATTACTTGCAACCCCTCGTTCGGATGTATCCCGGTTTTGTTGAGACCGGCGTCTGGACTACGGCTCTGCTTCCTGAGACGAAGCTTCCGATGGTGGATCACAATGATATCGGAGCCTTTGGATCTGCGGCACTGTTTGATCCTGTGAGATTCCATGAGAAAGAGATCGAGATTGCTTCCGAGTTCCTGCACGTGGAGGATGTGACAAAGGCATTGTCGCGTGCGACCGGCAGGGATCTCAAACCGGTCTTTTTGTCGCAAGAGGAGGTGGAAAAGCAAGCTACGCAGAATCCGTTTATTGGGGGCCAGTTGCTGGCGCGCGATATGGCGCAGTTTGTAGATCTGGAGGAAGTGAGAGCTTGGAAACTGCCTTTGGGGACATTTGAGAAGTTTTTGGAGAGGGAGAAGGAGATGGTTAATGCGACCTGGTCTGCTTAGTGTGGATTGGGTCGCTACGTGGGCTCATCTTTTGAGTTATATATTATTTCCATTTTTTCATTTTATTGTTGTCCTAGCACTATGACGAATATACCGTGTTTCTTTACGTCTAATGAATCCCGAGGACAGTAGTAGTGCATCTCAGTAGATCCTTTTTATTGCCCTAAACCAGTTAACTGGTTCCCAAGTAGATAAATGATATGACCGATCTCGGCCCTCAGGCCAGTGACTTTTCACTACGGAATAATAATGGATACCCTTCAGTTTCCATGTACTTATGATGTAGGGCTACGACACTCTTGACTCTTGAGCCTTGCATGACTTATCTCTCACCAATATAAGGAACAGTTCCATGGCCCTGTCATCTGTGAACGACTACGCAACTCATGACTAGTTTACCTCAAATATACAGATGCTGGAGTTGGTTTCTCTAGAAAAACAATGGGTATTTCGTAGGATGTCAACTGGCACATCATGATCCACTTTCCAAATGAGGTTAGCGGGAATGAAACGTGCAAGTCAAGAATGCAACAAACTAACAGAAAATACCTTCACAACTACCACTTCATCCGATCAACTTCCATTGCCAAAACAACCACAATGTTTGTTAGAGCTCGGGCTGCTCGATGTAGAAATCCTCTCGTACTATCAATTAATCGGATAGTGACACCCTTGAACTCCGCTTTGATCTCACGGACATTCTCCGCTTCTCGCGTCTTTACCCGTCATTCCGCGGGAAGCTCTGAACTGTTTGAGTATACATCTGGAAGATGGATGTTTGTAACTTCTATAATATACCCTGTACTGGTTCTCGTGTCTGATACTTGATTGGCGACGGCCGACAGCTATAATGAAGCTGTGAGACTCGCGGAACGACGACGCGTCTTCGACGTCCCTGAATTGAAGCGCCTTGCTGCCGAGTCGATCAATCAAGGCGCGAATGATGTCGCTCGCTTCGAAAAGCTTGCTGAAGGGGGATTTAACCGTATTTTTCTAGTGACAATGAAGGATGGATCCCAACTCATCGCCCGTATTCCGTATCCCGTTACGGAACCGAAATACTTCGTGGTAGCTAGTGAAGTTGCGACTTTGGATTACCTTCGTCTACATGATATACCCGTGCCCAAGGTCTTTGGCTATTCGGCCACATCAGATAATGCGGCAGGCACAGAATACATCTTTATGGAATATATCCGTGGACGAGACTTGGGTGACCTGTGGTTCGACTTGTCCGAAGATTCCTGTTCCACAATTATCAAAAACATTGTCGACCTGGAAGCTCGCCTTTTCAGATTACGATTTCCTGCTAGTGGAAGCCTTTACTATACGACGGATCTGCGGTCCAAAACTAATGCATCACCCGTGCCGATAGAAGATTCACCGAGCAATGGCCGCTTCAGTATCGGTCCCGACACTACCTTACGAATGTGGTTTGGGAAAAGATCCGAACTGCAAGTCGATCGTGGACCGTGTATGTTCCTTCCCTAGTTTCCTAAACCTCTATGATCGAAAGTCCCACCCTGGACGGGATCCACTGATAGACTGTAGATGAGACTGCGGAAGCGGCTCTGACCGCGGGCGCCAAAAAGGAGCTTACCTATTTAGCTAGGTTCGGTAAACCACTGCAACCTCTTCAGCCTATTTATAGAGAGCTGTACAAGTATCAGAAAGCGTCACATCGGGACCATATGAAAAACTTGGAAAACTACCTACGTGTCACGCCTCATCTAGTGCCGGAGAACTTCAAATTCCTCTGCCAGCCTACAATCAGACACCCCGACTTGCAACCAAACAATATCTTAGTCTCCGATGATCTTAGAATTACTGGTTTAATAGATTGGCAGCATTGCTCAGTTCTACCACTCTTTCTACAGTGTGGTTTCCCGGAGAGTATCCAGAATTACGGAGACGAGGTTTCTGAATCTCTCGACACGCCTAAGTTACCAGACGACTTTGATAGTCTGGACGAAAGCAACCGGTCTGAACAGCTAGAGATCCTTCGAAGACGGCATATCCACTACTTCTACGCGTGGTATTCTGCAAAGTTGAACTCTATTCATGGCATTGCTTTGGACCACGATTTAAGCATCCTCAAGCGCAAGATATTCGACCACGCGAGCAAACCATGGGAAGGAGACATTGTGTCGTTGAAGGCTGATCTCGTTTATTTAGCGCAGAACTGGAGCAAACTGTCCAACCCATCGTCCGGCACCAATGCAGGAGTCTGCCCATTAGAGTATCCGCCCGACGAGGCAAGCGAATGTTTGAATCTTAATGCTGAGCAAATCGAATCGGATGAAGAGCTGCAGATCTTCAGGAATTATGTTGGAGTGGGACCAGATGGGTGGGTGCCGTCGGACCGATATGACGAATCCAAGCAACGTGAAATAAAATTGAAGGAGCTTGCGCTCGAGGCAACTGAGTCGGAAGAGGACCGGGCTAAGATTTCTGAGAATTGGATGTTCAACGATTACGATGAGGAGATATATAGGTAGCTGCACGATACATATCGGCGTTTTTACGTGGAGGTATGCGAGGCGTCAATCGTTCGACCACACCACGGGCGTCCATGGATTCGGAACGGCTCCAGTCTACACCCTGTACCAAGCTGGGCTGTGGACTGATCTTAGCAAACTAATCGACGGATTGATCAGCAAGGTAGCTGCAGGGATCCAGTAATTTACATAACGGATTCTTTCCTATTTTAGCGCACGTACGCGAGCGTTGCAAATGATGTTTTCTTCGCGGGGTCAGTCTCAGTTCTCAGCTATAACCACAATGTATATTTTGTACTTGATTAGAGCGTCACTAGCAATCTAGTTCTTGTTCCTGACATAACTTTGCAGAACGAGGCTCAGCGCACTAGCCACAGTCTGGTCCTTAGTCCTAAAACTAGGTCGATATGGCCATGTAACGAGAAACAGGATACACCTCGTTCCTATTCATGAATACGGTTTGATGCGTGGACTTGGTTCTTTAATATGGCGGGATGATGACCGCATTTATACACAAGTTTTCAACTATATCTTGAAGATCTGTTCTAGATGAGTAGAGTATGGGCATGCCCTGTAGCTACTGCTATAAAGTAAACCCTTCCCCCTCCCCCCGGCTAGTCTTGGTGATACAGTGATGGGTCAGTGGGCCGAATCTGGAAGCGATATGGTTTGGGCCGTGATTGCAAAGGTGACCAATCTATGGCACTCTTGTTACTTGAATATTAACAGTAGTTGAGCTACGGCATAGATCATTGCAGGTTATCTTTGAAAGATAGGGGGAGGGAGAGGGAAGTTGAACGACGACATATTGTTCTGGAGAAGAACCGAATGTAGTGTCTATATACGATAAGTGGAACCGCGGATGTTTTATATAATATGAAGGTAAACTACTTGTCTCATTGGCTAGGATGGTAAGTAGAGGGCTTTATGTTGGTGCTCGTGGTTCTAGAATTATGGTCTTCATGAAATGGAAGAGTGGTGTATGATCTTGTATTAAGTCACATTAGATATTTGAGTGTCTGTTCTATATGTGCACAAGTTGTCTTGGATATGGTTCAATGTAGCCCTCCTTCTAGGACAAAGCCCTCCAAACCGTGTTGTGGCAGATAGAGCATATCATATGCCTTGCCCAATTCTGTCTTATTCTATATTCATGCCATGACAACTGACAGACCTAAGTCAATATCAACACGAGGTGCACCTGTCGGAGGATGCGCGAGATGTAGGTAGCCTGAGTGTAGCCCCAGCGGTATATCAAGACTGGTTCTAATCTTGACCGCAGCGGTTGTTGGTTCGCGGTTCGGATGGGGTTTCAATCTTGTTTCTGGGGGGTCGTAAATTGAACCTGGCTGTTGTTGCATATTCTGACGCCTCAAATCAGAAACAACTGATGAATTGCCAGCAATATAGCTGTCGAAAAAGTGCACCCTGGCACATCGAGTAAGTTCAATGTAGGGTCAAGACTTAAATAAAAAGCCAGTCATGATCCAGATCTCCAATGTCAAAGATCCATTTTGTGGAGAACTCCTGTTTGTCGGTCTTTTGCCAATAAGACTGTAATGCCTTGGCTGCATTGACCACGTTTAAACAGTTCGTGTCCATCCAGAAATTCTCCAAGGAAGTGATTAGAAAGTCACGCTGGGCCTGCGACCGGCATTCGAGGCCAGCAACGAATATCGGCCAAAGAACACATTTTAATAACCTCCTGTCATCTCTTAACGCATCAATGACGCCTATTAATTCAGAGACGAGCTCCTCTTGCGGGGTAGTCACGCTGAGGAGAGCATCCAAGACACGCTGACCATAGATGAGAGCCCCTAGTTTGTATGATTGTGCCAGTTTGCAGAGGTTGCTTAGATATCGCGACGAGGTCTTCTGTGACTCGGGTAGGTTGGAAGCCCAGGTGTAACAATCAAATTTCTGTATTAGATCAAGCACGCTTGTTATGTCTTGCATGTGCGTGTTGCTGGTCATAGAAGTCGGTGGCTGGGGCTCGACCATGCTGTCCCGATAGGCTGAAAGACATTGGACGGCATGTAATAAGTACTCGGGACATCCAATGAAGGATTGTTCGACTGTTTCATGAAGTAAGGATTCTGGATGGTCTAATGAGGTGCAACCAGATAGTAATTTAGGGCGGACAAAGGTTGCACCAAGGGTCTCAATCCTGAATACCAAAACAGTTAGCTAGGATATATACAGTCTTACCTACGTAAGGGCTAATACATACACATGGATTTGTTTGATGATGAACTTTCTTATTTGCTCCACAGTTCGTCCTGGATCCTGGGACTTCCCAGCTTGCAACTCATTCAATTGACTGTTGGTAATCAGCCTCTTAGCGCCCTCGAGGTGGAAATTCCATTTGTCACTTCCGGACTCTAGAAGATCTAAGAAGATAAGAAGAAAGATTGAAGCTACTGTGGTGTCCTGCTCAGATATTGTCGGATTGTTCAAAGCGTGCGTCAGCCCTTGTATAGCTTGGTGTTTGAAGACCAGCGCATCTTGGTGAATCTGCAGGAGGTCTGGGGAAGACCCCACTACGGCATTCTCAAAGGAATAACCGGAATGGGCCCTGTGGCGTGCCGCGAGGGCGAGGACCGCCTTCATTAACATTGAGTTATTCACAGCCAGAGATATAAGCCTTCTAAAGGGATTTTCCTCGCTGTCATATACGATGAATACTTTGCATATTTGATCATTATCTGGAAGTGGAGATTAGTATCAAGGGACGGTGGAGTCGCTTGCAGCCGCGAAGAGAAGGTAATGTACTCACAATAGTCGAGGTAATACCTGGATGTCCGATCCAAGTTTGAGATAGGGCCAGCCTCCAAAGCACATGATAGGCTCACTCCATCATCGGCAGTATCTGACCAGGACAAGGGACTTTAGTTAGCATCCAAAAATCCGCTGTCATATTGAATCGGGGCATAAAGAACCCAGGAGACCCGCATGAAACGCGGTTTTATGTTATGTGGAGACCTCACCAGTATGGTCATTCTGATCGCGTCTAACCAAAACAGACGATATTGCCTTCTTATTACCTTTCTTCCTTGGAACCCGATCCAACGTTGCCAAGGCTGCCGAGGGTGCTGACGCATCCTTCGCCGTTAAACCCTGCAGCCTGCCTCGAATAGCCACGCCTTTGACCCATCTCAGGGGTCTCTTGTCATAGCATTCTAGCCCAGCTTTCAGACATTTTTTGCAGGGAGTTTGTGATTGGTCACATTGGATACGCCGACGCCGGCATGTATAACAAGGGTCGTACATTGTGCATCTCACTGTGGGGGTACACAAGGGGATGAACAATGTGGCGAGAGCTCCATCGGGTGACTAGTGCCAACTATTTCGAATAGGAATCATGATGCAGAGCCAGAGCTAAAGGTTAGCTTCACAGTTTAGCCCCGCTGGAGAATACAGCATACATGGAACACAAAACAAACTATGGCGCATCAACAGCGGACGTTAGAATAAAGTTTGAGGGGCGTCCTGTGATGAGCTCACTTTAATTGTCGGTAGAGCCGCTAACCCTTTCAGGCAATGGATGTCCTGTTTCAGCTTCTCCATCAGTCACATGATACGCAGGAACTGTTGGGTTATGGGGAAGATTGCGCAGATGAGGAAAAAATATGGGGTCTTCCGCCCCTTTTGGGCATCGTTCAGGGTCCTCTGTGAGCGATTTTCTGTGGAACCCCGCGCTAAAATTAACTGTCCTATACTAAACTTTATATTTGTACGAGTTACGGAGAGCATGATCTGATAAAATTGGCTAATACTAAGAATATGCAGCTAAATTTAATTGCGCGGCATTTAGTGTGAGCGTTTTTTTTAGTAGTGACCCTCAGGAGATTTGAATATGATCTTCGAACCTTTGTCTTTGTGAGTAAGAGACTAATGAAAACGAACAACAAGCAATCTAGAAACGGTATATCTCAATATGTACAAGAGAAAGAATTCGTAACATTAAATTATGACTGGGACAGAAGGGACTTGAACGCTTTAAGCAAATCATTCTTCAAGTCCTCCCAGTTTTCCAGTCCTACACTCAGTCTCAAGAGCTTCCGGTCTACTCTAGAGTCGGACAGTGCTCTCCATTCAATCAAGGACTCAACACCGCCAAGGCTGGTTGCATGCTGAAAGAGGTGTAACTTGCTTGGCAGGACCCGTGCGAAATCTTCACTCTGCAGAACAATCGAGAAAACAGGGCCAAAGCCGTTTGGCATCTGTGTCCGCACCCAAGGTTCATCCTGCAAGCTGGCATGGTGAATCCTTTGGAGAATGCTCTGGATAATATGTTCTTCACTACCCGGAGCTGGACTTTGGGCGTTCAGTCCTTCGTTCAACCATGAGATCAAACTCTCAGAGCTCTTGCTTGCGCGATCCACACGGACTTCCAAGGTACGCAGACTGCGCAGGCCAAGCCAAGCTTCTAAATTGCCGATGACGCTTCCAAACGCAAGTCTATCCTCGAAAAGCTTCTTCGTCCAGTCCTGACGCTTTGTCGCAAGAACACCACAGAGAAGGTCACTGTGGCCGCCAAAATACTTGGAACCGGAATGCATCACAATATCAGCACCCCACTGGAAGGGATCTTGCAAGCTTGGGGGGGCAAAGGTGCTATCAACAATGAGATAGGCACCTCTCGAGTGAGCCTTCTGGGCAAATTCCTCGATGCTGAAAGCAGTTCCCAGCGGGTTGACAGGGGTCTCTAGCAGAATCACATCTCCCTCTTCTAAGCTCTCTGCGGGGCAGTGAAGGTCTAGTTTCTGGAGTCCAGACAGGCGTGAGAGGACACCGATAACCTCATGGCTACCATGGTAACCTTCGCCGATTGAGATGCGGCGGGGGTTCAGAAGTACTAAAGCGGCGGTCAGAGCTGCTAAGCCGGTAGAGTAGCAGATGGCATTCCCGCCGATGAGTGATGAAAGAACAGCTTCGAAGCGAGTTGCATTTGGGGCAAACTCCCGAGAGTATACATAGTTCTTTCCGTCGAACTCATCCTAGGAGAGCGTTAACGAAGTGTTTCGAGTAGCTATCTAATGGTAACAGTGTCACATACCACAGGGTCCACAGATGGCAGGAGGTCGTTCGGATCACTGGGAAACCTGTATGTTGTAGACAAATGAATTGGAGGCGCAACGTCCGTGACGAGGTTGAGCGGGTCGTCGGCGTGCAATGCTCGAGTAGAGCGATGAGTATCGTTTGAAGGAGACATGATGTCGCGGTAAGTGAATTGAAACTTTGAAATGGAAAAGAAATACTCGAAGAAGCCAGAATGATGGAAGATCATGTGGAGGGGTCCCTTTATAGATGATTGTCTGCAAGCGGATAATCCAACTAGTACCAGTTTAGTATCCAAAGTGGGGCCCACTCCCGCGACTTTTCCTAAAACTGATGAATTATTGGCATATGATTGGTGAATCATATTCAAGATACCCCACTACCGTCAACTTCCCAAAAGAGACACGCTAATTCTAGTAGATTTTTTGACATTCGGCGTCCATCCGAAGTGTTTGCCATCATTCGACGAACAACTTCTCTTTTCAGCAGTGAGTCGCTGTGGGCCAGTCGAATCTTCACGGAAACCTTTTTACATGATCGATTTCTGAGTCAACAGAGCCCTATGACCAGCATCTCGAGCTGCTCGGCCTTGTGGACCAATCAGGATGCGTACAATTCTAATTCGGGCTTACCCCTCGATCCACCCCGTTAATATAGGATTATAATTATATTATCTTATGTACCTTAATTCTAAACATCGGATCAGATTGCCCTTTGGGTATGTCAGGTGATGACTCACACCATTCGACATGGAATATAAAAGCACCCGGATCCCTCCGTAAAAATAAATCCTCACTTTCGTCTAGGCCTCTCATTTTCCCTTACCACATAATTGCACAAAAACCATGTATCTCCGCGCAATCCACGCAGAAACATCGATCAAAGCTCTCTTTGAGCTGATCCAAAAGAACCCTCTTGGTGTACTCACCACTGCCATTCCGTCCACCACGCAACACTTCTTACAGTCTAGCCATATCCCATGGGTACTGGACATTATCTCAGATGACCCCGATGCACCAGTGAAAGGGCGACTGCGCGGTCATATGGCCCGTCAGAACCCCCACAGCAAGACTTTCATCGAAGCGCTGAACGCCGCGGGCTTACCCTCCGCGTCGCCATTACAGCAAGAAGTTCAGGTTCTCTTCACGGCCAATCCGCACCACTATGTGACCCCCAAATTCTACACCGAGACTAAGCCTGCCACGGCAAAGGTGGTCCCCACCTGGAACTACGCCGCTGTCCAAGTTTATGGCAAAGCCACGATCTACCACGACAGTTCTGCTCCTGAAACCTCCGAATATCTCCAGAAGCAGATTCAAGATCTCTCCGAGCTTTGTGAGACATCCGTCATGGGCTACACTGGAGAGGGAGGCCGGCCGGATTCTTGGAAGGTGGCTGAAGCCCCGGAGCGATATATTGATATCATGAAAAAGAATATCATCGGTATTGAGATCACCATTGAGGATATTGGTGGCAAGTTCAAGATGAGTCAGGAATCGACCAAGGGAGACCGGGAGGGTGTGATTCAGGGATTCGAGAAGCTTGGAACAGAACTTGGTCGGGATGTGGCGGCACTGGTTCGCGAGAGGGGGGAGATGAAGGATGCAGCCAAGAAATAAGCCCCTATCATGTTGTTTAGAGAACTAGAACAATACCCTTAGAATAGTTGTTATGAAGAGCACGTTTCGATGATACTGGTACTTCACTCAAAAGGAGTGGTCGATGGACCCCGATGTGAGATAATTGAAGCTTATTAAAAGCGATATAATAGATGTGACACTGCATTGGGCTGTCATGTCATGCTCAAACAAGAGCAATATACTGAAGGAGTCTCTACATCTACCTGTAGGACTATTGGATCACTGAGCTTGCTAAACTGGAGTGCGCTGTTGCCAATCCTACCCACACCAAGCGTTTTTTAAGCAGCTTTTGACAGTCTCAAGGTCCCTGAGAATACCAAACAAACTCTCCAATCACACTCCACGACTCTTCCATGTCTCATTCCGACTGAATTATTTAATGATGCATATTATTTTGGGAAAGGGGCGAGGGCTCAATGTGCCCCAGGTGATCATTGACGCTCATGCAGGGGCCAAGGGGTCTTTTTAGATGTGCATGTCCTCTACTAGATGGAGCCTCTGGCATTTCTTTCTATTAGGGAAATCTTGTTAAAAGGAGATTTTATTTCCACATATTTAGAACTGAAAAAAGCACATTCAAATGCCCTTGTCCATCTGTTTTTTAATTCCTTGTTAGCCCGCAATATAGTATTTTTCTATATATCAACATCTTAGCTGTAGCTAAACACTCCAAGCTACCTAAAATAACTTGTCAATCTTATCCACTTGTCGAACTTGGATAACCTAATTGAAATAGTGCCCTCTATGTAGAGTTTTAATGCAAGATACATGACACTCATCTCCGAATTAAGAATTCCAATAGAATGGCCGGTGGAAATGCTCCAGGTGTACAAAGATGGCTCAGTCCAGGCTAAGTGATATCAGCGAACAGCTTAGACTTTGTTCTAAACGAGAGAAATTGAGACAACGAACTTCCTTAGATTTTTCTCTAACTAGCATCCATCTCCTTCCACCTACCCTTCATGGTGAAGCTATCTATCCTAAACGCTGCAATATGCTTTACAAACCTTTGTTCTTGCTAAACCATTTCCTGATACAAATCCTACGACTGACCAGCCGAAAGACAGTGCTGATACCGACACGTTGGGCACTGTGGCATTGGGTGTCCCTTTCCTGGCTGCTCGCCTTGGTGCGGTGCCGCCGCCCCAGTCGGCCTGCAGCCACAAGGCATATCAAACATACAATGTATTTCGATGATTTCTTTCTCATTTTGGTTAGAAGTTTGGTAACCTTGAGAGCACTTGTGAACTGAAGCTGATGGCGAGCAATCCTTCTCTCCGCCCTTTGTTTCGTCTGCCTCAGGCATACGAAAACGTACCAGTACCGATTCCCATTGTTTCTATAGCTCAAGAACAGGAGTTATCAGTGAAAGGAAATTTCTACCGTGTCTGATGTCAGAGGCCACTTGTTCTTCTGTGATCTTGAGGCACTTGTAATTTATATACGACCTTCATATATCGGCGACAGTCACGAATCTAATAATCAGTCATCTATTGAATCTACCGAATATACCAAACCAATCACTCTCTATCCTCCCTCACTAAGTTCCGGTAAGGGTTACTGGGATCATTTTCCTCCTCCTCAATTGAGGGAATCGTCTTCTTCACACGGCAGGGAATGCCAACTCCCACCGAATAGGGCGGAATATCCTTAGTGACAATCGACCCAGCCCCAATTGTGGATCCCTTCCCAATGCGCACACCAGGCAGAATCACAACATTCGCCCCAATCCAGCAGTCATCCTCAATGAAGATAGGATGGCCGAATTCGACAAACTTCCGCCGAGAAAGCACACTGGTGTCGTGGCCGGCTGTGATAATGCTAACATTCGTGCCGATCTGTACTCGGTCCCCGATTACAACTAGACTGGTGTCTAGAACTGTTAGGCTGTGGGGTTGGATTGTGTTAGTTTTTGTTTTATTTTGAAGGTAGGTGGTTCTGGTGGGTGGGATTTGTGATTGGTAACGCACTTCCAATTGACGAAGCAATCGCTTCCAATAATAAGGTTAGACCCGTAGTCGGGTCTGAAGGGGGGTTCGATGAAAGTCCCGTCTCCAACTCGGCCGACGAGTGCCCGTAGTCGTTCCATTCGCTTGTCTGCGATCTGGTCATAGGGGACTGTCTTGGTGTCTAGGTTGTTGTAGTCGTCTGTTAAGCCACGGCAGCGGTGGCGAGCTTCTAGGAGCTTTGGGGTGTTGGGGTTGTACCTGGCTTCGTTAGCTTCCGTTCACCGTTCGAGTTTCCGACAGGGGATTCGATGTTTAGAACTAGGTTGGGATCAAACATACATCATTCCTGAGATCATGCATTCATATTGTTCGCACATGGGGACACCGTTTAATCCACGGGCCATCTCGATGATCTCGGGGCGTTTCTCTGTGGCTGCCATTTTTGTCTATCTGTATTGAGGATGATATTTGTCTAAGAGTTAAGAATGAAAGAGCAGAGATTGAGATAGGTAGGATTGAGTAAATCGGCTATGCAATGACAAAAAGTCCAGAATATATAAGCTCAACACAAACCGAACACCTGTTATTTAGGCGGTCATATAATTAGCACATTCATTCCTGATATGCTCCACACCTGTTGAAAACGTACTGGGTCCAATTGTTGAAGTGGGTGACTGTTTCAGAGTGGATGTGCTGTAGTTGGATATAATGAAGCCACGGTCAAGACTCAAGACCCCGCGGAAACTACGTCAAGGACGCATCCTCCGACATTTTCCCGACGCCCAAACTCCCCTGCCTAATTTGGTAAAATAGCCAGCTACTGTGGGGTCTGGGAGTCATGTGAGGGGGCGGGGATAATCTGCCGGGTCTCCACTCCTGCCGATGAGCTAACCACATTGGGTCTTTTAATAGCCGCGCTTATCGGCCTTATCGGGCTGGACTAACTGGATTTGGTGGTTGGATTGGAAGAGGTCAAGTATGCCCGTCATACAATTTAAACAATGGCCGGTTTTACATGTCGTCAGAACGGGCGACGTATGAAGCACTTGGAAGAAAAAGGGGGATATTTCTTTCACCCATTCGGTGGATATCTTTCTAGGAGATGGAAATCAAGTTTCACGTATAACAAGTGCTCGTTTGACCGCAATAACGCTCTGATAGCTACTTACTATTATCGGACAACAAGGACAAGGCTCTACCCTACTGAGCGCCCATATTTAGTCCCGTAAAACTAAATCCTGGCTTTGACAGGCTCATTACGGGCGCTCTTTAGTTCCCTGATAATCTGCAATGCAGCCTGAGATCCCTGCTCGAGCGCACCGTCAATGGATGCCCGCCAACCATGGGCCCAGTCCGCAGAAGCAAAGAAAATATGTCCATGGCGGCTTTGTAACTCTTCCTGATATTTCGACATGAACTCGGGAGGCCACCAAGCGGGGCCACCTTGAGACCAGGGATCGGTGTTCCAGTTGTGGAATACCTGTGCGTGTGTCAGTAAACTGCAAGTCTATAAATCGGTCACGAAGACAATACCATCTTTTCCACTTCCATAGGATGCAGCTTTTGAAAAGCATCAATGGTCTTCTCTGGATCCCGCTCAGGGACAAACACGTCTCGTTCGTCTTTACCGAAGCCCACTATATGTGCATTGCCATTGGGCGTTACCCCGTCCCCGTAGCCGAACATCAGAAGGTTTGGATATCGCATGCCGTTCCACGAGGTTAAGCCCGATCCCTTCACATCTGCGTGAATCTTGGTCATGTAATTGACGTGTCCGATTGCAATTGCTTGCTGGCGTGTAGGAGAAAGAGGTGGAGTGAAGGAGATGGTGTGCAGCACATTAAGTGGAATAGTGCTCACCACGCGACGGGCTCGATACTGCCTGCCTCCTGCCGTGATTACTTTTACTAAGTTGGCCTCATCGACGATGGACTTGATGGGCGTCTTAAAAGCGTATTGCAGGCCGTTGTCCACGGCATCCTGAAACATAGCACCAGCAAGGGCCGACTGGCCTTGACGAAGCTTGAATGTGGTCCAAATCGGCGTGAAATTGTCTGGGTTGTATGACATCAGGGCATGGGAGCGGATCATGTCCCACAGGCTTGAGTTCTCCATACTACCACCGGAGATGTGGAGCAGCAATGCGGTAAGAATTCCTGCCTCTTCGGGCGTCAATAAGTGCTTGATCTCTTCGAACCGGTCGCGACAGGTGACCTTGTCGTAGCGTTCCACGTCAAGTCGATTAACCAGAATGTTATCCAGCTGGGCGTGCGGTAATGGACAGATTGCGCGGCAGTTTTGTCCATCTACATTGACGAAGATGTTCCACGCTCGCGCAGTGATCTCACCTGCTTCCTCGTGAGGGAGCTTTCGTGGGGTTGCCCCTAGGTGGATGATTCGTTAGAGATATCCAAGAGATTATGGAGTGGATAAGACGCCGTGTACCTGGAACGTTGATTGTGTAGTAGTCGTTGGCATATTGTCGATGGTGGGTAAGGATAAGGTCTCTATCCAACTTATACCGCGTCATCTCTTTGAATAGATATGCCATATGGTGTGTTACCCATGTTCCTCCCATCTCATATAGAAAGCCTTTGGCGAGTCAGTCATGCCACAAAATTTGATCTGAAGGACTAGAGAAGTTAGACACTTACCGTCGGACTCGACTGTATAGGTTCGTCCACCGACACGATCACGGGCCTCAAGCATCAAGACCGAGAGGCCTATAAGACATGAGCCTAGATTTCTGTAAACGACAGAACAGTGACTTACCACAGTCCGTCATGTCACGAGCAGCCATCAAACCACTGTAGCCAGCGCCGATGACAATGGCATCGTAGATGTAGTCCGCAGGGGCAGTCCGTCTCTCAGGAGGCTCCACAACTCCTTCGCAATGGAGATTGCCCTTCCTGACACCAGTATCTTTCCTCCACATATAACCATCCTGAGTTTTCTTCATCCTGAGTAGTGCTACCTTTGTTCTTAGTGAACCACAAAGGTCACCAGACACCTATGTTGATGACAGGGGAAACGATGAATTATATATGATGTTTTTTCAGCTTGACTTCAATTACTCTGTCATGTCAATAGGGAGAGACTATAACAAAGTTAAGTTGTACACTGCATTTTTATAAGTTTAGCCGTTCAGTCCATGACTAGGAATATGTCCTGAAACGGAAATCATTGCGTTGGTCATCCATGTCAATGTGAAAGGCCCCTGGCCTGATCAGCAATGAATTAGGAGATAGAATTAGGGAAGCCATCCGCGTGATTCCGTGGGTACAGCAATCTGCCTAATTAGGAAGGTGGGTGTTCATATAAGACTTTTATTGCTTATCCTGTGGGACGAGGTGAAGGCTGCAACGAGAGAGTCCGGACCAGCAGAATGCGGGTCAATGTGACGATTTCCTACTTGTCACAAAAGTACAGCAATAGACGCAGTTGAAGTTGATTGAATGCTCTCTGCTCGCACTTTCCTTTAGCTAAACCTATCATCGATATGTAGTTTTTGGATCATTCCGAAGCTCTGCATATCTCTTTCCACAACAAAGCCACGTTACCATCTCGATTTCACTGGAAATAGTACGAGAAGAATAAACATACATAATCATTGAAACCAAGCTCATTACCATGGAATCCTCATCTGAAATGGTCCTCAACTGCAGGGGACTTGATATATCTCCCGTCTGACATGGTATACAAAAAGAAATCTATGCTATAACTATTGGAACCCCAATCTACACATTCAGCTCTCCGTGTATAAATTTCCTCGCACATACTTGAGACCTGTATCACAACCCACAGTAACAACCGTTTTCCCAGGACCTAGCTCCTTGGCCAATTGTAGTGCCGCAACAACATTGAGACCTGAAGAGGTACCAACAAGAAGACCCTCCTCCTTGGCCAATCGTCGACACATGGCACGGCCTTCGCCTTCTTCAATCGCCCGTGCTTCATCATACCAGTCTTTGTTCAGTAGAGGAGGGGGGAATCCGATACCAATGCCCTCGACCGAGTGTTCACCACCATAGCCCTTTGTCAGAGCCGGAGCAGAGGCAGGCTCTAGCACAGCTACATGGCAAGCAGGCCATTTTTCTTTAAGCGTTCTGGCAACTCCCATCACCATCCCTGCTCCTCCGATCGCTCCACAGAAGGCGTCAATTCTATCGGGAACCTGTTCCAGCACCTCGTGCCCAAGCGTCGCATAGCCAGGTAAGACATCAGGATTTCTGAACTGGTCGGCATAATAATAATCGCTGCCCTGGGAGGATATCTGCCGTGCGCGCTCACGCATGGCAGGAATCAGCTGCGGTGTGATCTTTCCATTCGCACTCGGAACAATATCCAGCTGCGCCCCAAATGCCGTCATGGTATTGAGCTTTTCGACCGCGAAGGCATCCGAGGATACAACGCGAAAGTTATATCCCTTAAGTGCGCAGACAAAGGCGAAGGAAGAGCCGGTGCTACCGCCTGTGGCTTCAACCACCGTCATTCCGCGATGAAGCTCATTGCGGCGCTCAGCCTCCTCCACAACTGAGAGGGCCATGCGATCTTTGTATGATCCCGTGGGGTTCAGGCTCTCCAGCTTTAAAAACACACGAGCACAACCCGGCGGAACAACGCGGGTCAGCTGGACACATGGTGTGTTTCCAATAGCGCCCAGCGCACTGTCAACACTTGGTAGAGTGGGCATGATATTCTGATGAGGAAACCGAGTGAATGCGCAAATTTGAGTAACCTGGGCCGATGCCAGAAAGAGAACGGATGTAAAGAAGTCGCAAGCGAAAATCAGTCGGTCGGTATCGACTGTATGAAAAGCACGAGTGTGAATTGGGGACTTGAGAGGCTATATGAGAATTGTTGCCCAAGAAATGCAGTCCCCAACTAGACAATTCGTAGCATGGCTTTACATGGATCCCACTTGCCGGTGAACTCGTACCCCCACATCAGGCTGAGTTCCCGAGGTGGCTCACATCAAGGCTTTCTGTGCTGTTTCCGAACATAATGGCATCAAACGCCTCTATCTTCTTGTCATACGGCTTCACCGGTAGCCACTCATCAGACGGCTAAGGTCTCGAAATGGCTGTCCTTTTTCACACCTCCATAATGCCAAGACACTACTGAAGATCTGAAGAAACAGCAAATCTTGGCATTATGGAGTACTCCAAGAGCACTGAAGAAGCTCTATGGAAATTGTGGAGTCAAGCCTGAACTTGCGAACCATGGCATGGAATTTATTAAACCATATTGTCATTCAACTGTATGCGTATACTCAGATAGGGACAATTGGGGGCTGGCGAGTGATAAGCTGCCCCTGAGATTGTTTCCTTAGTATTCCTACTCTTCAGTCATTCTACCTAAGTTTTTCCGTCACACTGGAATTGGGTAGCAGGCAAGAGTTTGGGGCAGCTTTGAACATAGGTAGGATGTGCCCCAACTACTATGGCTTCGTCATTAAGAAACCACCGCTTGTCTATGTTGATATCAGTAAAGAACTCCATAAATTGGACCGCGGAGCGTAGTCAATTAGAACAGGCTCCACGAGACTAGCGGACGACATCCTAGATAGTATTCTGTTTTAGTCTGTAGAGTACTTATTCTACGCGATAGTTACATCGTCTTCGCGCCCAAAGTAAGTACTAATGAGTTCCATACACTTCACACGTTATTACTGGTTATGGTTGATAGCCAGAATCCAAGTATACCCTACAGTTTCTACTCCGATGGGATATTGTTACAATGAAAAAAGACATCTCCAAAATACCAAGACAGAGCTTATTTGCTGAGATCTTTGTAAGCTATTCAATGCTAGTGGGGATGAATCATGATGTCAAAGAGCCTTAACCGATTTTTTAATACTGATTATCAACGAATAGGCTTCCGACTACCAGAGAATATATTTTGTTAAGCAAGTAATCTCTAAACCCGAAACTAGATCAGACATACACCAGATATGGTAAGTAATTCTGCATTACTGCATAGCGTAGTCGAATGAGTAGGCTCCTAGTCTTCAGGGAGGAAAAAAAAAAAAAAGTGTGCTGGTAATATCCGATATTCCTCCTATACACTACACAGGTCACTCGGGATTTGCTACACCATTCTAGTCCTACAGAGGCGATCCAGAGCGAGGGTAACTAAACCTGGTTAATAGAAATTTTCATGTATTCTTGTATAGTTTCCTTGTAACAAAACCTGGAAAATGAGAACCTCCGTCGTTATTCGACCAGGGTGGAGATGCGCCCTCCACCGACATGTTTTCGAATCCCGGTAGCTCGGGCCGTGACCCCGGAGTGTGTTCAGCGTTAGCCCTAATCTTAGCCGGAGATCGTTCTGAGCTCCCCGAATCTACTATCTATATTCAGATCAACTATCAACTATGGCTAAATCACATAAGTATGCTGGTCCTTGCGTCAGCAAGATTAAGCATTATCTGAGCAATTATAACACCTCGTTTTAATACAAGATGACGGAAGGTCCACTTGGTATACTCACCTTGAAAACTTTCAACGTATCCTTTGCCAAACGAGGCAAGCAGCAAAACCACCGTTCGAGACGTTACCCCCAATGGCGATTAGGGATGGATTTATGTTGCCTGTATCTAATTGATCAATGCTCATGCTTGGGACATCAATAGCGTGAGTGTACACTCAATTCTTTACGTGTGCTTTGCAGACTTTTCTCTCGTTGTCGGCTTGTTCATCAGGGATCTTCCGGGTCTCTTCTTGTCGCCGAGGTTTCACGACTACATCAAACGATCAACGGACTGAATATCTGCTAGATGATCTTGGTGAGTCCGATCACGGGTAGATAAGCTTCTCCACGTCAATCCCACGGCTTTCCTTCTCTATTGTACTCCAAGCAGCATGGACCAGTTTGCAAGTTCAACAGCCTAGTTCTGCGAGAGCCCAGCGGGAATGAATATCTATATGTACAGGTATTCACTGGTGCACGTTATGTGACCGCCTCACTGTGTTTGCTCGTTCTGTGTTGGCGGATAATTGATTACATGAATAGAATTTCTTCTTGGGTTCGCCAAAGTCTGAAAAGAACATAGTCCGCCGTGTCTACTTAATTTGAGTAGACTCGGGCATCCATATCGATCAGTACTCGGTATTGTGGTAGGGCTGGAGGCCTCGCATTCAGAACACACGGCTGCGGTAGATATAGCGCCACACTAAGGCATCAAGCCAAGGATGCCAAGGAGTACCTGCCGACTCGCTTAGATGGGCAGCTCGGCTACCAAACGATTAATCATATTGATTAACCAACTAGAGACTAGAGACTCTCCTGCGTGAATTATTTGTAAGCCCTCAACGAGTGTACCCGCTCCATATACTGTGACGTGGCTGGTCATTAGCATATACTTATTACCCCGGGAAGTACTAGGCCCACTACCTTAACATATTTCAGAACTTTACCACCACCGCACACATCATCACCGGAGTCTTGCCACGCTGACCAAGATTCCTACAACACAAGTAATATGGCCGACCAGAATACCTCAAACACGCAGCCCAACAGGGCCCAAATTCGTGTGGAACCCATCACCAACCCGGAAGACTTCAACCGGTTCTTTGAGCTTGCTGCCCTCACCTTCGGCCATCAGGTCCACGATGGTGTCTGGTGCGCCATGAATCCGAGCTGGGATACGCCTGAGGGTTGTGCGAGCGGGAGTGCCCGTCTTTCTGCGCGCTGGTCCACCATCACCAGAGACCGACATGGCAACCCCAACACCATCTTTCTCAAGGCTGTTCTCGGAGACGGCTCCGGGGATGAGGGAAAGATTGTCGGCGCGGCCATTTGGGAGCAGGCTTCCATGGTGGATGGGTACGGTCAAGCCCCTGCAATCAACATGGACAGTACGCAGCTGGAAGCCCTGTACCCCAATCAACCGGACGAACAGCGGTATCTTCGGCAGGTTGACCACTCACTCCGCCGGCGTCGCTTAGAGGTAGTCCGTGAGATTGCGACGAGTTCGTCCCCAGCAGTGATGGTATTGGACTTATGTGTGGTCGACCCAGCGTGCCAGCGGCTTGGAATTGCTACACGACTGGTAGAATGGGGTCTTCGTGAAGCGAAAGCACGTGGTGGCTTGGAGGCTGTGTTGGAAGCTTCGAGCATGGGGCGGCATGTTTATAGGAAGCTAGGGTTTGAACAAGAGGGGGGTGAGTTTCTTTACGACGTGGATGAGGAGTTTCGGCATCGTGAGCAGCCGTCGAATGTATTTATGCGTACCGGTAGACCGGTAGCATGATGGGTTTGATTGCGAGGAAGCCTTTTCTGTTGTTACTTTTCCCTGGGATATCCATAGGAGTTGAAAATGGTACAGCAGTGTCACTAATTGATACGCATTGGGCCACCGTGCAAAGTTATCATATCAGCTTTGCAGGTATTCCAACAAACCCATCTGTATTGACTGTGACGATGTACTTGAGCCTTCACATAACACAGGACCAGAGCGGGCTGAAATAACGTATTGCAATGACCACAATTGTCCTATTATCTAGAGCCTTAAAGACTCAGGTTATTGAGTCAAACCCAAAACGCAGATTTTGATTTTCAGAAGATCTAGGAAATAAGTCAAAAAGAGTTTATAAAAGCTAACCTCACCCGGTTGTGCGTTAGATTGCAAATTATGGGGAGCTGGAGGACTAGGGCCGGGTCATTCCTCATCAGCTATCGCGGGGGTGATTCTCGACGCGTCGGTTATGTGAGTGCCGGTTTTTGGGCTGGAATCACTCTTGGGCGATTTCTGATTGTGTATCCTGCCCATCGAATTGGAGAGAAAATTGTCGTTGGGTTACTGGTTGTCGGAGCGATCGCCTTTCAACTCATGACCTGGCTAATCCCAAATATTATCGGTGAAGCTGTGTCTGTAGCGATCCTGGGCTTGATTATTGGGTCCCTTATATCCATGCTCTACGGCGGTTTTCGCGAAGCTCTTACCCCGAAGCATGCAACTTGTAAGCCTGAGCTTCATCAGTGCCCTTGGGAGCAGTGACGGGGCTGTTTTCCCTTTCCTGACTGGTATTTTTGCACAGAATATGGGCACAATGGTGCTGCATCCAATCTGTCTTGTGTTGTATGCGGTGATGATTATTAGTTGGTGCTCCTTACCGTCGATCTCGAAGCGGTCAGGGTAAAATTGCTTAAATAAATAATATAAGCCAGTATGGTCGGGACTTAGGTGTTGATATATAACCGTTAATCCCAACCCGGACAAGGAAGAATGTGCGGTTTACTAACGACTAGTGTGGGGAATATAAAGGCTCCAGTTTTCTTCCTTCCCCATAGGGAAATTCAAACACTACTTAGTATTTATTGCATATCGGCGTGGTAAGACTCAACACTAAGCAACTTGTCTTATATGTACCATGGGAGGCGAGATCCGCACTTTCTTCAATATCTCTAAATATTTTACTTCTAACTATATGCGCTTGAAAACAACGAGAAGCAGCCATGCCGGCATCGCCCTTCTTTAACTTACTAAACGCTCTTGAGTCGATTAACGATGCTGAAAAGTACTCTGCTTTCCACATCATCAACACTGGATATAAGGCATCCATAGACGGGAATTCCCACATCACAGCTGACATTCTGATTCCACACACCTTGCGGGATACCCAATACCAAGGGCCCCGGCCGGTGATTGTGAGAATCCATGGGGGCTTTCTTGTACGTTATCGTGGAGGCTATTTTCGAACCAATACTAAACTATTGGCAGGTAACGGGATCAAGCTTGTACCCACCGTGGTTCAGCAGCTGGATCCTCGAATATGCGTTACTAAACAACGCCATCATCATCTCCCCTAACTACAGGCTTCTCCCCGAAGTGAGTGGAAAAGATATTCTAGATGACATGAATGACTTTTGGCACTGGCTCCACAGCGGATCGGTAGATCCCATTATTTGGGGTGCTGGATACCAAGGTATAACGTTAAACCAGTCTTCAGTCTTGGTGGTTGGTGAGAGTGCTGGTACAAGATAGACCCTTTTACTTTTCCCTCTTGGCTTCGATTGCGGATCTGACGCCCCGTATTCTAGGAGGCTACCTAGCTATTCAATTGGCAATCACTTACCCGTCGAAGATACGTGGGGTCATTGCAGCCTACCCCATGGTGGATTTACGATCCAAGTTCTATACAGAGGCATACTCCAAGCCGATTGTCGGAGTGCCCAATGTCCCAGTCAACTTGCTCGACGATCATCTGGCCATGATGGCAACCAGGCAAAATAGCCGAACTAAATGGATTACAGCAGCTGATCCGCCAAATCGGCTAGAGCTGGCATTTTCGACTGTCCAGAATGGCAAATTTCTGGATGTTTTCGGTTCCAAAGATAGAGAGCTTTTTCCGATCGAGAGACTCCAGAATCTAATCTCGACAGGCGTAAATCTACAATTACCACCGATGTTTATCTTTCATGGAGAACAGGATTCCGCAGTTCCGGTAGATAGTTCAAAGAAATTTGTACGGTTCCTGCGGGAGAAGCTGCCGCATGCTCGTGTTATGTTTTACACTCAAGATGGGGATCATGGCTTTGATGCAGATGCAACGTTGCAGACTCCGTGGCTAAGGGATGGATTGGAGAGAATTTCCAAAGTGTGGCTAGAATCTCCCAGCTCTAATCTTTAATATGACACACTCTTTGTAGTTACAGTCCACTATTAGCATAATCCTGACATTGTACGCATGGCATTCTTTCCCCCCCCCCCCTCCTTCATCATTTCTCATGTGGAGTATGAAGAGACACTATAAGGCAAGGTTTCTGATCAGCGTAGCAATAATATCCCTTGAAGGGGTCCATATCCACTAATGTCCGAAGTTTTCCCGCCACGCGTGGAGATACGCTTAGTTCCCCGATTTGGCAAAACCCTCAACTTCCCGATTCAGCAATGCACTTTAGCCATTTTATACCATCTTTCTACAGATATTGCTGAGTCCCCTCACTGAGGCGGGGTTGATAGTGTCGTCAGAGCTTGATATCAAACTGATAAGAGAGGTATATAGCACCTACAGTATTCCTCACTTCTCACTATCTCCATACTTCCTATACAATCATCTCAAGTTTTGTACAGCAATTCCAAGTCTTATCTTCACATCAAAATGATCACCGATTTCTCTGGCGTATCCCTCAAGGGCAAAACTGCCATTGTAACAGGTGCTTCTCGGTGAGGAAGAAACATGATCCTTCAATTGCATGGACCATATCCTAACTATATAATATAGAGGTCTGGGGGCCGGCATTGCCCTCCTCCTCGCCAAGCGCGGTGCCAATGTCGTCGTCAACTACGTCTCAGACGGGAGTGCGAAGCGCGCCCAAGAGGTAGTAGACCAGATCAACAACCAGATCGGCACGAAAGCCATCCTTTGCCGTGCGGATGTTAGCAAGCTAGAGGAAATCCCATTGCTTGTTGACGCGGCGTTGAAAATCAGTGAAACTGGAAAGATTGAGATTTTGATTCATAAGTCCGTCATTCCACGGTCTCATCTTTCTTACACTATGCTAACGTAGAAGGATAAAAGTGCCGCGCAAGGTCTGGAAGCAAACCTCGTCGATACCACGCCGGAATTCTATGAGACGCACTTCAACTGTAATGTTCGCGGTCCGATCTTCCTGACCAAGGCTGTCGTCCCGCATATTGCTAAGGGTGGGAGGATTGTGTTTATCTCGTCCGCTGGTGCGAGACTAGGTGTTGCGGGTCAGACTGTCTACGCTGCTACCAAGGCGGCGGATGAGGCTTTGGTGCGCGTCTGGGCTAAGGAGCTCGGCCAGTCGCATAATATTACTGTGAACTGTGTTAACCCGGGCCCTATTGCTACTGGTATGTACTTGTGTTGGGTTTGAGCGCTTTTCTTAATCCACTTTTATACTGATGTCTCCCAGATCAATGGTTCCAGAGTGATGAGCAGTTCCTGAAAGACATGCAGCCGTTGATTGAGTCGACTCCGGCTGCAGCTAGGGTGGGTGAGGTGGATGATGTTGCGCCCCTGGTGGCATTCCTTTGTAGTGATGATGCCCGCTGGACTACAGGTGCATGCTTGTCAGCTAATGGTGGTCTCTATAATTAGTTCTGTCCCTATGTTAAGAGTATTTGGTAGTCAATGTGCCAATTTCATCACTGTTCAATTGTTTCCAAGCCTAGTGTATAGCTTCTACCACTTTGATGATGCTGGTATACATCTTCCCACAATATCTATCCAAGTTAAAAAAATTTAGTTCAGTGTGATGAAAATACCGGTGCAAATGGTTCGTGAAGCCCAACTAAGAAGATGACAAGTGACGCCTGGCAATTGTATCACTACCACGACTAAGTAAAAGCCTCGTATCTAAGAGAATACTTATGACCGACTAGTACTCGGAATCAGCAACTACAAGACAAGAGAATATCGACTTCAATACACACATAATCACATATCCAAACCCCGAAACCACAAAGCCATATCCACAGCCTCAAACTCCCTAAGTATCATGATAAACAACCCCCTCCGCCGCAATCTCTGCCCTCATTCCCTTAACATTAATCTCCTTAACTATCACCGTACACCAGGTAGGGGTATGCCCAGGAACCATCCTCCGAAACACATTCTGCATAACCTCCTCATCCTCAACATGAACAAGATAGCTAATGAAGCGATAGCCCTGCGCAAGTCCCTGGTTTACACCGGCATTCTTCAATGCGGCATCAAGGCAAGTGAAGATGGCTTCGAATTCTGCTTCTGCTGTTTCGTGGACCAGGGCCCCGGTTTTGAGGTCGAGTCCGATATGGCCAGTAGTATAGACGAGAGACGTAGTAGACGATACGGGTACGGTGGCTGTGGTGGCGAGGGAGGCGGGTTTTAGACAGTCGCCTACTGGGCCGGGGAGGTTTTGGTATGTGGTTTTGGACATTATGTTTCTTATGGTAGAAATGTAGAAATCTTGAATGAGTGAACTACGGATCTGACTATACCAGACTATGTATGTATATAAAATGTATAGATTTATGTATACTGTCCTGGGTGATTTGTCACAAATGGGGGCAATGTAATTCAATTACCTAGTATGGAAGAAGGAAAATGCTGTCCAAGGCCAGAGAGGTCAAGGGGTATATCGAACAAATTTTTATTCTCATACTGATCTACAGCAAGGGCACAACTTAGGGTAATTGATTTGATGCAACAATTTGACTGGCTGCGGATACCCACTTACCTATTTAGGTAAAATAGCCAGCAGCATTGAAGTGGGCTTAGGCTCATCTCTGGCCCGGTAAAATGCCGCTGCTTGTTCACTGAGACATTATCTGGCACTGCGCTGGGTCGAACTAATCAGATCCACATCCAATCAAGGCATCTCTGAAATATTAATTGATGTACCTGCAGCGCTAGCTGAGGGGGCGAGGTTTCCCCATTTATCCAGCTCTAATGCATATCCTCCCTATGCCCGTGTCGGATGATAACGGCTTGACTATACCCTAGCAAACTAAGAGAAATTGTAATTTGAAGCTTTTCTGTGGCCCCGCTGTGGAGAGAAGGCAGAGCCTGCTGTCTGGATAACAGGCTATTTTGAGTTATACAGCGTAGAAATTATCATAAGGACTAGCGATGTAAGGTGTATACGTTGACCCTCGGTCGTCAAGGAAGAATACTTAATCGGCAAAAGCCGCTTCTGCCTTCCATTTTCTTACTACTTTCCAGAACCCAATAAAACTCCCAGAGAGGAAATTCCCTGGAATGGCTACCCAAGTTGGCAAGAGAACTAATTCCTTGGCCTTTGCCCGTACCGATTGCCATACGTGCACCTCCAAGGGCCAGAGATGTGATCGTCAACGACCTCAATGCACTACCTGCATCAGTCACGGTCGTAAATGTGGTGGGTTCGCGACGCCCCTCTCTTGGGATCATCGACGCACCCGCAACAGGGCATTAGGTAGCCAGGATAATTCAGGGGAGGATGCAGCCGTTACAACTCCCAAGATAGGAAATGCCCAGATAGGCAAAGACCCTCCGAGACATTTTAAGTTTGTTCTTGGTGGGAAAAGAGATCGGAGACGCCGGAAAGTGGTGCAGCCGCGAGATAACGCGCGTGCGGAGATCGAGACAAAGCCAGTCAAACCCCCGCAACCGGTAGATGTTGCCGATAATGATGTTTCTCCACCCGGTGATGATGAGTCTTCGTTTGATCTCGTGGCCTTTGCTCAATCGGAGCATGTGTTTGATCCCGCTAATTGTATGGTTGCCCATGGCCCAATGTCCACGTCACATCTGCGACTTCTGCGGTTCGTATCCATGATGCTAACAAGGTCTAGCTTTTTTTCAGCATGATACTATTGATATACCCACTCCACAAGACTACTTTGCGTCTTTACTACAACCCGGCTCGTCTGCCTTTCCACTTGAGACCCCGAGTATGATGGAGCGTACATCAGGGGAAGGACTCTCCGGCTTAGGACTAGGTGATGCATTTCAGGACGGTCTGTCTTTTATTTCCTCGGACATGGGTCCTGTAGAAGGATTGGTATCAACATTGCGCGCACCCACTTTGGAATCCGTAGGTGGAGCTGGGCCGGGCCCAAGCCAGCCTCTAGGCAATCCGCATGAGGCATTGTTGCAAATGTGTATGAGTGGGCCCTCCGAAAGCAAAGAATATTGAGGTCTGACATGTTTCCAGATGATACGGAATTCTGTGTCCTCCCCATTACATCCGATACAGCGCTGAACCCCTTTCGCTGTCGTGAGCCACTGTCCCAATGTTCAAGGCTCTTGTTCCATTCCATCCTGGCACTGTGCTGCCGCCATCTTAGCCAGATTACTGGAACACCATCCTCGGAAGAGCGAGAGCATCGTAACCAAGCGTTCAAGCTTCTCGAGAATGCACTCCAAAGTGATCAGCTCGCAAGGAGAGGGTTGACCTTGCTGGATCCACTTTTAGTTCTCTTCACACTTGATGTAAGTTGTCGCCAAATCTTCTCCGCTATTATCGGCATCTAATACAAAACTAACCTATGTGTTCTCAGTGTACCCTCTCTGCCTCCGGCCGATGGTCCACCTATCTAACTCGAGCACATTCCATCCTCGAAGCATGCGGGGGTCCGCCAGCCCTCGATAACGCGCGCATTCGATCTCAAGTGGCCATGATCCTGTGGTAAGCCAGCCCCTTCCACGCATAACATACTATATCTAATAAACCAGGCAGGTGGGACGCAACCCTAGCTCTAGTCTCTCGTCAAGGAACAGTGTTCTCCCAATCCTACCTCGACCACCTTATACACTCAGAGAAGAAAGACAGATGGTCATTCTACGATCTCACCGGCTGTCCAAGCGACCTAGTCGTGACCATCTTCAAACTAGCAGAACTAGCCCACCAAAGCACAATAGCCTCCACCATGAAATGGCTCACCTTCAACTTAGCCCCTATTGTCCAAATTGAAGAGCACCTTCGGTCTTGGACGCACTCCTTCTTCGCAGCACCGTCCTATAACCAGGCTAGTCCTAGTGTTGATGACGGTACTCGCACACCTCCACTCGATGAAGACACCTTCCACGCACACCAAGACCGCCATCACTGTGCCGAGGCGTGGCGCCATGCTCTTTTGCTTTATATCGAAAGGATATTCAGATGGGATCGAAATCAGATTCGCCCGTTGTCTATTCCTTGTCTTGCGAGATTGACTCTCAACCATGTGAGGTGTTGTAGACGGACGTCTCAGACGCAGAAACAGTTATTGTTACCAGTGTTTTTGGCTGGTAGCGAGACTGGGGACGAGGAGATGCGGGATCTGGCTAGGAGTTATTGTCGTTGGTGGGGGGAACGGAGTAGATATAATATGTTTCATTCGGTGCCGGTATTACTGGAGGATATCTGGGGTGGGGATAAATGGTGGGGAGATGTGGTGGATGAGAAGACTAAAGGCGCATCGACGGCCGAGGGGTCTAATGTGCAGTTTCTTTTTGGATAGCGTATATAGGAACAGAGCTTACTCTCCCCTGTTAAGGGATTTCAAGCCAGTAGGGAGGAAGAACGATATTCTCACTAGGTAATCATGGGGTCGAGAAACCGGAAGTGGAGTTGAAGCAGAAAGCTTGCCTCCAAAGTACATCTTTCATTGTCCCTGTATATAGTCTTCAATCTAGTATATTCTACCCTTCATTATTTGTTGTCTTATATCCCGTAAATTATTTCAACGCGTTACTAGCATTCAGCGCGTCCCAATCAATTTCCGGTCCTTTAAACTTATGCCTCCTTTCAATCCAGAGGACTAAGACAAGTCCAAATAAACCCGTGATGACCACCGAATTACTATAACCTTAGCCTCAGTCTCACAATTCAAACGTCACTCAGAGAAAAACTCACTAATTCATGCTCTCCAGAGTTGTAGGAACCGTAACTGGGAAACAAAAGAAGATCCCACTGATGATCAACCAAATAACCGAGAAAATATTCACCGCATACCCAATAACAGGCCCTAAGTCGAAATGTCGACGGGGTAGCTTATTACGTCCGCAAGTAGCTAGGATTCCTTGTGGGATAGTATACGTTATATTCAGCATGAGAATTGCCGTGTTAACGATAGAGTTGAATGCTGCGGTTGAGGCAATATAGAGGAGGCCGTATATTAGACAGAAACAGGCAGCTAATAGGGTAGTGCGAATAGGGATTTGGCGGACTGGGTCGATGTGGCTCCAATAAGAAGAGAACGGAAGACCATTCTTAGAATCAGAATACCGTTAGCTTGTTTCGTGGTTGCTCGGTCCCTTATTTGAGGTACTTACATCTCGTGAAAATGCCCATGCGATTCGACTGGAGGCGATCCATTGGCTGGGTACGCATGCTGTTTCGATTAGCTTGGATGTGTCCTCGTAATGATATGGTGAGGGGCCTTGGTACGGAACCATACTGTAGTAGAGTAGAGTTAGATACGCCTGCAGGATTGTAGTAGCGACCTTGTTCCCAGTTGCCTGATAGAAAATCTCCATGCTAGGCAAAAACGCTGTCTGCACCGCTTCGAGGTCGGTAATCACAGTAACCATGACCACAATCCAGGGTACAGCTGTCAAGACGCCAATGACCATAGTCATGTTGCTATCACATATTGTTAGACAGATCAAGAATATTCACGAAGGAGACCTACATAACTTGGGGCAGTTTCCTTCCGGGACTTGGCATCTCCTCGGCGATATGAGTGCATGCGCTTGTCGCAGCGAAGCAGTACTGGCCCACGCCAATACTCATGAGCCATGCCGGTCCATGACCCCATCCACTAGAACCACGGTATTCGACAATATTAGTCGAGCGATAGTGGTCTCGACCCATTGACAAGCATACTATTATCACCAGGAGGAGACCAACAACGGACAAATACATGGCCGTCTGCGTTAGCCGATCAATGTGCTTTTGTGGAACAGTGAAGATGGGAATGACTACAACGCTGTTAGTGTAGATCAAAAACCCCAACATATTGGGAGGTGAGCACAATGGATAAGAAAGAGTAGAAACGAACGTGTCAAAATCACCACAAGAACGTAGCATAGATACACCTGCCACTGTGTGCCAGCAAATTCTGGATACCAGAACTTCGCAATCCCAAAAGCCGATATAGCCGTGTATATAACCCCAGAGGCAGTGGTCACCCACCATGCCACCACGTTAAAAATGCCAACCGTGTAGGCGGCGAAGTTCTTCGAGAACTGTGGGGCAACAATATACGTGAAATGGTATTGACCCTGTGATTTTGGTGAGTTTGCCGTCACTAGGATGATTCGTATATCGTGATACAATTGCTATCGAGAGACCTACACCAGAAGAGGGAAGAGCAGAGCACAATTCGGCCAGCCCCAGAAGGACAATCCACTGGACTGCCGAGGCGATCATTAAGCCAAAAACAGCGGTTTGGCCGCCCCCATAACCGATGGCCATACCAAAGCAGGCGGCATAGGAAAGCCAGGAATCAATGATGCTAGAGACGGTTATTGCCTCCGCCCCATACTGAATGAAGGCCTTGCTTACCTATAGGCCAGGCCGATTGCTCCAACCCAGGAGAAGGACCGTTCTAGCTCAGCCACATGGCCTTGCGCCCTCAGGACAGCATCATCCAAGTCAAACACTTCACCGAAACCTTTCCCATCCTGGCTGGTAGGGGGAATGTGTTTTCCATCTGATTCGACTGAGTCTGACATGGTGATTTGGGTTCTTCCTTCGGAATTTCACATAGACATATGTAAACGAGGGAAAGGGTTATGGAGATTCTGTAGGCAGATACGTATATATATACGATATCGGCTAAACGCCACTCAAACCTAGACCCTGCGGCGTACGGCGACTAGCAGCGCCCTTGCTTCCGGATGAGCGGACAACGGATGAGCACCTCCGCGCAGATTAGAGGGGTCCATGACCATACTATCTCCTTGAACAATACTGTGTAACACGTCCAATACCTGTGAACGCGGAGTAAGGGAAGAGCTGCCAATCAGAAGGACGTTGAGTATCTGCAAGATAGACTAATTTGGGCTAAGGAAGCCGGCGAGTGCGGGGAAATTATGTTGAACGACTTCAGCTTGGTGGGTACCCTTCTGCCCTAGATTGACTTTATCAGCTCACTTGCTAGATAGGGAGAAGATACACACCCTTGATAAGAGCAACTCAAAACCATATTGGGCAGCTGTTATAGGGCCTGCGGATTTGTTTTACCTTTCTGTCTGGTTGAGGCGAGTAGAAGTGTTCTCATCCCTAGTATTACACTGCCCTTGACTGTAATAACTAAACTTGATTCGAGGGGAAAACAGGTGCATGATAAGGGTACTTACAACATAGTGACGTGGCTTAGGTACCTCCCTTCAGCTGTGGTAAAGAAATTAAAACATATTATCAAAGGAGTAAGTACTGTGCCCAGTAAATGCTTCTTGTGTAATCGTAGCTCTGCCACGGTAGGGATGATGGTCGCAATATATACTTGTGTTCAAGCCAAGAAGTTCCGTTAACATGGATATATGGCCTGATATATCAAACTTTGCTTTACTATGTCCTATTCGACATGGTCTTATGCTTTTGTCCGGACCTTAACGAGGGTCTCGTCATACCACGCCTTGTAGGCCCAGCCAAGCATTGGTCAGGCTCTTCTCGGGGAGTAAGCATTATATGTATTATCCTGAACCTAGCTCATGAGCCAATTACCATACAAACATTAGTCTACGAAAGGGATAGAGCATACTAACTAAAATACGGTTAAGTATCAAGATACCTAACGCATGAACTCAGAATTATCTGTTCAAAAAGAGCTAACATACAAGAGCAAAGCAGTACACAGACTTCAATCTTCGTTTGTACCAAGCCAATCAAGAATACTAAACGCCACAAACAAGGTCACAGCTTTGCCCTGCTCGCCAAAGCTTCCTCTACGAGGCTCACAGCAGCCTGGGCGCATCCATAGGATGACTGATATCCGGCTCCTCCCGCACCATAGTTGTGCACCACCCAAGTGTCTCCTATGCGTTCCTTCTCGATTCTTGTCCCATTCGCCCGCACGGGTCTCAGGCCCACGCCGTGTCGAATGATATCGAGGTGTTCAATTCCCTTCCCACCCGTAAGCTGAGGACACATTTTGACGGCACGTTTCATAATGCGCACAGCAAGATTGGGATCCGCCTGTGAATCCCAATTTCCCAACTGATACGAGCCACCCAAAATTGTACCGCCGCCAGCAGCGCGGGTCATAACATAGCATGCTTCACCATCGCCATCGTCAGTTCCAGAAACATCTAGCATCTTCCCAGCTTCATTTCGGACTATCACAATTTGCCCACGAGCGGGTACAACGGTCCTATCTTCGACTCCTCCCAGTTTGGAAGCCATAAGACCTGTACAGTTCACGACGAGATCAACCTTCTGACCGGGGTGAACAGATTGAGAGGCTGCGTCCGAGATATGGTTGAAAATAGCCCGTTTGAATACAACTCCATTTTTAAGACACTGGGATACGAGCCAGGGAAGGTATATCGCAGTGTTTATGCAGACAGACGTGAAGGCTGTCGCAGAGTCAAAACCAGGACCATGGCTGCTCTTGGGAAGAGCACGAAACTGATTGATTTAGCGTGAGATAGACAGCTTGGGACTCATACGTGAAGGTATCACTTACATTAGGAACAACGCCCTTGAACCACGGGCTGGGTGATAAAAGCTCTCCAAACCATTTTGCGGTTGTCGTACCAACATCCTTCGAGCGGCTGTGTATTTCGCATTCTACAATATTGTTAGTGGTTAGTCGCGAAACAAGTTCTTTCTCATTTACCTTGGAAGTGTATTCCGGCATCAGGGTGGTTACGCGCTAGATCCTCTAACACTGTCCATGTGTACCTATCCCAATCTGCAGCCTTGGTGCCACGAGTCGACATGCTGAGTATGGCTCTAGTGAGTAACGCGCCAGCAGTTTCTTCTTTCGATCCTACTCACGGCATATAATTCGCACCAGCCCACGGTGAAGCATATTCGATATCGTAATCCCCAGGCATATGTTTAGCCGCAACGACTATCTTGTATCCCGGAAGTCTGGACAGGAGAAGAGCAGTCGTAAGACCTGCAACTCCGGCACTGAGATCAATAGGAGTCAGATATAGCTGTGGCAGCCAGTACGCAGCATGTGGTTTGAAGGTCCCTCACCCGATAACTACCACATTCCTTTGTTCCATTGCGCCGTTCTCTTGCAAGGGGATATCAAATTAGATAGCTTGCTTATTGAGGCCTTGGGAAATCAATATATAGTTGTAGCCTTCTAATAAGAACGAACAATTCCAGTTCCCTCGAGGACTTGTAGGATAGGATCGTACAAACTTCGGTATACTACAAAGTACTCTAAATCACACAGTAAGAAGATTGCCTTCTCCCAAATGCTCTACCAAGCGGGAAATTGTTCCAGGTCTATTACCAGGTTTGGAAATCATACATAATCGTTCAATCATCGGGACCAAACTCAGTTTCCTCTTTAGGCAAGTTACCGGTTCTGGTCAAAGCGCCACGACTATGATTTCCATAGCCCTTATTATTGGTAATGAGAAATCCTACATTGCCTTTTTCAGATAGCTTGTTCCCCATATACTTAAAGACAGTGCTCTATCTAAAGATCTGGGAATATTCAAGTCAATCTTTCTTCTACTTTGTCTAGAGTTTCATACAACCCATCAATCTCACAATGGCCTCCATGCAAAAAGTCTTCGCTGGCTATGCCGCACGCCAAGCTGTCCTTGAGGCGAGCAACAACCCCTTCGCAAAGGGCATAGCTTGGATAGAAGGTGAATACGTGCCACTAGCCGAGGCCCGCATTCCACTCCTCGACCAAGGCTTCATGCACAGCGATCTGACCTACGACGTGCCGTCCGTCTGGGACGGGCGATTTTTCCGCCTCGATGATCATCTTACACGGCTCGAAGTTAGCTGCGACAAACTACGTTTGAAAGTACCTCTTCCGCGCGACGAGGTCAAGCGGATCCTAGTCGACATGGTCGCCAAGAGTGGCATCCGCGATGCCTTTGTGGAGTTGATCGTTACCCGGGGTCTGAAGGGCGTTCGCGGCACTAAGCCCGAGGACATCGTCAATCGGCTCTATATGTTTATTCAACCCTACGTTTGGGTTATGGAGCCCGAAGTGCAGCACACTGGTGGTAGTGCTATTGTGGCACGGACAGTGCGACGGGTCCCCCCAGGGGCTATTGATCCTACGATTAAGAACTTGCAGTGGGGAGATCTGGTTCGGGGTATGTTTGAGGCATCGGATCGAGGTGCGACGTATCCGTTTTTGACGGATGGGGACGCGCATCTTACCGAAGGGTCTGGGTTCAATATTGTCCTCGTCAAGGATGGGGTCTTGTATACCCCGGACCGTGGTGTGTTGCAGGGCATTACCCGCAAGAGTGTGTTTGATGCTGCGCGTGCCTGTGGAATTGAAGTGCGTCTCGAATTCGTGCCTGTGGAGTTGGCATACAATGCCGATGAGATCTTCATGTCCACTACCGCTGGAGGTATTATGCCCATTACCTCTCTGGATGGGAAACCGGTGAATGGAGGACAGGTTGGCCCGGTTACCAAGGCAATTTGGGATACATATTGGGCTATGCACTATGACCCCGTCTACAGCTTCCAGATCGACTATGATGGTGTTCAGAAATCTGATGTGAACGGGCTTGGAAAGCTTTAAATATTGCTTAGTGTTCACAGGGCATGGAATTTACTGTTCTTAATTCGCTTTTTATATGTTATGATCGATGAATAGCAGCAGATATATATATATTAAATTAAAGAAAATAGCCATTTAAAGCTTGCTCTATGACACTACTACTAGTCCTCGTATTATTTCATCGCCCGCTAAGTTGATGGCTTTCATGAATGCATTGAAACAAGTATGTATTGGAAAAGCTCTCGAACACCGAGTTAATGATATGGTAATATAGCCAAGTATAAACACAACACCAAATACTTTCACGCCGGGCTCGAAATTAACGCAAGTCTATAGATATAAGTTGTCATACCTTCTATCAAATCACGTTCTTTAAGGACAGTGTTTTTTCCTTTACGCCTTTCCGGATTTCAACTCATTATATATCATCTTCTCCACCTCCTCCATGCACCCCAACACTTCGAGATCTATCGTTATAGCAGTTAGCAAGCTATAGTTTTCATCCTGTAATCTGTACATACCTCCGTATGGAAGAATCTGAGATGCAATGATAGCCCCAACACCATTCTCTTGATCCGCAAACCAGAACAAATTTGCTAATCCTTCCCAAGAAGCAGATCCCGCTGCCCTACCTGTTGGGCTTTTGCGATGGCTGATGGAGAAGGACAACCCCCAGCCCTCGGTCAGGTCATCATCACAGGGTACCAAAGGGCAAGGGTTCGCAAGAAGCGGCTTTCCCGATGGTGTGTATTCGTTACAATACCGAGGCATATCTGGAATTTGATCGGTGAACATCTCTATACTCGACTTGTTAACTTGCTAGGTGACGTGGCTGGGTAGGCAGGGGCCTTTCTTGCCTTTTACTGTTTCTGGCTTCAGGAGCTGGGTTCCTGTTTTGGGATCTGTGCCGTCGTTTAGAAGTGTTGCGATGATCTCTGTGATATTCTATGTCAGTCCCATGAGTGTACATATGTATAGATACTAAGGGACTACTTGGGAACATACTGCAATACTCAACGGGTTTCCCAAAACAGCCTGCACCTCCCATGCAGAACCTCTGCTTTTCCATTCCAGGCTTGCACGGGAGAAGAGGATATCGATAAAGATGGTCAGTGACACTTAATTCACCATCCTTATCTCGTTGATGCATGTAAGCCAGGTTCATTTTCATTTCCATAGAGGGGAAGAAAGTGATCGATTCAATCCCAAGAGGTCGCAGAATGAACTGCTGAAAATACTCTTCCAGAGATAAACTGCTGGCACGTTCCACGAGCACACCAGCCCAATCAAGCCCGACGCCATACTGGAACTTCGTTCCTGGTTGGTTGACTAATGGCCGGTACAAAACGTCCGACTCGTGGCCGGAAAAATCGTCCAAGCCGAGTGGGCGGGACCAGTCGCGAAGCTTCAGATCCTCAAAGGCGTAGCCAAAGCCAGCTATACATGGCGGGCATCAGCGAAGGGAAAAGCCAGCATTATTCAAAGAAGCTGTGTAAGGGATGAGGAAAGCCTTACAGGTATGATTCAAGAGCATTCGAAGTGTGATACCGCGGTCTCTTGGCACCAAATGAAAGCTGCCATCAGTCTCCTGCTCAAGGACTTGGACATCCTCCAACTCTGGAGCGAGCGATTGGACCTGTTCAACATCATCGAGAGCCAGCTTGCCCTGCTCGACCATTTGCATGCAAGCTATGCTGGTTAACAGCTTTGTGCAGGAAGCAATCCAGAACACTGTATCTAAGGACATCGATTCTGGGCAGTCAATTCCGCGCTTCCCTGAAGCATGGCTGAAAAAGACGTCACCCTCACGGTTTACAGCGCAATAGACGAGACCAGGAATTCTTGGTGTTGGGCCCGATGTCGTCGCATCTAACGTCCCACGGAGGACAGATGCGGTTTCCTGCGACAGGCTGGTAGTCATTGCGCTGGTTATTGAATAATAATTTTCTTCTAGGAGTTGTTCTCTCAATTAGTGGCTCTCTGGAAGTAGTAAATTAGTATATAGAGACAATGCGCCGGAAGTGTATCCTTTCGTATAACCGTATGTTCGGATGTACTTACGTCAATGCGCAGTGGGCTACAATTTGCACGAGTGGGATGTTGCTAGCTCTACGGGAAGAATAAGCCCCGCTATAATATGAGGGACAGTCTTCAAAGTAGACTCATTAGGAAACTGAGGGCAGCATTTTGTGGAAGCTCAAGTATTTCCTGATCCGGTAACAGAGAATGTTCGGGCCAGACCCACTAACAACCCTCGTTTAACTTCGTGAGTATAGGATGAGAGAGAAATACAGCACGCAAATGAGACCTATATGGCCGTGACGTCCGACAAGTTGGGATATTATAGGAAGGATATCATTTGATTGCATAACAGGCCATATATCAACGAGTCATTCATAACCACATAGATCATCAGATCTCCTTCACTACGTCGGAGATACATCTCGCGACATAATCAACATTCTCCTCATTCAGCCCACAGAGACTAGCCCGCCCAGAGGGCATCAGATAGATATGATACTCATCCTTCAATCTATTAACATGCTCCTTACTCAACCCTGTATAGCTAAACATCCCAATCTGGGACTCAATGTGAGACCAATCCCCCGGGGTAGCAAAGTCTTCCAATCTCGTCCGCAATTGCTTCCGCATACTCATTATGCGTGAGCTCATCATGTTCAGGTCCTGCTGCCATTGCTGTCTAAGCCCTGGATCCGTGAGGACAGTTTGAACAATCTGAGCACCAAATCGGGGCGGATTCGAATACTCTGCGCGTGCAATCAGGGACAGTTGAGATATGGCTCCTTGAATGGAAACGTCCGACGGAGCGACTAAATGCAAAGCGCCCACCCGTTCACCGTAGAGTCCAAAGTTCTTGGAAAAGGACTGTGCAACGCATAGTCCAGGAATCCTTTGATCAGGATCTGGGCTCGATAACAGACGCTCTGTGAAATGCCGCACTGACCATGCGTCGTCTTCCACGTTTCCGGTTGCGAAACCTTGGTAGGCACTATCGAACAAGACGAACAGTTTCTTTTTCAAAATAATGTCTGCCAGCTGCTTCCATTGTTCGCGGGTTAGGTCCAGTCCTGTGGGGTTGTGGGCACATGCTTGAAGGATGACCACGTCGTTTGGTTGTGCATCTGCCTCCAACATCGAAACCATATCGGCAAACTTGACGGACCGCGTGTTTGGATCATAGTATGGGTACTCTTTCTGAATTACTTCAGGAGCTGCCACCGCCCAGACTGTTTTGTGGTTTACCCAGGTAGGATCTGGGATAAAGACATTCTGGGGCTTCAGGTGCTTGGCGAGGAATGAGGCGGCCAGATGATTTGCTCCAGTACCAGACACAGCTTGGATGCTTGCAATATTCTGGCTTTCGGCTAGCTCAGGCCCAAAGACGAGCGACCCAGCGATATCCAGAAATACAGGAGACCCGGCAATACCAAGATACTCATGGTGTGATCTAGGGTCGGCCGCAATACGCTCTTTCGCCTAGTCCTGGGTTAGCAGCTGTCGGCATGCAGCAGAATATTGCACTGTCAAGGACATTTTGCTTACTTGTTTCACGCTGGGAAGGATCCAAGGCAAGCCCTTTTCGTCCCGATAGGCTCCAGCAATTAATGAGACTTTCTTTGGGTGTTGGTCTGCATCAAAATCGGCTAGCAAGCCAAAGGCAGCATCCGCTGGAAGAACAGGCACGTTCAGGTATTGGGAAGACATGTTCCTAGATGCGATGTTTACAAAGTTTCTAGTAAGAGTTAACAGGTGTCTATGTCGAAGCTGGCTATAGCTGCGAAGTATCTGTCGAACCGACCGGTTGATTGAAACCATCAGTAGGCAGTTGTATGTATCCAACTTCACTTATATGGACTGTACAAGATGACTGCGAGAGGCGTTTTCGAGCTGAAAGAAAAATCACCCCACGACGTATAATCTTGCATCATTATAACTATATAATGAAGATCGGGTGGATGAAATTACGCCGAACGGAATTAGGGCTAATGAAGAGCTCACTGGTGCGGGATACCTTCGGCATCTCCACCGGTAGTCGAGCAGAAATCGGTCAAGTTCCGACATGCCGACGACTTATTCGATGGAGGCAAATTGACTCATAATTTTCACGGCAATCAACACATATATATAAAATTCAAAAGGACAGGCGAACTCGTGCGTTGTAGGCATCTATTCGAGCCACACCCTATACAACATTGAGTGGAGACTAGGACCCCTCAACAATCCCGCAAGATGGACAACGTCGCCACCTTCTCCCTTGACAACGCCCCTTCTTATGAGAAGGTAAAACTACAAGTCGACAGGGTCAGTCTTGAGATCTCCACAATCTACAAAAAGGGCACTCGCCCACCATTCGTCTTCCTCCACGGCTTCGGCTCTTCAAAGGAAGAATTCAATGACTTCGCCTATCTCCCGCACCTCAGCGAATATGGACTCCTTCTATACGACGCCCCTGGCTGTGGCGACACAACTTGCTCTGACCTCAGCAAAGTGAACATCCCATTCCTGGTCAAAACAGCCAAAGCCCTTCTCAATCACTACGGGGTCACCAAATTCCATCTCTCAGGCCACTCAATGGGCGGACTAACCGCCCTCTTACTCGCGTCTGAAGTCCCAGACCGCGTCCTCAGCTTCGTTAATATCAAGGGCAATCTCGCCCCGGAGGACTGCTTCCTTAGTCGCCAGGTCTTTCTCTTCCCCGCTGATGATGCAGAGGTATTTTTCCATGAGTTTACCGAGAGGGCGAGGCGGGCCCCCGCCTTCTCGAATGCCATCTATGCGTCCAATCTCAGACGCAAGGTTAGTCCCCATGTTACTTATGGGATCTTGTCTACCATGGTTGAGATTACGGATAACAATGACTTGCTTGCGTTGTTTTTGGGGTTCTCTTTCCCCCGCATGTTTATGTATGGCGTGCAGAATGCTTCCTTGTCGTACTTGCCGAAGTTGAGGGAGGGTAATGTCGAGTTGGCCGAGATTCCGTATAGTGGGCATTTTCCTATGTATTCCAATCCGCCAGAGATGTTTAGGCGCGTTCAGGGGTTTTTGGAGAGGACGGGTGCTTAGAGGATCGATGTGTTCTTTTGTCTGTTTTATTAGACCTACGCTTAGTGTTTCTTTCAAATTGTTGCGTGTATAGAATAGAGATTTTAGAATAGATCTTGATTTTTGTTCGAGGGTCAGTTCTGAACCGTAGATTCAGAATGCCCTGGCCTTGCCTATATAGCTTTCCGCTGCTACAAATACTTAAAGAAATAGTATGAAGTATTAAAATAAGCAGGAGAGATTAAATACACCTATAGAAGTAGCGTGGAAGAAGATGAGGCTCGTAGTAGGGAGGTTGAAGACCCATTGACATAGATACTAGGTCTTTCATACCAGCGATGGTTTCAGGATGTCCATCGCCAAACCATCCCCTCCTTTTCTCCACGACATGGACAAGCAACTTTACTGCGCATGTTTGTTGGCCTTGAGAAAACAGTATATGCGCCATGTTATGCATGGTTGTTAACATCTTCGGATTCTCTTTCCCGAGTACCTTGTATCTGCATGAAGTCCACTGATAACTTCAGAGCATCCGTCAGTCGAACCTGATGGAAGAATATTGAGGCCAGATTATGCATGCCGGCCAACGTGTCTGGATGTTCTCTGCCAAGAACCTTCTGTTGCATTTCCAGTACCTCTGCAGCCATCACTTCGGCCTCTGCGTAACGACGCTGCATCATAAGGATTGACCCTAGGGCAGACATTGTCTCGAGTGTCTCTCGATCTTCGAGACCAATTGCACTCAGCTGATTCTCCAACGCATATGTGAGAAGTCCTTCAACCTCTGCCAGTCGATGCTGTTCTAATAGGATCGCTGCAGACTGTTCCATACTCACCATAACTAGTGGATCGAATGCACCAACCAACCTCTTTTGCAATTCATGTTAAGGAATTAGTAGCTACTTGGCCGTTTTACAGTGGCCTCGATCGAAAAGTACATATGCCAGTTGAGCCCTCCTTTGTGGGGTATGTAAATGTTCTGGACCCAATGTGCTATTGTAGGCCTCTATTATATGAACTAGAAGGTCCTCTGCCTTGTCATACTGGCCTTGTGACCAAAGGCACAATGCCCACGTAGTCTTTGCAGTTGATGTTTTACAGTCTTCTGCACCAAAAGCAGCCTCAAGTGGTTCCTCTACCCTTTCTAACAGCTGTTCAGCCTTCTTGTACTGGCCATTTTCATACCATACCCCTGTCAACCCAACCTTCTGAACTAGCGTATCCGGATGCTCTGGACCAAGGGCCATATTGACTTTGTCTATTGAATGGACAATTAACTCTTCGGCTTCCTTCAACCGTGCACAAAACCGATACATAACACCTATCGTCATACATATTAAGCCTGCTGCCCCACTCTCTAATGAAAGTAATTCTTTAGGTGGCGGAAGGTGGGAAGAATTTGCCTCCGACACAGTGCTTGTCTGCGGTCCGTCAGAGCCTACAAAGAGACAGCTGCCATGAAAGAGGCTTGGTAAAGGGTCCAGGAATGATCTGCTCCACTTGGGCTGTCAAACTTCGCTCTCCACTGAACCAGAGAATGCATGGTGACTCCAGGAAAGTCGCTACGAATATCACTGATGAGTCCAAACAATCGAAGCGGTCGCAGTGCTTAGTCGTACATAAGCCTGTCCCATCCGCCGTTCTCATCGAGGCTTAGCGGCTCTAAAAGCCACAGTGGAGCATCGCTTGCCAATGCAGAATCATTGCGTATACCAGCAGCCGCCGAGTAGAATAAGTATTCGGGGATGTTTGTGTGGTCCATATGTGCGAGAAAGGTTAGTAAAAGTCTAGATGGGAACGAAGACATCCTATCGACGACATCGAGGCTACTGTCCCATACTGTCCAGATAGTGAACTCGTATGAGGATAGTCGTTTCGATATCTCATCTTTGAGAAGCCAATCCCTGTGTCTCTTATAATTTTACAAGTAGCGTTCAAGACAGCCTTTTTAATCAATGTAGATTCTAGAATACCTGTCGTCTTTCGGGTTGGCATTTTTCAAGCAATGGAAGCGAGTATGAGCGCCAGCATGGTGGACTGCGAGGGGAGGGTGCTGCAGGTTCTCGCATATGCGTAGTGACTCTTCTCAGACGTCTCGTGATACCTCTGTTATATTTAGGTTCCGGTACCGCAATAACAGAGAGGATGACTCTGGCGGCGTCATGATATCTCCCTGTAGCTGCTGGGCTCCGGGGTAGAGTATCTCAACGCATTCCTTGCCAAGACTGGTAAGAATGACACTTCCACGCACCCCAGACGAAACAACATCTCGTACTCCTCCATCGAGGTCATCTGCGTTGTCCAGAACTACCAGCCATTCATCGTGGGGTTGATTCTGATTCTGGAGCCAGCCTAGGACAATATGAACTGCCGGGTTATCCTTGAGCGACGCTTGATGGCCCGGTTTCGTCCTATCTGGCTCGACCGAAAGCCTGAGATCTCGAGCACAATGGTAAACACTTGCTTTGACTGTTGCAGCGCTCCCCGCATCAATCCAGAGGCTGGTATCATATTGAAGCCGATGAGCTTCTGCGTATCGAAGGGCGAACTGTGTCTTCCCAGCACCCCACATCCCATCTATAGCTACCGGGTGCCTTATTTTAGTTGACCCCTCCAATTCCTTACCCAGTTTTGCTTCCAGCGCATTCGAGAGATCACTCCTTCTTGTGTATATACTGTCGGTACTCTCTGGTACTGAATATACTGAGTGTGCCATCCACGCATCTACCTAAATAGTCAGCGAGAGCGCTTGATACTGACCATGAAACCAAATTATTAATCTCGCAATATCCTAAATATACGACCTCGAGGTAGGTGCGTTGGTTTCCTCACGATTAGTCTGGATACTGGAAAGATAACGACTGACCACTGATGGTTGCCTCCATCAGCTCGATGAGCTTGTTCCGTAACCTCTTATAATTGGAGTTTCTCTCTCCAAACTTATTCAGGCCCCAATGGTCTGTGTTCAGCCCTATTATTTCTGCGCTGGGGCGATCCATGGTGGCAGACTGCTCCTTGACCACCTGCGAGAAAGTTAACGAAAACGTTCCACAGCATTATCAATGCCTCCAGACTTACCAAACCGCTACAAAATCCCCAGCAGGATGCCCTAGCTGTTTCTCGCTTCTCGAAAAAGTTGACAATCTTTAGATGATTAGATATCGCTTCAAATCGCCGGTGCATATCCTGCAACTCCACAGAATCGTAACGGATAGCCTCCATAATCTCGGGGGATGTTCCTAGGCCAAATAGGCGAAAGAGGTGAGCTACCCTGGCACCTTGCAATGCAGAAGCAGAACCACGATGTGGGGTCCCTAGAAAAACAGCAGCCTTGATCTGCTGGAAGATATTCACGGCGCGATGGGAATGGAATAGCCGGGCTTGTATTATGGCCTATGGTTCCACGGTTATTTTCGGGGCCAAAGGCAACTACGGCGGGGGGAAAGTAGTAAAGCCAGGGGCAGTTACATACTTCCTTTATTACTAGCCCACCATAACTATGCCCAACTAAAATAAAGTGCCTCTCGGGTGTCTGCTGCAATTGTCAGAAGCTTGGAGAACTGAACAGGCAATGTGCTGACCTTTACTGCTAAGGAGCTAACTTCTTGAAACAGCTCCTGCCCGAGTCGGGTGCGCCGCTCCTGAATGGCATCTTCGTAGTTGTAGAAAAACACGCGAGTGTTCTTTTGAACGTGTGCCGGCAGATCCTCACAGAAGAAGTCGGTAACCCAGTTAACATATCTTCTCTTCAGGGAGGGGCCTCCGGAGTCATCCTGGGATTTGCTTTCGACCAGCCTGTGCCAGGTAGTATCCGGGTTTGACCCCAGACCATGCACAAATATAATGCTTTACTTGACATGAGCACAACCAGTCCATAGAGGCGGTAGGGGTGACAAAGCTCACTCTAAACCGGTGGCAGTCAAGGTAGAGTTGAAACAGTGCGCTGACACAAGTCCATAGTCGCTCTTCGGGGCAAACTGCGCGTCCAGCCGGGATGCGATGCATGCTTGCAATGCCAATCGGGCAATCAAAACCGTCAAGCCTGCAATAATGCACTCACGAAGACCCACATGCACATTCATTATAATGTATACTTCAGGTGCTGTGGCGCTCATAAAAGGGCATGTGTGGCAGCTTTTCAATGCTGACAACCCCCTTGCTTTCAAGTAATGCCCACGAGGAACAAAAGTACTGGATTGCTTTAGTGCCTGCACAGCCGCTTACAATATAAGGCTGACGGCTTAAAAGCAGCCTAATTTAATTTATGCGTCCAGCGAGGCTGCAGCCTCGCGACTCTTCAGATGTAACCAAGCAATGCAAGCTGACGATCTCAATTCGAAGGGCAATTTAAACCACGTAATTTTACCCTTCTGCCTATACAAGCTATCTAAATTTATCCTAAGCTATTTTATATTTTAATATCCCTTATTAATCATAGGCAGATATCGGTAAGGCTGCACTCAGTCATGTAGAAATCTCTGTTTAATAAATCCCATGTAACTTACATACAGAAAATCATACATGGGTCTCTACAAACTGCCTCGAGTTTGAAAAGCTCGGAAGATACAGCTTTTGCAGTTTAATAGCTAGAGAAATGCATGTCAAACCAACCCCCATTGGCCCTGTGCCCTTTAGTGATTCAGATGCGCTCAATGCCGAGCGACTTATCTGCGCAGTCGACCGCAGCACGGCGGCAGTCTCTGGACCTACGCTGCCTCATGATCCCTCTCAACCAGGATACCATGTTCCAGACGAGCCCAGCGTCCCGTTGACTGACAGTGAAAACTTTCTCCGGAGAGAGCTCACCACACCCCTTCTAGATTTGCTGTTTGGATATCTCTGGCTCGTTGGAAAGCAGTCCAGCAGCAATATCGACGCCCTTCATGCTCAGGTCATCAAGGGAAGAGATATTCTGCCGGCAGAAGATCCAAAACTGCATCTTATCTGGCAGGAAAAGAGGATATTTATAAAGCCCATACCACAATGTCTGTTAAATTATGACTTCTGGAGACTTTTCCTATCGTCCGAATCTCCCATGATACCGAGCCTAGATTCTCCCTCGGAGTTGCAACAAGTGAAGCATTCCACATATGGGTCAGACTCGTACCGGACGGTAGCATTAGGGTTTCTACGATCATACTCCTTCCTCATCCAACATCGGTCCGACTTGTCACTCGCGAAAGAACATCATCTCATCCCAAAGGATATTGAATGGTCCCAGTGGTCGAGGTTCATTTCAGTGTTTCGCAGCATTGATGATGGAGACGTAGCAAAAAGGTATTGGTACGGCCAACTCCGCCTCACACGACTGAACTGGGTCCTGCGCATCCTCGGTCCCAGGAGTGATGCAAATGGCTGGTTCTACCACGAGCCTCACTGGTCCACAATACCCTACATGCGACGCGCCGTAGTGCCATTGGTTTTCATGTTCGCGGGTATATCCCTTATGCTGGCCTCGATGCAAGTCATGCTCGCGGTTCCCAGCGACAGCCTCCTGAGCCTCGGAGGGGCTAACACAGGGTCCCTAGAAAAAATGCAAGTCATATTCTGGGGGTTTTCTCTGGCAACAGTGTTCTTTTCCAGTGTGTCACTGGCTTTATTGATACTTATCCCCTTAATCGTCATCGTCTGTCAGTTATCTTGGGCGATTAGGCATAAGCCAGAGAAACTAAGGATTGATGGACCCCCAGGAGTAACAGTGTAAAGTTGGGATATGTCAATAGCCCGCTTCTCCTACTCAGCGGAGGCTAGGCTCTCGACTTTTATTATGCAGGAATTTTAACGTTGTATGTTGTTCCAATCATACATAAAGACTATCATTATGCTTTGTAATAAACAGTATATAATTATTTAGCTAAATTGTTCAAGTGCGCCAGCTGCGTGAACAGTAGCGAGAATATCAACCTCCACGACCCACTAAGTAATGGGTGGGGGTGATACTTAGACACCCATTCCCCACCTAGGGGCATTAATTATAATGCCCATAAGACACCCGGAGATAATACCAGCCACAGGCAGAGTAATGACCCAGCCGAAGTAGATCCACAAAATCATTCGCCAGTTGATGGTACGCCAGGTTCCACTGCAGAGACCAACACCGACGGTTGCACCCGAGATACATTGGGTTGTGGAGACTGGAAGCTCTGCGGATTGTTAGTGGTTGGAGGATGCCATCCCCTCAGGGAAAGATGGCGAACTTACTGAGCCTGGTTGCTGTGATGACAGTAATGGCGGAGCCGAGTTCCATAGAGAAACCACGGGAAGGGGAATGAAGCGTGATCCTATTACCGAGATTCCGCATGATATTGTAACCGTAGGTCCAGATGCCTATTGCGATAGCAGCACCCCCAAAGGCCCTTAAGAGATAAGTTTTGAGTTGATCACGTCAACATGGTGTACGGTACTTACAGAATCCAATAAGGAACAGGACTCTTTTTGTTGAGCTTTCCAGATTGCCAAATATCGTAGATTGTGGCATATGGTCCAACGGCACTATGCTAGTTAGCACTGTTTATAGTCAGCCAAGGTTTGGAGACATACTTGGCCACATCATTGGCGCCATGGGTGAAAGAAGCAGTGGATGCTGTCAGCACCTGCAGGAAGGAGTACATGTACTCGGTCCTGTTATCGTAATGCTTCGCGTGGGCATGGGTCATTTCGATGTCGCCAGTAAGGATATTCTTCTTGTTCTGCAAGCCGATAACATCTTGCTCGATCCCACGAAAGAAGAAGCGCTTGAACTGCCAGAATAGCATGGCTGGGTGAAAGAACCCCTTCCCTTCCGGTCGAGGGCCAATGATTGAAAATGCTGGCTTTGGCGCCACTGAAGGTGCATTGCTTGGTGCCTCTGACTTCAAAGCCTCGGATGAAGTATTCTGGCTCTCTTTGATTAGCTCACCTTCGTTCTCTAGGTCTGAAGGTCGGTTTTCTTGAGTCGCAGCTCGCTCCGCCTGGAGCTGCTCCATAGTTTTATGGCCACTGTAGAAATCCTGTACCACCGAGTACCCTTCTGGCAGAGGGGGAATTTCTCCACGACGTAGAACGAGAGGACCAAGGAAGACATGATACCATTGAAGTTGCCAGTCCTCTTTCAGCAACCTTCGGTACAGCCAGGGAAGGAAGAAGACGGCAACGATCAAGGCGACGGCAGCGCCAACCCCAATAATCACACCAACAGTCTCTGCATCAGTGAGGGTAATCCTACTCGACCCACCCTTCCACACAATGAGCACTATTATATAGATAAGCGAATATTCTTGCGGCTTCGGGTTCGCGACTCACTGGTGAGGAGAGCAGAAGTAATGCCGAAGTAGATGGGAATAGCAATAAAAGCATTTCGGACTGAGTTGCTCCGCAGCATCACTCCATACTTGGTAATCAGGAAGACGATGGCACCAAAGGCGCCCGACATAAATGGGGCAATGACCCATGCCAGGAACACCTGAACAACTCCAGAGTTGATGTTACCTCCCCACCACGAAACGCCATTCGCTCCAACCGACGCAATACCCATTCCGATAACGCCACCCATGATAGAATGTGTGGTCGAAACAGGCATTCCAAATTTGGTCGCTATGGTAAGGTAGATAGAGGAGCCCATGACGGCACATAACATCCCCAGCATAAGCATAGAAGGATCTTCCTTAAAGAGATCGACGTCGACAACCTTCGTCCGGATAGTGTCTGCAACACGAGCGCCCACGCCAATACTAGACCTCGGTGTTAGCATATGGAGTCCTCAAAGTTGCTGGCTAGGAAGGGTAGTAGAGTGGTCTGTACCTCCCGCAGAATTCCATGATGGAGGCAAGAATCATGGCCTGCCAATACTTCAAAGATCGCGACGAGACAGAGGTTGCCCAAGAGTTGGCGACATCATTGGCGCCAATATTCCAAGCATCTAGGAAAGCAAAGATGGTACCGAGAGCAAAGATGTAGTCAAACTGGTGAAGGGCCATCTTGGCAAAGGCTTGAAGCCACTAAGAGACTAGACTGGAGTCAGGCTACAGATATTCTAGCACCGTAGTCCTTTCCTCTCAATAACTAGAGGGGCGTGCATGGCGCTTATATATACCAAAACCTAGCACGATTGCCTGGAGTTTCCATTCCTTTGGACAGAAACCGCCCACCCTTCTTTGTAGCCTTAGGCGAGGTCAGTCCATTCATTTGCAAATTGGCCCCAACGTGAGAGAACCAGATCCAAGGCTAGGGAAGTTTCCCTATTAATTTCGGACACTGAAGTCAACTGATGGGTTCGAATGCTCCGACGTTCTTGGCAGCGTATCCGTTCAATTGCCAAGCAGTCCGCTCGTGAATAGCCTTGGCACCTCTTGCTTCGAAAGCTTATATGGCCAATTAAAGCTCTATAGAAAGGAACGTGGGCTCGGATCGAGCTCATGAATAGCGCTAACAGTCTGATTCCAGATTCTTGGCATCCGCCATGGTATACAACGGTGATGCGACATGACTTGATGTTGCGCTCGAGATACCCTTGATCACTGCTGCCACTTCTCACTCCTTGTTCCAGGAAAAGGATCGTGAGGGGGTGGTGGCCGTACCCCTATCCAGACCCAAGTTTTACCCTGGTATTCCTTTTAGCGTAGCAGCCACAGACCATTATTAGGTATTCCAAGACTCGCTCTGGGCCAGTCTTCTTGCAGCAGTCGAGCATGCTTCGTGCCTCCAAGTTGTTTCCTTTCTTGGCAGTTTGGCTCCTGCTCATAGAATCACCACATGCAAGATGCAGCTGCAGCTGCCTGACATTAGAACCAACTGAGATACGAGGATAAAGGCATATCCAAGCGAAACTGGGCTGGAATAAGCATAGTACCATTGCTAGAAGCAGAGAAATCCCCGAAAAGCCAGTCAGTGCGTCACTAACATCATCGACAATTCCTAAACTATGAACAATCCTCTAATTTACCCCTCGCTTAGTTTATCATTTCGATGCTCACTTAACTCGGTCTGTAAGTGCTGGATATACTCCACTGCGGTCTCGATGAGCTCCACCTAAGGTGACAGCGCAGGTCATTACCTCATGTCAGCCAACTATATTTCAAAACAATGTTACGAGAAATCATCGTCCAGCTCGTTCCGGTGGTGTCCTACCTTACTGCATATTTTTCTTTTTCGCCCGCTGTCCACGCCACTTGCACTAAGTACATGGGCCATCTGATCGAAGGCAATCTTTAACCGATCCCGCTGGTTTTTCTGAGACATGGCATGCTTTCGTCGCTTGAAATCCGAGTGGCTCTTGGGGATTTTGATCAAGAGGCCTCCTAGAGATGAAGAGGTCCTCTATTAGTCACGCCAAGATGATTACCCTGGAAAATCCCGGGTAAGCATGTGGACTAACCATCTTTTGGGCGGAGTTCAATATATTTCTGTGATGGATTTGACGGTGGATGTTGTGGTACCGCATTGGGAGCACGTGAAGAGGAGGACTGAGGCATGGCTTTCCTTAGGGTTACTGTCAGCTAGATTGACAATTAACTGTATAGCATCGCCCCTCTTACTTGCGGGGCCATGCATGGGCTATATATACTCAGACTCGGTGTTGACAGTTCATCCCTTTCTTGCGTTGCGGCTTATAATTAAATTACCAAGACTTCACCCTCTATCTCAACCGACAAAAACTTACTCCCTAACTCTGTCGGGCCGTTGTCTAGACAAATAGTATGCCTAACCTCCATCCCCATTCTCTATTCGTACATATCTTGGCTTTTAGGGAAGAAACATAGGAATAAAATGCGTAATCATACCCTCGGACATACCTACAGTCTGTGATCTACGTAAACGTATACTTGTTTCCTTTTCTCTTTTTAGTTCTCGCAGATTATGGTTTCATCGCTCTCACTTTGAAGACTGTTGTGTTAGATATATCTTCTAGCTTTGTATAGTTTCTGATTAATCATAACAGTTATATATATTTCGGAGCCCTTACAGAGGGGCATATTTATACTAGGTCAAACGCTTCTTGGTTCCCTCAAAACAAAGCACGCGTGAACTTGGCAAAGCAAAATAGATCTATAGTATAACAGATATTGTAGTAGTATCATTGACTTTCACGGTGTACGACTTCGTACACTAACCAGGAGGCATGGAGTGACGATCTTCATGCAGCATCGACATTGACCCACAGTGGGGTCTCTGCCGATGTCAACATGCAAACCCTAACTCTACTTGGTGAAGATCTTATCCTTTTTGTATCTATAAGTGATATGATTATGATCCCATGTCATTCAAAAATGCTCTGTATAGATGTCGATGCTAATAAGGTACACTATTGATCCAGTTGTTGCCTACCGAGACCCTCTACGACGCTGTGGACTCAGGCTATATAGCACGTCGACATGTCATCATTTTAAAGTAATACCGAAAATTAAGCCATCATCAAGCATGACTATGTTCAAATCTCGTCATCCACTCATCGTTGCCTTTTAATTATTCTCACTCTCGACTGAATTCATCTATTCCAACTACTTACCTCTACTTCTCCATCCAGTCAAACAATACACCATATCTTCCTTCATACTATTCTTCCCCTGTCCACATTGCCTCAGTCCAAGATGAACTCCACACACGACTACTACCGACCCTACCCTGGCTACCCCCCAGCATCGCAGCTCGAACACCCAACTTTCCCATCAACACCTCAGAACTGGACCCCGCCATCAAGGATCCAGTTACCATCACCAAGCTCTGAAAGACAGCCAAGCACAGAGCCAGACTCGGGCACCGTTACCCCAGCACCCAAGACTCAACCCACCGGGCCAACCAAGTACGCAGACCTCCTACAGCTGTACTTGACGATCAAAAAGGACGTCTCGTCCAAGTTCACCCTCCCCAAGCAAGAGGAAACCACAGCGCCGTGGGTCTTCCAGGCGCTGATGCTGCTTGATCACGCCGAGTGCGCGGCTGAAGCTCATATGGAGTTTGTGGAGTCGCTAGAGCAGGAGATTCGGGCCTTGCGGGATCTACTGGATAGGATGAGAGATGCTGCTCCCTTCGAGTCGGCGGTTGCTTCGGTGAAAGAATTGATGGAGGATAATCGGCATGATGAGGAGGGGGTAAAGATCGTCCAGGAGAGGGTGGAAGCCCTGGATAGGTTCAGCACGGATGTGGCTGTGTTGTGGTAGTGAGATTTTGGTATCCTTTGGCATGGTCCTTTCGCTTCTTGCTTGTTCTGGGATGTGTCCTTTGGCTGTTTCTGTCGGGGCTTGGTTATTGTATGGGCTGTTGAATGATGGTTTGTGGATCTTTATCTCACTCTGCTCAATCCCTGAGAGAAAATGTAGCTTGGAAGATCGTCTACTATCAATAAAATTCACCTTGGTGTCCAATCGCCTATTCTCGCAGCAGAGTAGTTTCGATTCTATGTAGAGTAGGCAGAATATAAAGAACCTACAGAAAGCTATATCACCCGCAGTACTCTTGGTAGATCCTTTCCAGGCTTCGTAGTTGTCCAGGACTATCCTGTTATCATCACAAAGACCGTACCCATCTAGTTCTAAAGAGAGAGACATAAAGAGATGTACCGTGAGGTATGCTTTCTCAAGAAAGATGCAGCTTGTTGACAAGTAGACATGAGAATCGTGAACCCAACTCTTTCCCTATTGCCATGCGAGATAATAATAAAATACCACCTGTAATGTTTGATCTTAAACAAATAATGTTAATTTAGGTACGTAGAAATCGGTTTCACAATAGGTCTAGGATGTAGTGCCACAAGGAGTCTATATATAACTTGTCTATTAGGCACCAGGGATCCTTATTTCACAATAAATACAAGACTGCGCGATTCGGTGGAAAACAACACACGAGATATTACTGAAAGCGCCTATTAACATCTAAACCTAGGTTTACAATAGCAATAACATGAGTAAAGGGAAACTCTGTGTAAACAACACGTCGTAGCTTGTCCAGATGTGTTGGAACGTTCTACGGCCCCAAAATCGAAGTATGAACCAATGGTCCTACTAATCAAGTCTCGCATTGAAATATATCAAATAAACATGGGTCGCATCGAAGACAACGCAGGTAACAGTTATAACGACAAGGGATATATGCTTCGACGCCCCCAATGTATCATCACAATGGTCATAAACAGGCCACAATAGTGGCAGGGTATCCTCAGCGATTCGAATAAAGTAAACGGCTATAGTACACCACGCATAGTAGTGACTTCTGGACACCCCGCGCACGCACGAGCAAAAAAGTACATGCTTTACGACGCGGGTCCATGCCGGATAAAGGAGAAAGATGTAAAAGGAAAAGAAAACGAAGGAAAGGGGTACGTTCACAAACGGATCCACGGTTCAAAGGAAATTGACATAGCGAGGGACAAACAACGAATGCAATAGTAATATGAACAGTAAAAGGGAAAGAATGATAATGTGCCCGCGTGAAGTCGCGAGCTGTACTTCGATTCATGAAGTCTCCGGCTGAGTCGGTTTGTCTTCATCATTCTTTGCCGGCTCGCTCTCCTCCTTTTTATTCTCAGTTTCCTCGACTTCTTCAGAGATAGGCTCCTTTCCCTTAGGGGACGATGCTTCCCTTTCTTCTCCAGTATCTGATGCGCCATCCTCAACCTTTGCTTCAGCATCATCTGTTGGGTTAGCATCTGCCTGAGAAGCTTGTTCGGCTTGTGCAGCTGCTGCTTCCGCCTCTGCTTTCTCCATCTCTGCTGCTCGAGCTTGTTGTCTCTCCCACACCTCCTTGCGGATGCGATCATCTTTGGCCCGACGAAGCCGTTCGGCCTCTTCCACCCCACCACTCTTTTTCAGCTTACCCTCTTCCACAAATGCTCCTAGTTCCTTTTGGAAGAGGCCGATCCGGCGATTCTCTAGTTCTTTCTGTCGTGCTTTCTCTGCTCTTTCAATCGCCTCAAGGCGTGATTCATGATTCGGTTGCAGCGCACGAACTTCGCCTAGGACGCTGTCTTTCGCTTTCATCGGATCCACTGCAGGGTCGATGACCACATTACGAGATGTAGTTCGGAGAGTGACCCCGTTACTGGGGTTGTTCTGCATTGCTTGTTCTTTGGTAGCCTGCTCAACAAGAGCGAATGTCTGGGCGGCCTTTTCCACATCATCCTGCAGGTCGGCTGCAAGGTCTTCTTGCATAGTGAGTTGGTCACGTTCCTCGCATACGAGTTGTAGCTCTTTCTCCCAAATTTTGGTCCAGATGGGTTTCTCTCGCTTGAGGAATTCCTGCATCTTTTTAATCTCCTTCGTCACAGCACTGATATCCTTGCCGACACTTTCCAATTGGCGCGGCAGCGGCCGCACTCCACGAGTCACCACATCTTTGCGCAGGTCCTCCACCAGATCCTGAAGGTCATCCACACGTGCGACAAGGCGTTCCGATTCTTCACCAAGTTCCTTCTTTCCCGAATTGACGCGTGCACGTCCTGCATCACCTTCGAAAGAAGGTAAAGATACTTCCGTGGCAGCAGATTTCACACCGCTGGCCTTGGTACGGATCGCGTTCATCGAACTTGCGATATCCGACTGAAAGTTGGAGTAAGTTTGTCGCAGCACGGCAATATCACGCCTGAGGCTCTGGAGTTCTGCAAGTTGGCTGTCGCTGCCTGCAATTGAACCTTTAGAAGGTCCCCCCGATTTTGCACTAGAAACAGATACCGGAGGTGCCGCAGCTAGACGAGCCATTTCCTTGGCCGCTTCGAGCTGGCGGTCGGACACACGCTGCATCACACTCTCTTGGCCGGTCAAAGCATCCTTGACGCCTTCAATCAACCGGCGGACACCACCAAACTCATCGTCAAAATGCTTCTTCACCTCATCAAGAATATCGACATTTAACACCAGGACTGATCGATCCTTCACATCGTTCAAATCCTCCAGCTCGTGGCGGACGCCCGAGACGGGATCCTGGATATAGATCTCTGGCAAGTCAGCCCCATTATTGTGAGTGTTCCAGGCGAATTTCTCGATGAAAGCCAGCTGGAGCCTTCCAATCGTCAGACCGGTGAAACCTTCTGGCAGCACATATTTCTTGATCTTGCTTTTATACTGTAGGAACAGGGTGAGCTCCTTCCCGGGAGATGGCTGTTCGGCAGTAAATGGAGTGCTCTGGGGAGGGGTGGACACGGACTGTGGCTGCCGACGTTCCGATTTAGGTGTTGTTGGAGAGGCAACAGCGTCGGGGATGCTCTCCTTGGCTGGTTGAAATGCATCAGCAAGGGAGGGCTCCTCCTGAGAGCGAGGTAGATCAATCGTCTCCGTGTCTGGCCGTTTTTGGACTTTGTCTTGTGGGGTAGGAGAATCTCTTGCAGAGACAGACGCCGAAGCCTCGCCCCGTGACTTAGTACGTTCTTCTTCAATGCTCGGAACATTCGGAGGTGCCTGCACCGGTGCAGTTTTGGTCGTCGGGGTTTCCTGCGATCGGTTTGTTTGTGATCGCTGTCGGCCGTGGGCGTAAGAACCTCGTAAACGAACAGCATTCAGCGATTCACGAACGTCGCGACCACGATTTGGCAAAGGGGAGTGCTGCGTCGGTAGAACAGGGACACCGCTGGAAGAAGCCCCCAGGTGCTTTTGTATCTGATACGCGGAGAACCTTCGTGAGGCGCGTCTCTCAAGCTCACCACTTCTCTGCAGCGCACCAATGGCGTCATCTTGCTTCGGAGGCGGTGGTGGAGGGGTGGGATAGTCTGACGGATTGACGGATGACGCAGGTGCCTTGGGAGTAGAGTCGCTTTCAGGTTGGGAGGACCGAGATAGAATATTCTGTGCCTCTCGTCGTGATGCTTCTCGTTCTGAGAAGGTCCCCCCTCGCGTGTCACCCGGCACTGGTGAGGTCCGTGACGTACTAGGTGGGTCTTCCAAAGAGCCATTACTTCCATAACGACGACCTGATCGTTTCGGTGATGACACGGTGGAAACTGTTTCCTCGTACGCCTGGTTCATCGCCGCCTGTCCACTCGTCACACTCCCAGCGCTTGCATGCCGGCCAGGTAATGACCGACTTTCCTCTCGCTGTTGCCGCGAACGTAAGCGGGCCTGCTTCTTCTTGAGCCCGTGAAGAAGGTTGATGATGATGTCACGAATGCGCGGGAGATAGCGGTCGAGGCTCTGCGGGGAGGCATCCTGGCTAAGGGTGTCTTCAAGAATTGTCCGGAGAAGGTCTGGCACCGGGCCCAAGTCCGAGGTGTCGACCCCGATCGCATTGAATGCGCGACAGGCAAGGTTGAACTCATAACCTAGCCGCACGTAGACATCGGATACCTCGTTCTCCGAAGCTTGTTTCCGGGACCATTCGGTCAGGGCTTCTAACAGTTGCTTCGTGGCTATCAGGAGATGCGTGACGCTCTTTTCAATTTGTGAGATCTGCTTATCAGGCTGTGGCGAGCAAATAAACATGTATTAGCCGGGATAATTGTGGGTACCAACGTGGGTGACCGCCAGCCAGGATGAAGGTTTGCGGCGTGAACCATTGAAGGCACAACTTACCACGGAACTTCTTGATTGTGATCGCCCAGAGCTGGACGAACTGCGTGGCGCGGAGGACTGTGAAGTCATGGCGGATTCAATACTGCTTCCGGAGCCCGAGGAAAAATGCTGGGCCGACGGACTGCGCTGGGAGCGAGACGAAACGCTAGAGGCAGACTGCATATGTGAACGTGTCGGCGCGCGTGCGTTTATGTGGGAAGTCGGAAGGTTTTCCTTTTTATGAGACTAAATTGGATGGCGGGTAAACGGGAGAGGGACACAGCAGATGCAGGGAGTAAGGAACCGATCGTAGTAGGGAAGGGGCCAAGCTGACAGACTTGAGAGCGTGTGTGTGTGTGGTGTAAGGGAGAGAGACGAAACAGATCCAAGATCCAAGTGGGGAGAGACCAAAGAAGAAGAAAAATTTGGGCGAAAGTGAATGTAAGAGGAGGAACAAGGCCCCTCGCTGAGAAACACACACCCACACACGTATCCCAGCCTCTTTTTGGTGTTGATTGGGGGGTTCGACGATTAATGAATGAATTGATTGATCGGCTGTCTTCTGGTTTAGTCTCCTTGGGCTGCAGTTGGTCCAAGTCATTTTGGTCCCATGCCTAAGGCACCCCTTGTCAGCTGTTCCACTACTACCAGCCTCCCGCTTTCCCTTTTTCAGCTATTGTGTCTCGCACCTCGAGGTATAAAAGATTGTACTCCGTGCCTCGCTAGGATATTCACCGTGACAGATAGTAGTGACTACATTACCATTCTGACTGCCGACTCGATGCCAGTAGGGACAGGCAATATTCTATCTTCTCTTTAATATTGTATGTATCACGAAACCTGCTGTTCTTCCTGGTTGAACCCGATCGTTGTCCCACTCTGGAAAACTGGTGCCAAGAACTGGACCCGCTCTGGCCGATTGCTATTTTTGTGAAGATCCGAGACAACCCATCGAGGAGGGAATGTAGGAAAGTAGGTATATTATATTCCTCGATGCCCTGGGGAACTTTTTTTGCTTTATGGCGATATTCGCAGTGGGAAATCATACTAGTTCAGGCTGAACAAGTCTTGATCCTACCCGATGAATACTACACTCTTGATCTGCGTTAATTCGTATATTGTCAATGGTAGTCAATAAACTGGAGTGATTTATCGGAGCGCGGAGAAAGCGGAGATAAACCTAATCAATGGACAGCGTCAACCTTATGGTTCTGAATGGGATCGCGATGAGGCTGTCGGATTGTCGAAGTTAAGGTTAGTCATATCTTTACTCGTAAGTTCTGGCAAAACCATGGCCAAGTAACCAATGCAGCAGAAGGAGAGGTCCGATGCAGTCTGACACGGAATATAACTATTGTGTAGGAGTAGCACCAGACAGACTTCTAAAGCGTAAGCATACGCAAGGTCATGCAATAATCATAGAAAAGTCCTTCAACCCTTTTGTGCATAGTACGTACTAGATGTGGTGTAGTTACTCCACCAGAAGGTACCGTGCGATGTTATCAGCCTTGTCTGCCGGAAGCAGCCCCCAGCTAAGGCAAATACAGATTTGGCGCCTTGATTTTGGGTCATCGAACATCGGAGGTTGTGCCTAGGGTACCCTAGGTGTGTTACAGCTCTGGCTACGAACATCCTGGAATGCTCAGACCTGGTATGTGTCAGGTAACAAACGTACTCAAACCTACGCTTAGACAACATACCACCAATTCAGCATCGCGAATGAACTGACTTTGTGAACCCTTACTAAATGAGATGATCGGGCAAGAAAAAGGGACAGGAAAAGAGAATAAATGGTGTACAGAGCTCCCGGGGAAGTACAAGGGTTTATTGGAGACAGTACGTACCATGGAGGACTAATTTATGGTGCTATCAGAGTGGGCCGGGAGAAGTGGATTCTGACAGACCACCAGGCAGGAGGACTCCATTCAGATTGGGCAGACCCTTTTTGTTGCAGTGCGTTTGAGTAGGCGAAAGTGGAACACACACCATACTGTCATTGTAGTACACAGTAGCAATTCCAGAGTGTCCCTTCAGTCAGTCGGCCAGTCTCATTCCTGATATGATACAGTCAAGGAGAAAAGAATTCAGACAATGATAATGAATACCGAAGAGGAACACGAGAATGGGGACATCTTCTCAATAGCAAGGGGGAAAAAACATGAAAATTAAAATTAAAAATACCTAAACAGTATCCTGTGCGTTATTCTCATTGTAATTATGAAATCCGAAGAGGAAATGGGAATATACCTAGACATACAGGGTGTGTATTGATAAAATAACGTTAATTACCTTAACATTTCCCATCAAATCGAGGAGGTCCCCACTTTTGCTGCCAATCCGCCCAATGGAACCATGGGAAGCGACTCTTTTCCCTCCGCCGAAGAAACCTCACCTCATCTCCTACCTTAACACATTGACTGTTCCTACTACTAAACGTCTGGACACCTCCACAGACACTAAACCGTGACGACTTCTCCTCCTCCTCTTGTCCTCCCTCCCCTCCACCGCCGTCGCCTCTGTTTCTTTTCGACTCTGGCCGACGTGCTTTGTTTCTATTGTTCTTTTATTTTATTTTTCTTATTTTATTATTCTTATTCTGATTCTCAATCACCAATTTGTGGTTCGAGATTCCCACCCCCCCCATCTTCATTTTCTCCTTCTCCCCCTCATTTCAACAACTTTCTTCCAAGCTTCTTTATTTACCTCTTTTCTCCAGGTCGTATTGTGGTCCCGTGACCCCATTTCTTTTCTTGCGATCTTCTATCCTTCTCCTCAGATATTTTCCCCCGCTTCTTTCTTTCCCCCGACAAGGTCGTTCTCTGGTCACGCAGGCGGTGTGTTGTTTGTGTGTGCTGTGGCTTCGTGCCTACTTCCCCGTCTATCTTTCTACGGCTTGACGTCGTGCGAAGTTCTAACGGCGTGAGCTTCATTCGACTTTGACCACCGTGCCAAATGGCTTCTGTCAACTCCCTGCCGGCTGCCAATAATGCATCCGGCAATGCCGTCAATGCGTCGTCACAGAACTCGGGTTCTAGGCCCTCATTAAGGTCCAGCGCTAACTCCAAGGCGGATGGAGGTCGCCGTCAGGCAGGCAGTCCGCTTGATGGAGGTCAGAGGTATGTTGTGCTGTCTATTTGCATCGCTGGATTACTTCGAGTTCAATCCAACCCATCTGGCCTTTGGTTTCTGTTCCTCTTTTTCACCGCTTATCACCTTGCGAGGGCGCCGTCGAGCGTCTCCCTACCCACCCTGGTATTTTTCCAACTCGCACACTCACTACTTGACGAGTGGCTCTCGCTTCAATGTTCTATTCTTTTTGTCTTGTCTGTTGAGTTTTGTGTTGCCGATGGCCTGTCACGGCACGGGGACCAAAGCATTTGGACTGAGTGGCCCGGTTCTGCAGCTCTCTCCTTGCAATGCATTCACTAACAATTCTTCTCCATCCGATACAGGCGCAGCAATTCCCAGAAGGCCTGGACCCAAGGCATGAACCCGATCACTCAGAGGTCGTCGTATTCCCAACAGAACGGAAATCTGGCTCAGAAACAGAATGTTGCCCCTAAACCAACATCGAAAGAGTCGAACACACCTGATAATCATGCCCATGACCGTCTTGTTTTCTTGGTTACCAGCTTTATTGTAAGATTGTCTACTCTTGACCCCACACAAGACGGTGCACTTATACTTCTTAGGGATTGACTGCTACCATTACTACGAAAAACGGCGAGAAGTACACCGGAATATTCTCCTCATCCTCCCTTGAGCCTAGCGAATCATCCTTTGTCCTGAAGATGGTCCAGCGCCCAACGAAGCAAGAGCAAAACCGGGCGAATGGCGTAAGCGATGCTACAAGTCCGTTTCTAGGCTCGGCACCGGATCACAGCATGTCGTTTGATGTGAAGGATGTGGTGGAAATATCCGTCCCCAACGTCTCCACATCCGATGTTACAGCGAAAGGAGCGAATGGTAAAGCTTGTCCATATTAACTGTCTGCACCTCATAATGTTTCTTCGTCGCTAACGCTCTTTAGGTGCCTCTTCTGGCTTCCGAACCGATGTCGACATTTCCGGTAACCTGGCGATGCGCGAGCGAACCCTGAAGCGCTGGGAGCCATCGGCAGAGACTGAGGTGGATTTGTCTCTGGAAACTCCGAACACTTCCGCCAGCTGGGATCAGTTCGAGGCCAATGCACGGTTGTTTGGTGCCACTAGTAGCTATGACGAGAATCTCTACACTACCCGGATCGACCGCTCCGACCCGACTTACAAGCAGAAGGAAGCAGAAGCCGCTCGTATTGCACGTGAAATCGAGAACACTGACGTTGACAATGCGCATATGAGGGAAGAACGAGGGTTAACTGTGGCAGGAGATGGTGGTGACGAGGAAGACAAATACAGTGGTGTGCGACGTGACGAGAGAAACTTCCCACCCCTTGTGTCTGGGCAGCCAAACAAGTACACGCCGCCAGCTCGTCGACAGGCTGCCGCGCAAGCTGCTGCAACCCCAAGTTCCTCCACTAGCACTGTGAAACAGGCACCCAAGGATACAACGCCTTCTACGGCACTACCACCACCACCTAAAGATAGTACCGCATCGCAACCAGCACCTTCGACTACAGCTGCCAGCGCCGCGCCTGACGCGGACAAGTCTGCCCCGGCGAAGCCTCCATCAGCTACCAGCGCTGCACCGAAACGGACTGGTACGGAGAATGCTACAGCTAACGTGGAAGCGGAAGTGCTAGATCACTTCCGTCAGTTCGCCAACAGCGAAAAACAGAAAATGCAGGAACGCCGCCGTAACCAGGCGTCCTATGATCGCACGATTAAACTCAATGAGCTGATGAAATTCTCAAAGAACTTTAAGCTCGCGACGCCAGTCCCCAAGGATCTGGTACCTATCCTCGCCAAGGACCCCCATAAGCAGGAGGAAATCATCCAGAGAGCCCAGCAGCAAGCTGAGGAGAAAACATCAACCAAGACCTCTCCGACGCTTTCTGAGCAGAAACAAACACCGCGTGCCCCTGTTTCGGCTCGCCCTGACAGCGGAACAGCACCATCTGCGACACCATCCGATCGCCCGGCCTACCCTCGTGGTCGCCAAGTGTATCCTCCTACCGGCCCGCAAGCAGGCCCTGGTGCGCGACCCCAGCACCAGACAATGAACGCGGCTCGTCAAACCACGGGGATGCTCGGGCATCGCCTGGCCGACAACCTTCAGCAGCGGAAGGGTGCTGCGATGGGGGCTGTTCCGGCGCCTTTGCCCATCCAAGACGCTCGCTTACCCCCAGCTGGCCCCACCGTGGACCAGTCCGGCGTAACCAGCCCAAGCAAAGCGCAAACGCCAACATCTTCTGCATCTACAAAGTTCAATGTGAGAGCCTTGGAGTTCAAGCCCAATCCAGCTGCAAGCACTTTCACCCCAGGTGCGTCGTCCAACTCGTCACCCTTTGTTGGAGGTCGTTCTGTTTCTCGTGCCACTAGCCCGTCTGCGTTCTTCGGTGCTAAGAAACCACGGCCCGTTACCGAGCGCCCATCTCTCAAAGACCAATTCAACCCCATTAAAAGAATGAAGAAGGAGAGCGCGGAGCAGACCGAGAAAGATTATACTTTCAACGGAGGAATTCCACCCGCATATAAAACCCTCCCCACCTGGAATGCGGCTCCTGGCAATGAAGACAAGACGTATCAGCATATGTTCAAGCCTCCTGTTGCTGTTCCGGCCATCTCTCCCCAAA